TAGAATAACCCTCATGGTATCCATGTGCTGTAGTGGTTCAGCTGTGTCCTTAATGTTGAGGTTGCCACCAGTGAAACGTTCGATTTCCTTTTGGAGAATTGTAGGAAAATCAATCATACAACAATTTCCGGTTATACAGAGGCTGAAGTCAAATCATGTATGAGACTGGTTTGTCCAAACTCCAGACCTTCTGTCCAGACGTGGAAATCATTCCATCCAGCATCTCCATCATCTTCAAAGAGTTTATAGTATAGTTTTGACTTAACAGGTACTACTTTTGACATTACTTTTTCTTTTTTGTATCTGTCTCAAGACCTAGATTTGTTTTGAATTTCTAATATTTTTTTGTCTAGAAAATGAAGTTGATAAATGTATCCAATGCATGTAGGATGAAAGATAGCCAGCCAGCGAGGCACTTCAAATGCATTTCTGTTTTAAGGAAAATAATGCGTCTTCTCAAGGGCTGCAGTGCTGATGGCAGGTCGGGGTTATGATATATAATATGGTATGCAGAAGGTGTGTGTGTGTTTGTGTGTGTGTGTGTGTGTGTGGTTTGTGTGTGTGTGTGTGTGCGTGCGTGCGTGCGTGTGTGTGTGAGCAGACTGTTGAGGTCCTGGCCAGCGGTTGCGTGCAGGCGGGCCCTGTGGCTTCGTGCTGCTGCTGCACACAACCTGACTTCAGGCTGCACATCACCACTGTGGCTGGCCTCCTTCCGGCAGATGTCCCAGCACTAAGCCGGGGGGAATCCCACCACAAGTCAAGGTTGCGTAAAGAAAGACCGGTTCCCCAATACTTGGAGGCCAGAACCCCAGCCGCTTCTCATGGGAAACGTCCGAGGTGTAACTGAAACGGCAATCCTTCGCAGAATTAAGTTTGTCTGTTTTTTAAGGAACCGTTTCTGTTACCGCAGGTCAGCCCTGTCTGGGACATGCACAGTTTCAGTTTGAACTCTTTCTCAACGGGTTGTTTTGGATCGAAAACAGAAATGAAGCTGATCCCAAACAGGATATATTGTATATTTTGGAGCACGCAAGTTGTTGTACAAACTACTTCAACATAGAGAGAAGTGCGTTATTCTCAGTGATGCGTAAAAACCTCACATTCATTGACCCAGCACCACATTTAGACATGACAGTTAGACAGTGAGCCTGCATTCATTTCATATATTATATCACACCTGTGCTTCACCTTATGTGACATGTACAAATGCGTTCAGTAAAAAAAAAGGCCTTTTGTTTTGGCCTGGAAGTAGAAATCTCAGTCAAGTATGTCAAACCTGGAGAAATAAACCACAAACATGTATCATTAGATTAAACTCAATGGACTTTTATTTCATCCATTAACACACACACATTCCTACACTGATGGCAGAGGCTATCACACAAGCTAGCCTCGACATTAGCATTCCCACACACACATACACTCTTGTCTATTCCATCAGGAGCAAATTTGGGGTTCAGTATCTTGAACAAGGACACATTTTTGCGGTAAATTGGCCCTTTAAAGCTGCTGCACAAGAGGTTTACCTGAGTAGGAAAATCAACAACATTTTTCACAGGTTGTAGGTTTAAAATAGTACATTCATTGCTTTTTTGTAATAACGTGTTATTCACATTTTTTATAAAAGCTAATGAGTTTCTCACTTTCCAATAAGCAAAACAACAGAAATGAGTAAGTCATCTCCAATTATTTTCCAATCATTAAGAAAGTGTGCCATTATAAATACTGAGGTCCAGATGAGCTGCATTTTGCCAGAAGGTCAGAGGTCAGTTGGTCTATCTGATGAACTAAAGAGCTCAATTACAAAGCATGTGTCATGACCAGAGAGATGTTTTACAAGTATACAATCCCATATATATCTTATATCTTTTCTATAAAGCATCCGTAAGGGCGGGCTTATTAAATACACTCTTTGGTTTTCTAGAAACAGTGATGCAGACCACATGAAATATGATGCTCCTACATGAGTGATGCAAAACTAGTACATTGGAATTCAACAAGCAAAACCAAAGAGGTGCAGTAATGCTAATCAATCAATCAATCAATCAATCAAGCTACTAGTCATGTGATATTCAGAATAAACCAGGCATTCACAAAAACATTGGCACATTTTTGGGATTTTACATCCAATTCATTTATTATATCACATTATTGCCAGTTAAATGCTGCTTTACGTTAAGTCGGTGGCTTGGACAATATCCCAGATTTGGGTAACATTTCATTTGAATTGCTCTCCATAAGTAACACACACATTTGTCTACAGAGGATTTAAAAAGGGTAAAGAGTGCTTCAATTATTCAACCTTAAAAATGTTATTAAAACGAAATAAAAGGAGACAATGTGGCCAAAGTTTTTTACTTGTTTGTATTGTGTTTTGAGGTCAGTTTTTCGTCATGTTGCATATTTTAAAGATATGTAATACTGTAGATAATGGCATTACTTATTGGAGCATCATGGAACTTTATCCTTATTTTTTTTAAATCATACAATAACTTAAAATCTGCCTGCTCATGTCAACTGTTTCTTATATAATAAAAAAATATCTGTTACTAAACTTTACTTTGATTTCGAAGAACTATCAACATTTTCTTGGTTTCTTCAATCAAGCTGAGAGTTAAGGCCATGGCACTCAAAGCACAGAGCACTCAGAGCTAAATATAAAAGAGACTCTGCTGCCACCTGCAGGTTTAAACAACTCATCATAAAACAAATGTCTGACTGAGTTGTATCCAAATTATCTCCCACAGACACAGAGACACAGACACAGAGCATGTGTATTCTTTATATTCTAAAAGTAGAATGAGTTATTCACATCAAACTCAGATCTCAGATTCAAAATCAGATTATAATAATGCCCTCACTTCAGAGTAAAGTAAGTAAAAGTTCTGCAAACAAAATCCTACTTAAAGGTGGGGTAGGTAATTTTGGAGAAACCAGCTCGAGTGCGCTAGAATTTGAAAATACACAGCCGGAAAAAATCTGCCACTTCCTTACAGAGCCCCTCCTCCAACACACACGAACGCGCACATGACCAATGAGGGCACGAGATAAGTTTGTGCACAGATGGAAGGCTGACAGGCAGGTAGGCCATCCAGTTATTTTGTGATTGGTCGTGCTTTTTACAGTATTACGGCTTCCACAGATGACATTTTTTTATGGATTTATTGTCAAAGCATTTAATGTATTCATTGCTATCGGGATGTTAAGAGCATTCCATGGACTATAACAAAAAGTGTTTCTGAAGTGAATTACCTACCCCACCTTTAAAATACCAAAAGTAAAAGTAGCCTACGTGTTATTATGCATTTTAAAATGGTGAAACTGTCACCAAACCTAATTTCTTAATCTGAATAAATAGAGGAATTCAAATGAGCCGCAGGCCACAATAACCCTGACCCACACCATCCTGACTGGATTTGTTATTGACAGGATGTAGAGGTTTCTTCACTTAATCCAAGAGGTTTGTTGGTGTAGGAATGCAGGAAGTTTGTTTAGATTCCCGGGGGTTGTGGTCATTCAGTCAGACAACTCACGTGTTTCTTAATATGTTTATTAGAAGCAGCATATAGCTTGAGTTTGGCGTCTAGGCTCGGGCCTCATCACTCCACAGATTTACAAAGAACATTGAGTGATGATTAGATAACTATTCCCCTGAGCCTACAGGTGGAAGCTGGGGTGGAAGCTGGGGTGGAAGCTGGGGTGGTGGTGGGGCAGGCCAGCAGCAGCAACATGAAGCGAGGCAGAGGCAGGAATACCTGGCAGCTTACATAGAGCGGCATGTTTAGGAGAATGTGTTTGGTTGGTTGTAAGAGGGACGAGGTGCGTCACGTGTTAATGTATCAACGGTGCTCGAGTTGACTGCCTGAACTAGCTCGCAGGCTTCTCCCCATCAGTTTGCTCACCCTTTGTAGATCTGAACCAGGTGTCCCAAAGTAACAAGCATAGATCTATAGAAAAGTATCTGTTATATCCAGAATGTATATCAAAACAAACAATATCTCAGGGATATATCTGTGATGCTGGTTAGTTTGCACTTACTCTAAACCTTCATTAAACCTGGAGCATGCACATTTAATAAGGCTGTTTCTTTATTGAGGCTGTTGCACTCATGACTTGCTACTGTAAACATGTGCATAGACTCACCTTGAAAACCAACAAACGCACCACAAACATGTCCGAAAGCGGGGATTGTACAAGTTATATTTACATTTGAAGAAATAATGCTCAGCAATCTTTGTTTTTAAAGCCATAATTTGGCATCAAAAAGCATCCCAAATAACATAATTTGTTTAAGACATGATTCATGTTCATACTGTACACTGCTGCAGCTCTCAGGACAGAAGGTGTTTCACATTTTACTAAATCAATGGCTGTTGGTGCAGAACTCAACTTATTTGCAACTAACTTCTTATAGAAATGTTTAAGTTTTGCAATTAGCTTTTTGGAATAGCGGCACATTTCCTGCTTATGTGGGTTTATGTATTTTGTCCTCAGAGGCACCCATAGTGATCCATAACATTGAGTTGAATAATGTCACTTTTGATTATCACAATTCTTCTTTTGTATTAGAAATCTGTTTAGGATTTTGTTTGCTAGTTATTCTGGTTGTTGGCAGATGTGACCCAGATCTATCTTGGTATTCCTTAGGTTGTTCTGAACTTAAACTTATCATGACATTTCCATTAAACCATGTTATTATCTGATGTATCCTGACATATCTACCTGTTACTCATTAGCGTTTTAAAGTGGAACAAAAGCTCTGTCCTTTTTTTGACGCAACTCCACCGTTACGTGTCTTTTTATTATCAATAAATCAATTTCCAGGACACTACCTTTTTGCATATATTGTAGAATACTGACAGGTATATGGAGTAATTAATAAGTGAGTACAGAGTATATCAGGCCTTCATTCAGGAAATCATCGACATTCACTGACAAAAATAAAATAAAGGCTTATGTTGTGTTGTTTGTTAGCTGTGACATTAATGTTCATACATCAGTGAGACTTGCATAATGTTTATTACAACCTCCATATTGTTTACATTCAGGAAGGAACAAGAGAAGTAATAAAATAAACGTGATTTGCATAATGATATTCCTCGAGTCAATATCTTACAGACAGCATTAATATCTCATATCCATCTCCAGTCATAATCAGGATTAAATGCAGTTTTTCCTCATCAACCACAGCTTTGCATCAACTTCCACGTGACGAATCACTGTGCAATATCGTAATAAAACTCTCGTAGTCTTGGCTCAACAACGGCGAATCCAGGCCGTTCATCTGCCCTAAAACACATGAGAACAGGAAGTAGTTATTAAAAATGAGCCCTCAGAACACTGTGAAAACTGGAAATCAGAATCAGAATCAAGTTTATTGCCAGGTACGTTTACACATACAAGGAATTAGCTTTGGCATCTGGTGGTGCGAACAGAAACAATCTAAAAAAATCGGTGGCAAAGTAGGTAAACAAATAAATATATAAGGATACAAAAAAAATATATTCTTAAGAAACACTTTAGCATTAAAAAATGATGCTAAGTATTTACATCAAATGTAACTTTACAGTAGCAAAAAAACTACAAAAAAGCAAACTACAGTGTATTATTTTTTAAAGTGGAGGGCTGCGCAATATATTTGTATATTTGTCTTTACACTTGATATAACCTAAACGTCTTAAAGGTCCCCTATTATACTGTTTTTCATCAATATATTACAGGTCTCAGATATATACAAAACATGTCTCTGAAGTGTTTGGCTCCAAATACCAAACAGATCATTGCAGCATCCCATAATCCCCTCTGTTTCAGCCAAAAGTGCTGATTCTGTGTCTGTAGTTTAAAATGCTAATGAGCTGCTGCTGGCCACGCGCCTCTGAGAGATGATTGGTTAAAACGAACACAAATAATAAAGTGGGCGGGGCTTACCTTGGTTGGTTATTGGTAGAAGTAACAATGCAGTGAGATATAGGGCTTGTTTTTAGAAAAAGGCATCTTAAGTAAGTAAGTCAAAGACTCTTCAAAACATCTTATTTTGAGTTGTATCTCAGATAAAACATGTTTTTTCAAACTGCCGTGGCATTTGGAAAAGATGGATCAGCCTCTGATTAAACTTGTGTTTCTTTTTTTCTATTACGCCCCTTGTAGCACTTTGGGATTAATTTTAGCAATGAAAGGTGCTTTACAAATTAAATGTATTATTATTATTATTATCATTATCATTTTGTTTCAAGAAATAAATCTGACTTGATTTTAGACAACACATTTTTATTGGAAAACTAACATCAGAAGACGTTTGAGCATTTCTGGCTTATTTTGTAACTTCCTAATACTGGGAGTTAAAAATAAGTTTTCCCACCTAATTACAAGATCTCCTTTAACTAAATATCCCATATTATTTCAAGACATCTTTCCAAGCTAGGTTTCACTTGTTCTTCTGGCGGATCTTTTTACTTATTACAAGTGAAAACCTTCATTATTGTTTTACTTGATTTTGGAGCCGCATTTCTCCTTGTCAACAAACTCTGCGTAATCAGTCCTCTCTGGTAGATGGGAGCGTTTATTGTCACTATATATAAAATAGAATGAAACACATTGGTGGTTAATACTGTGTGAGCTCTGGCTCTTACTTGTATGTCCAGCAGGTCCTCATGAGCTCATATATCTCCATCGGACAGTTCATCGGAGCGTCCATACGTTCCCCGCTCTCAATCTTCTGCATCACCTCATTTCCTTTCATTCCCTAAAAACAGGGAAACATTCAAAGTTCAAGATTCAAATGTTTTTATTGTCATATGCACAAAGCTACAGTGTAGAAATGGCAATGAAATTCTTCTGACCTGAGCTCCTCTAACAATGCAACATATATAATAAAATACAAAATAAAAAGTAGTGCAGAAAGTCTACATGGAGATTATTGGGGAAAGCAACCCTAAAAAGACTTAGAATAGAATCACGGTGAATGTTTCATATGAGTTTCTTTTAGTATTAATCATCATATGGCTCATTAAATAACACTAAAGTTACAATAGGTCAAGAACATGTGCAATGCCCGTTACATACGTCTACATGAGGGGAAGATTTTAAACAAAAAAGTCATATTGCATAATTTTTAAACTCATACAGTATTTCCTTTCTTGTTTCTAGTTGTTCTATTAGCCTACCATCACCATTAAATGTAAAATATTTGTTTATATGAATCTTGTGTTCATTATGGAGGCTTCAAATAGGCTAATGGATTTGTTCTGCCTCTTCCTGCACTGTTTGTTATCTGTTACGTTTGTGTACATTTAAATTGGGCTACGAACACACTATAAAGATATTAATTAATAACTTTCCAAAACGAAGCTGCCACCATTTTACTTTGACATCTTCAGCTCTTAAATCCTGCTGCGGTACATTATTGTATGGAAAGCCAACAGTGCCATAATACGCTGCTATTTTAACACGTACTTAAGTGCATTCAGTAGTTTGAAACGTTTTGAAACACTTTTTTATTGTTAAGTAAAGTAGTTTTCTGTGTTTAACAGACTTGGTAGCCTTGAGGTCTAAGCATTGGTTTTAATGATGGGTTTGACAACAAAGTGTAACATCTTCAAGTGTAAATGCCATTTTAATTAAGAACTAGTGCCGTATTATAGCACTGTTCACCAGAAGTCTTAAGTAACATTGTTAAGTACTCATTTTTAGGTACTTGTACTTTTCTTGAGTATTTCCATTTTATGCTACTTAATACTTCTTCTCTACATTTTAGAAGCCAATATTGTACTTTTTACTCCTCTACATTTATCTGACAGCTTTCGTTACTTCACAGATTCAGATTCTTAGCAAAAAAATTTTACTCAAGTAAGATTTTCAATGCAGGACTTTTACTAGTAACAGAGTATTCCTACACTCTGGTACTTCTACTTTTCCCACCCCTGCTGTTCACTTTCCATAAAAACTGTGTGAGTAACTGTGTGAGTAACTATGTGAGTAACTGTGAGTAACTGTGTAAGTAACTGTGTAAGTAACTGTGTGAGTAACTGTGAGTAACTGTGTGAGTAACTGTGTGAGTAACTGTGTGAGTAACTGTGTGAGTAACTGTGTGAGTAACTATGTGAGTAACTGTGTGAGTAACTGTGTTAGTAACTGTGTGAGTAACTGTGTGAGTAACTGTGTGAGTAACTGTGTGAGTAACTATGTGAGTAACTGTGTGAGTAACTGTGTTAGTAACTGTGTGAGTAACTGTGTGAGTAACTGTGTGAGTAACTATGTGAGTAACTGTGTGAGTAACTGTGTGAGTAACTGTGTTAGTAACTGTGTTAGTAACTGTGTGAGTAACTGTGTGAGTAACTGTGTGAGTAACTATGTGAGTAACTGTGTGAGTAACTGTGTGAGTAACTGTGTGAGTAACTATGTGAGTAACTGTGTGAGTAACTATGTGAGTAACTGTGTGAGTAACTATGTGAGTAACTGTGAGTAACTGTGTAAGTAACTGTGTAAGTAACTGTGTGAGTAACTGTGAGTAACTGTGTGAGTAACTGTGTGAGTAACTGTGTGAGTAACTATGTGAGTAACTGTGTGAGTAACTGTGTGAGTAACTATGTGAGTAACTGTGTGAGTAACTGTGTTAGTAACTGTGTTAGTAACTGTGTGAGTAACTGTGTGAGTAACTATGTGAGTAACTATGTGAGTAACTGTGTGAGTAACTGTGTGAGTAACTGTGTGAGTAACTATGTGAGTAACTGTGTGAGTAACTGTGAGTAACTATGTGAGTAACTGTGTGAGTAACTGTGTGAGTAACTGTGTGAGTAACTGTGTGAGTAACTATGTGAGTAACTGTGTGAGTAACTGTGTTAGTAACTGTGTTAGTAACTGTGTGAGTAACTGTGTGAGTAACTGTGTGAGTAACTATGTGAGTAACTGTGTGAGTAACTGTGTGAGTAACTGTGTGAGTAACTGTGTGAGTAACTGTGTGAGTAACTGCGTGAGTAACTGCGTGAGTAACTGCGTGAGTAACTGCGTGAGTAACTGCGTGAGTAACTGTGTGAGTAACTGTGTTAGTAACTGTGTTAGTAACTGTGTTAGTAACTGTGTTAGTAACTGTACGTCATCATGTCTCTGGTTGCCTTGTGTTAGTTCATACCTTGTAAGGTTTCTGTCCGTAGGAGAAGCCCTCCCACATGAGCACCCCGAAGCTCCACACGTCACTTTTGGAAGAGAATTTTAAGTAGTTGATGCACTCGGGAGCGTACCATTTCACCGGCCACTTGCCATGACCTTTGGCCTGAGGGAGGAGGAGACACAGTGGGAATGATTTAATTGTATACTGGTCATTTTGCAGCCTCAGATTACATATTTGTGATATGACGATGATCGCATACAGGGTAATTATATACGGCTGGGCCCGAACATGCTCTCTTCAAAGTTAAATACACATTAAACAGAAAGGATCTTGTAAATATTGCAGTCACTTCAATGCTTGGTATTTATTTGCTTTTATGCAGAGATGAAAGAGGTATTTGCATGCATGACCTGCACCAAGACTTCCTTTAAAGTGGAAATATACTGCATTGTTAGAGCAGCTCAGAAGCATCAATTTATCGTCTACATTTTTTGCTAATTTCCAATTCTATTTTTCTGAAAGCAGCTTTATAATGTCAGCTTGTGCAACTTATTGGGATAGTTCTTAGCAATATTTCTCCACTTAACAATTTCGCTCTGATAAACCATGGAATATGCATCCATGGGCCTGGATTGACTTCATGCTTGATATCTGAACCCCCACCCCCCTTAATCGTTGTACCTTATAGTAGTTTTGGTCCTCGCCCACAGCTTTGGAGAGGCCGAAGTCACTGATCTTGGCGTAGTGATGCGTGACCAGCAGCACGTTGCGGGCGGCGAGGTCTCTGTGCACAAAGTTATGCTCCTCCAGGTACTTCATCCCCATGGAGACCTGGTGCACCAGCTCCGTGATGTTCTTTATGGTGGTCTGCCTAGGATCAATTCAACGTTCATTATAAAGCTGGCTGCCTTAGATTCTGAACACAAGATTCAGAGGAATCAACCTTTAAACTTGGGGAAAAAAGGGTTATTAAAAGTGCTTATTGTGACTTTATTAGCACTGTAGTTAGCAGCATACAGAGGTAGTAGAAGTACTCAGATCTTGTACTTTAGTAAAAGTAGAAGTACTCAGATCTTGTACTTGAGTAAAAGTACCAGAGTGTAGGAATACTCTGTTACAGTAAAAGTCCTGCATTCAAAATGTTACTCAAGTAAAAGTAGAAAAGTATTATCATCAAAATATAGTTAAAGTAGCGACAGTAAAAGTAGTCATTGTGCAGATTGGTCCATTTCAGAATAATATATATGATATGTTTTATAATGATTGATCATTAAAGTGTTCTCAAAGCTGGTAAAGTTGCAGCTAGTTTGAATGACTTTGTATACTGCAGGGTAGCTTGTGAATTTACTCCAGGTGGAACTAAAGTCTGATTTAACACTTGATTATATTTCACATCATTCATCCAGATCTGTAAAGTAACTAAAGCTATTAAATACATGTAGTTGAGGAAAAGTACACCATTTACCTCTGAATTGTCGTGGAGTAGAAGTACAAAGTAGCATAAAACACCTCAAATGTATACTTAAGTACAGTACTTGAGTAAATGTACTTAGTTACTCCCAGAGGTGGGAAGTAGTGGAGCACAAATACTTCGTTACTGTACTTAAGTACATGTTTCTGGTATCAGTACTTTACTCCACTACTTATTTTTTCTGACGACTTTTTACTTTTACTTCTTACATTTTTAACCCAAATACCTGTACTTTCTACTTCTTACATGTTGAACACAAATACCTGTACTTTCTACTTCTTACATTTTGAACACTAATACCTGTACTTTCTACTTCTTACATGTTGAACACAAATACCTGTACTTTCTACTTCTTACATGTTGAACACTAATACCTGTACTTTCTACTTCTTACATGTTGAACACAAATACCTGTACTTTCTACTTCTTACATTTTGAACACTAATACCTGTACTTTCTACTTCTTACATGTTGAACACAAATACCTGTACTTTCTACTTCTTACATGTTGAACACTAATACCTGTACTTTCTACTTCTTACATGTTGAACACAAATACCTGTACTTTCTACTTCTTACATTTTGAACACTAATACCTGTACTTTCTACTTCTTACATTTTGAACACAAATACCTGTACTTTCTACTTCTTACATGTTGAACACAAATACCTGTACTTTCTACTTCTTACATTTTGAATACAAATACCTGTACTTTCTACTTCTTACATTTTCCAAACAGGCTGGTTCCTTTAGTTTGAATGTGTGTTTGGTGGCGTGATCATTATTATTTAGAGTCATTGCGTGCCTATTGATTTGAACACGATCCGTGTATCCATCATTTCCTGGTCTTCTCTAAAGAAGAGGGACCAATGAAAACGTTGTCATGTTGCCGTTGTTCAGCATGGAAACATTCATTAGCTAACAATGACATTATTGTTCTATTAATATAAAGGGAGGTCAGGTACTCTTTAAAACAGCTGCTAGTTATGGGTACTTTTTACTTAAGTACATTTCAAAGCCCTCTTTACTTTTACTTGAGTAAAGAAGTTTAGTCAGTACTTCTACTTTTTTAAACATGAGTATCTGTACTTCTACTTGAGTAAAGGATGTGTGTACTTTTGCCATCTCTGGAGTTATAGAATGTTCCAGAGGATGATCAGGATCCTCTCGGAGTACGTACTTGTGTTTCTGCAGGAACTTGTTGAGCGGCCCCAGATCAGCGAGCTCCATCACCAGCATCAGGCTCTCCGCCTCACAGATCCCGATCATCCGCACGATGTAGGGGTTGTCCAGCTGCTTCATGACGTTGGCCTCTCGCAGCATCTCCTCGTGCATCGACTGGTTGTTGTCATCATTCTTCAGGATTTTCACTGCGACTGGTTTCCTTGTCCTAACACACAGGGAGGGTTTAACACAAGGATCAACAACCAGGCATGGGGAGTAAACATGTGGGATTACTAGCAGGATTACAATGTTAGTAGTAAACTAAAAAGACCATATCTAGTGTTTGTAAATGACGTAAAAAAGTTTTCTTATTTAAAAAGAATAACATAATTCATTTCAAAGTTCAATTCATTAAATAAAGCCTGTATTTCATGTAATATTAAATATGGCATGATTTAATACAGTTTTACGCAAGTGCTTGTTGTTTTTTGTGCCTAGGAACTAATGTTTGTTCGTGTACTGGTGCTGCGTTTGTTGTTGTTTTGTTGATGCACTGGACAACTCAACGTGGGTTGATGTTTTTATTGAAGCTCTGCTGCAGTCCGTGACATAAAGTTATCACTGTGACATAAAGTTATTCAGATAAGGAACTTTAAAGATTAATCTCCTTTCACGACAAGCGGCCAACGAGGTATTTGTTTCATGTTTTCGTCATGTCCTATTTCTATTCATATATGTGTAGCACACTATGCTAATGTGTTTGGCACATGTATATACGTTGTTCGTTGTTGTACATTTCACTTGTTAGACGCTTTTATCCAAAGCGACTTACATACATTCAGTACTGTGGGCAATCCCCACAAGAGCAATTTGGGGTGAAGTGTCTTGCCCAGGGACACAACGACATGCTGACTGCAGTGGGACTCGAACTTGCTACCCCGTGATTCGAAATTCAGCGCACTATCCACTGAGCCACAGCCTCCCTTGTAGTTCTCAACGGAAGAAGGGAGGCTTCAAGATTAAACGGCAATAATAAACGCCCGTTTCAAAGAACCGACCTGTGTCCGTGTCGTCAAGAGAGCATCTAGTGTTTGTTGTAAAAGGATCAGATGTTATCTCTTTTCTGTAAACTGTGCTGTTCTGTAGGATAATACTTTAAGAGTGAATCTATCGAATTCAGATTTTTGTTTTTCTTTTGTTTGTTTTTTCTAAATTCTGACTTATTCCCTAAAGTCTGAAAAATGTATCTCGTTTTTTTCAGAAAAGAATCGGACATTTTAGAAAATTCTAATTTTCCCCCGCAAAATCCCACTTTTTTTTTAATATTCCTGACTTTTTATATATGTCTAACTTCTTTGAAAGAAATCTCACTTTTTTTAAACAAATCTCACTTTTTTTTTTTTAAATCTCACCTTTTTTTTAAAAATCTCACTTTTCTGAAAGAAATCTCACGTTTATGAAAAGACCTCACTTTATAAAAGTTAAGACTCAGATCAGCTTTTTTGCCTGAATCCGCTTTATGGTTTTCACTTTTTTTGGTTCATTTGTTCTGTTTTTAATTCAGCAAGTGAACCTATATGTTCATAAAATAGTGTGTGTGAGCTTAACTGTGTGTATTAAACTAAAACGGAGCATTTCCTGTCAGCTCAGATTTTATTTCTGCTTTTTTAAACTGTAGTCTGTGCTCATGTGTTTCGGTGTTGGTGTACAGGCTGGATATGCTTCATGAAAGGCAGGTTTTCCTACAAATAAAATCATTTTTGATCCTAAATATCTTGGTTCCTTCTGTCACATTGTTCTGTTAACTCTATAAATACCGTGTACGAGCAAGATAACAGTTAAACACATTTCAATAGATTTCGGTTTCTATAACTATCTTTACAAAGAAGGGTATTTAGGAAGTGAGAGAGGCAACGTGAAGAGAAACCAGATCACAAGATAAACATTTTTTAGAATCTAGATAAGTTTAATTTGAAGTTGATGTAAAAATTACACTGGAAAAAATGCTGCTCAAAATCATGTGAAAAACGAGTTGTTTTCGCTTGTTATAAATTGAAGAATCTGCCAAAAGAATAAGTGAAAATTAGCTTTCTTGAATTAATATGGGATATTTAGATAAATGAGATCTTGTAATTAGTTTAGGGAACTTATTTTGAACTATTTTACCAGGATCATGAATGGAAAAAAGCAAAAAATGCTCAACATTCTTCTAATTTAAAAATGTGTTTTTCTAAAATCAAGTAAGCTGTATTTCTTGAAACCAGCTGATCCTTCTTTTACAAATACCACAGCAGCTTGAAAAACCTTGTTTAATCTGAGATACACCTCGAAATAAGATGCTTTCAAGAGACTTAACAAGATACTTAAGATGCATTGTCTAAAAACAAGACCCTATATCTCACTGCATTGTTACTTCTTAAGTTATTATGTCTTATATCAAGATACTAGATGCTAGACGAATCTTGGCAAGATTTGGAGTTTTTACGGTGTATAGTTACGGTCTTTATAATACAACCCTCCACGGCAGGATCCATTTAAAGTCAATGTTAAGGGAAGGAGTAATTACAACAAGCAAAACAGGTTTGAATTAACATTTGAGTATTTGAAAAACATGTGAACCATTGATCTGTATCTTTATCTGATGTACTACATGTGTAAGGCCTGTTAACGAGCTGCTGTGACACACACATCTTCCAATTTTGGTTGAATAAGGTATACACGGAGGCGTGTGGCGTAGTGGGTTAGTGCGTTGGTGTTCGGATCAGGGGGGCACAGGTTCAAACCCCACTGCAGTCAACATGTCGTTGTGTCCCTGGGCAAGACACCCCAAATTGCTCCTGTGGGGATTGTCCACAGTATTGAGTATGTAAGTCGCTTTGGATAAAAGCGTATAACAAGTAACATGTAATATATCTAATTGGATTTCATTTAATTGTATATTTATTCAATTTTACTCTATTTTATTTGTATTTTACATCCTATCTTGTAATTTATTGTATCTTTTTATGTCGTCGTTCATGTGTGTTGATCTGTGAGACAGATGTGTTTTGTGACATTGGGCTGGATACATTTGATTTGATTTGATTTAGAGTAAGTAGTTAAAAACAGGCCGTAAGTTGGACTGATCTAGATGCTGCAAGGGATTACATTTTAAAAGTGATTACACAAAGTATACATCATTATTCAGAACCTTATTTAAATCCTAGCAAAGACAATGGTATGTTGGAGTCGGCCACCTTATGAGGCTATCATACGAGACGTTTTCAGATTTAATTTAGTTATTAGCTGCACATTTTATTCTATGATCTTTAGAGATTGCAGCAGATGTTATCTTGACTTCTTGCTGTTAATAACTTTGCCAGTATCTTGCTAGTTTTATCCCCAAGATCAACAATCCTCTGTGTGTTAAAGTGTAGCTGTGGTGTCGTGTGTATGTAGGTGTGACGTTGTGTGTTTGAGCATACTTCCTCATGACGTAGGTGCCCTTTATGACAGTCCCAAAGTTCCCAGATCCCAGTTCTCCGTCCTCCAGGAACAGCTGGCTTCGATCCACTGTGGAGCTCCTCAGCTCGTCTGGGTCTGCGTACGGCCCGTAAACGTCTGTGTCCATGGGCATGGCCTCTGAAGGAGAAAGGACCAGGTCACATGAGAGAAGGTCTTACTCATTGCCTTCCAAAAACTCCTCGATTCAATAAAGTCAGACTGAAGCATCCTTTGAGCTCCAGTCAATCCTCTCAGTAAACACAGAGCTGAATCCAGATCAAATGCACGCTGAAGGCTCTTTGAGCAGGTTCTCTCTCAGTGACTGTGATGTTATGTTAAATGTTTGTTGTGTGTTTTTCATGTGTTGTGAGTTGATATTTGTCTGCTGATGTCACACATGGAGCAGCTGTGATGCAAGTCACATTTCAGACTTGATCTGACCATTAAAGTATTATCGTATCGTATATTGTATCGTATCGTAAAAGAAAAAGTGAAATGACAGCATGCACATCTACAGTACCATTATCCTGTTTCTGTCCCATTCTGCGTCTCTTTCCCTCCCTTCAGCCGCAGTGCCACTCCCTCTGGACTCTACATTGACGTTCTCCATCTACACACACCTTTTATGTAACCCTCCTGTTGTGTTTGTTTCTCCTACTCTCTACTTTGGTGTACCTGGTCAAATTTGACTGGTCTGTTAATCAGCTTTTACATGAACACAAGAACCATTTATCATCACCACATTTATTTTACACCCTTTAGGCTATAGACAATGTCTCAGACTTAAGAGGTAGAAGAATAAAACCAAATGGCTGCTAAGTTCAGTCAACTAGAGTGACTTGGTAAGGTGTCCCGTCTGATTGAATGCTCTCCAGCAAGAGAGCGTGTTAAGAAGTCTAATCAGACCGCGTTAGCAACCGAACCAAAGCTGCTGCTATATTTTTAATTGGCTTACCTTTGCCGACTTCTGGGTAACCCGGCACGCTGGTTTCATACGGGTTGAGATCTGAAGCGCTTTGTCGAGCCCCCCGGCCCGGCTGTCAGGTTATGAGAGGAGACAATGTTTGAGAAAAACATAAAGCATATACTGTACATGGTGCACGGCTGGAATACAACCTGCAATCTGATTATAGTGATAGACGATGACTGTATAGGTAAATAAAGAGAATTTCTGGTTCCCTTTCAGGTCTGATTCGTTCATAACTTGATGTAAGCCACTCGAATACGTGCAACATGAGTGAGTTAAATGTCACTCTTTCACCCTGCAGTAAGGAGCCATTGAGGGCAGTGCTGGGGCTGCAGAGAGGAAATAATCTGCATTTAATGGGTAGAAGAAGAGTGAGAGGGTTGCGGTCCAATAGTCAAAAAACGTCTAACCCTATCCACTATCCCTTGACCTCTGTGTGAAACGTCACGGGGTTAAGGGATAGTGGATAGGAGAATTCAAAAGGATTTAGGAGAAGAGACTGCGGTACTTTAGAGAATCCGACTGCACTTTCACTATCCGACGTGTTTATGATGCGCCGGCGGAGGTCATAAATGTGCGCCTGCTGCTGTGGGGAAACTATGGAAACTACAGTTTTCTATACAGCGGACTACAACAGGGATGTTTAATAAGAACGAGGGACTACTGTAAACTCATCTAGAGACTCTGCACCGTGCTCTGATGCTGTTGTTTTATGCTTTATGAACGGGGACAACAGAGAAACATATTCTTCATGACCAAAGTTGGAATTGAAATAAAAAAGGAAAGTGAAACTTATGCTCGTCACCCTCTCCCTCCGGTCCACATTAATACAAATGATCCCAATACGTATGATTGTATGAAAAGATCTTAAAATCAATACAAATGTATTTATTATAAACGTTAGTCCTTAACATCTATCACTGTGTATATCACCATTCAAACATCTTTTAAAAGTTGAACAAACCCCACACAGCTCAGTAAAGACTGTGAAATGTTGACTTTATTTGATCATTTCAGTAAAAACTAACGTTCATATTTCTCTTTTTGATTATAATACTGATGAACGTTCAAAACAAAGCACTTTGGCAACTTACCACATACGTTTTAAAATGCTTAATAAGCACCGTAACTTTCATGATATCATTTCTCGTTCATAATCGGTTGTTTCCGTGAACGGCCGACTGTTGTGTGACGGCAAATGCCGCGGCCGCAAGGCATTGTGGGGCAGCATTTTCTCCTCTCCTTTCGGTTAGGGATGTCCAGTGGTTCCTAAGCTAAAGGAGGTTATAAAGGAAGTTTGAAACCTCCTTTCCTATCATCTAGAGAATTCGAACGGCACTTATCATGGCTGCCACTGAGGGACTTCCGGGTCATTTCACTCCGTTAGGAAGTGAAAGTTGAGCAGGTTTGGTTTGATGTTAAATTGAACAAGTCAATTTTATTTGACTGGGTTTGAGATGTAAACTTAAAGCTAAACTACAATTAAATCTTATCATCGAAAAGCTGTTTCGCTGGATAGGAGAAGATGTTGACCTGCGGGTGGCGGTAGAGAAGAATTCATAGGATCACCAATCTCATTAAACTGGTGCAGGAATGAGTCCTTACACCTGAACATGAGTTAGCAATTTACCACTTCCGGTTCCATCCTCTAAATAAACAGTTTTTAACAGTGGGAAGAGTAAAGGGCGGCTGCTGTGGCCAGAAGGTGTGTGTGTGTGTGTGTGTGTGTGTGTGTGTGTGTGTGTGTGTGTGTGTGTGTGTGTGTGTGTGTGTGTGTGTGTGTGTGTGTGTGTGTGTGTGTGTGTGTGTGTGTGTGTGTGTGTGTGTGTGTGTGTGTGTGTGTGTGTGTGAGGAGTGTTAGTGCACCTTTTTGATACCGGGTATGGGAAGTTGTGTTTTGAGTTTGTTGAAGAGTCCACCGGCTGCATTTTGCTGAAAACAGAAATGTCAGAGAGGTTATCAGATCTGTTCATTTTAGGGTCAGCCATGTGATCATTACAGTGGGAACAGATTCAGGGGGAAAGACTTCTCAATCCAGCTAGGACATTCTGATTAAACAATTGACATAATTATAATATTATGTTGAAATCTTATTTTCATTAAACATAGAATACAAAAAAAACAAATATATGTTTCAAACTTATTTCAGACACACATTTGTGATCAACTGAGTGGACCTTACTTCCTATTTTGTAGGTATACTGTAAGCACAGGACCATGAGAATATATACACACACGCACACGCACACACACACACACACACACACACACACACACACACACACACACACACACACACACACACACACACACACACACACACACACACACACACACACACACACACACACACACACTTACAAAGGCAGAAGTTATCCCAGGATGGTCCCGGGGGAGTGGTGGTCGTCCGATCATCCCTATAACACAGCAGAGGACAAATATAAATAACGTGAAATATATATCCCTGCACTCTCAGTTGTCAGAATGCATAAATGTACACTTCTATTCTTTCTGTAGACGTGTTTTGATTTATTTGTGATTGTTTGTACCCATGTCTCCATCAGGTCTGGAGCAGGGCTCTGTCAGCACTCGCAGCAGGCCGTCTGGTTTGTATGAGTAGTGCTCCACCAGCTGTGGAGAGGAGAGAAGTGCACATATCAGATGTCATATATACGTATATAACGATCCCCAAAGGGAGAGTCAGTTTTCCACTTGATTGTGACTGTTTCCATACAAAGTCCGTACAGACTGAGCTACTGCCGTCCAACACGTCCAACACCGTGTAGAAATTCACCATGTGGCTTTTTTTTATGCATCTTACAAAGAACATCAAGCTGTATTCAAAATAAGTCCAGAAATAAAGATCAGATCCTCTGACCCTGACGTAAATTGAACACACAGCCTTCTGATCTGGAGTCAGGCGCGCTACCGTTGCGCCACACGGTCATAAATATGAATTCAATCCAATGTCCAAAATGTCAGCTCTTCATCACTTGATCCAATGAAACCATTGCATCATATTGTCAAAATTAGCACAAGTTATTGAGATGTGGCCAAAAAACAATTATTATACATAGGTACCACGTGCACAAATGTTTTAAACTCCAAAATACATTTGAAAATGACTTATGTTGTGTTTAAAGATGCCAATTATGTGTACCTCAATTGGCTAGTTGAGCAATCGACCAAGCTTCTCTTGTATATAAAAAACTGTTGACTAACTAACAAATTATCATAGGTTTTTTCTGCAAAAATACTCATTTGTGAAGTAAATAGTGACTTCATCTGTAAAAATATATTGTTAGACTGTTGTGGAGATGAATTATACAGTGGCATTAAAGGAAATACAGAAATAACGTACACGTTTTTACCAATTTTTTGTTACAATACTTAAGTGAATGTACTTAGTTACATTTCACACATAAGAGCTCACAGTGACCATGACCTTTGACGGACAAAGTGGATGTTCGTGTCAAAGAAATGTGCATTTTAGGAACTTACGATTTAGACGTGCAAACGGACCATAAGGACAGTCACCAATGAGTGGCTGTCACTGAGAAACACTTGAGACATCGACCATGGAAACTTGACCCATAATCATAGTTAAATAGTTAAAAAATCCACATGGAAATGACTGTAAATCTGAGAATCCGTGTACCTGCCACAGGGTGTCAAACTTCTTTCCGTCTGGGATGGAGAGCTTGCTCGTCCGGTCCCGGTCGATACGATAATGCATGACTTGTCCTTCATGCAGTAAACACAGAGCGTAGGATCCGTTCGTATCCCTCTGCCGAATCCTGCACCACAAGAAGAGGAACATGAGTTAAAGTGTGTCTCATTTATACTCTGACTTCATAGATGTGAATGATATTTAGTGAGATGCCACCGAAGATGTTTACATTTGAGATATAGATTCAATCATGCAATCCACCAAACGCAACCGAACAAGAGTCGACAGCAAATGAAAGCTGTTTGTCTATGAGGGATATGGTTTCAGTGAAGCATTGCAACAGTGTCAGTCAAAGGCTTCAACACTACCACATCCACTGAGTTACAGCTACTGTGTGTGGTAACAGCTGGGTTGGGGGGTGTGGTGACTATTACCCCTCAATATCACCATGGATTCATACGGTGTTTATCAGTTAGACGTGTACGCTCTCCAATTACGACCACCAACATTCTTGCTATTAATACCATTTATTAAACCAAAAACTGCGTGTGTTTGCAACATCACACCTGTGCCGCTGAGGTCACCTAAATACCGTGTGCCACATTGCGCCATTTAGTGCTCAAACAAACAACCAAAACATACAAATGGGCACAACAGGGGGGTTACTTTGAAACACGTATTCTGTTATAATAACTAGTTACCTGAAAAAGAACGTAATCAGTTACCTAATCTAGGTATCAAATTATATAAGTAATGATCGCTTTCTGTTACTTTTGGATTACCTCAATATCAAATGCAATGCAAATAAAAACAAGAGAACAGATACTGTATTTTATGATAGGAAAACCTGCCTTTCATGAAGCGTTGACGGAAAATGCACTGTCTTAGTAACACACACAGTTAAGCTAACACACACTATTTGATGAACATATAGGTTCACCTGCTGAATTAAAAACGAAACAAATGAACCAAAGAAAGTGAAAACCATGAAGCAGATTCAGGCAGTAGGCGTTTCGATTCACTCTTAAAGTATTATCCTTCAGAACAGAACAGCTTACAGAGAAGAGATAACATCTGATCCTTTTACAACAAACACTATATGATCTTTTTATGGTTGGTTGTAATCCTGCTAGTAACCCCCAATGTTATCAAATGTAACAGTAATCAGATTACATCGTTAACTGTAAGGGAGCACAATTACTTTTTTTGTATCCTCATAAAGTAATCCTGTTACATGTCTGGTCCTCACTTTCCAAGCCCTCCACCATCGACTATTTAACTATGGCCACATTTTGCTTTCTTGCTCTCTAATGCTGGTTTATTTCTATTTCTATTTTGAGATGTGTTGGGGAATAATTCGCCCTGCATGTCCTCCTTCGCCCTCTGACGCAGCTGACCAACCTTGAGCAGCCACTATCTCCCTTAAGGAGGGGCTGCCTTAGCAAGTTGTTAATGTTGCCAGTTTGTGACCGGGCAACTCTCTGTCAGAGATAGTTATTGTTGTGGGACACCTGGAACACATCCTTCTCTGGGTGTAGATGACCCCGAGCCATAAGCGACAACAAATGTGGTTCAGTGTCCTCAGCTGTTTAGTCTATCTCAGGGGTGTCAAACTCAATTTCATCACGGGCCACGTTAGCATTAAGGTTGCACTCAAAGGGCCGGTTGTAACTATATAAATATACATATATAATATATATATAAAATAATGTATTATATTACAGTATTGCCTCTGAATTAGATTATTATCGGATAGGGTAATAACTTAGTAATTAACTACGTCTGAAAGCAGAAGTCCAGGGCAAATAATTGCAAGTCTCTTCAGTGTCACAAAGTGAGATGCATTGTGGGACATGTAGTTTATGGGCAACCTGCTTCTGTAAAGTAGCATGTAACCGTATAATAAACGTATTATATTCTTAGCAAGCTCTTGCGGGGCCACATAAAATGAAGTCGCGGGCCGGATTTGGCCCCCGGGCCTTGAGTTTGACACCCCTGGTCTATCTAGTGAAGAATGTTGATTATTACACTCTGAACTAGTTAAAACCTGGAGCTACAGGAGGGGTCTTCAGGATTGATTGTGGCATCTCAACCGTGTGGTCAGACCGTGGCCCGTGACATGTCTTGTGAATTCTCCGGCCGAAGCTCCAAATAAACCGTCAGTGTTTGACATCAAAGCTCCAGCTCTCCATCGTGTCTCTCTCTGAGTCCTGCTTCAGAAGTTTCCCCCACACAATGTTTATATTGTAGAATTGTTTTATTTCTACTCTTTTAATTTGTTATTATGTGCAATGCCTTTATTTTGTTTTAAGCTGCTGCAACATATTTTTTCCCCCCAAATTGGGATTAATAAAGTACATCTTATCATCTCTTCACCTCTGTCTACTCATAGCGTCAATGCATGCCATGTGTTCGTCTTTGTTTGTCCTTGTTTGTTTCTCCATACAAATACAATATATTATTATGTTTTTTGTCACTTCCCATGCCCTGGGTGTTAAACGCTGTTCAATCTGTCTCAACCTCAAAGATAATAACATTTTACAGATTCATTTTTAACAATTGTATCCGCACAAATACAAAAGGATAAGATCAAGAACGAACCATACAGGAAACACATTGAGGTTACCGTCACTTCAAGAGATCGTATTGTATTAACTTCACTACGTCTGAACTGATAATCAATGCTTATCAGGGTTCATGCTTTCAGACTTTTGAATGAATGAACGTCAATAAAAAAGTTTTTGATGCTTGACTTTTGTTAGGTATTAATCAGATTTATTAAGCAGCTTTTTACCTTTGAATTAATATACATACATTTAGACTCTTGAACATGATGTAGACAAATAAATAAAGGTTTTTAAATGTATTCATTGTGAAGCTTTAGTTAACTTATGTGTTTAAAATTAAATTATTTTTATTTTTGTCTCATTGTACTAATGCTCCCTTTTTCTCCTGTCGAAAACCCCATAAGGTCTAGTTTTGAAACAAATATTCTTCATTTTATTGTATTTACTTTTTGATATTTGCCACCATGGGAACATTTTAATAGTATGTATTGCTCACGGTATTTTATCTGCGCCGTGTTGGCTGATAAATGGGTGTAACTGTTACAGAAATAAGAGAAAACAGGAACTTAATTACAGTAAATGGCCTCTGTGCATTTATAAATAACTATGCCAGTCCCTTATGTGAGCTAGAGAGATAGATAGATAGATAGATAGATAGATAGATAGATAGATAGATAGATAGATAGATAGATAGATAGATAGATAGATAGATAGATAGATAGATACTTTATGGATTATTTTGTTACCGAATCATCAGTGTGTTCAGTCATAAAATAAAAGATCCTCAAAAAGAGGAACAGAGAAATTCAAAAAAAAAATGTAAGGTAAAAATAAAATGAAAAACAGTATACAAATCCTTGATAATTAAAAATACTGCAGTTAGTAACAGGAATATATGCGTACTGTACACTACAGGAGCATAGACATACTTGTATATATAATTATAAATTATATATTTAAAACGTTAAAAAAAGCTGAAATATTTAGCCTTACTCGTTATAACAGTTTCTTTTGTTGGCTGTTGGAGTCAAAGCCTAAACCATGTACTAGAATAATGTATCCGTGGTTACAGTGTGTTATACACATGTATTTAAAACTATAGTAACACCATGAGGCAGAAACACGATGCTTTTTGTGCTTTGTGAGAAAAAGGACCGAGTCACATCTCGCCCCGCTTCTCTGGCTACTTCAGGAAGTCCTTTGCTAACTGCCAGAGCGGAAACCACAGTGTGTGTGTGTGTGTGTGTGTGTGTGTGTGTGTGTGTGTGTGTGTGTGTGTGTGTGTGTGTGTGTGTGTGTGTGTGTGTGTGTGTGTGTGTGTGTGTGTGTGTGTGTGTGTGTGTGTGTGTGTGTGTGTGTGTGTGTTTCTTCACACAAGACCATTGGCTCATCTTCTGAAGCCTCAGCTGCCAAACACTTGTTGTGTTCAAAAGACAAAATACCTATTTTTAAACATGTATTCTGTCTGATTTTACATAAGACACTTCAATTTCCTTCTGTTTCACTATGAAAAACGTCTGGAGCAAATCATCTCATGTCAAATCATGTCAAAGAAGAGATGAGGATTTTGTTTTTTAACTACATTTTGAAGAAAACGGATCAACTTGTGTCTGTAAAAATACCTATTTTTAGCATTAATTTACTGAATTAAATATACTTTAAAGCAATATTGTACTATTGTAGTTGTAGGACATCGGATTTGCATAATTTCTATCACAAATTACACTTTTACAAAGCAGACATTGAGGAATCGGCACTGTAAGAGAGCTGTGGCTCAATGAGAGTGCTGAACTTCAAATCAGTGGGTACCAAGTTCGAGTCCCACTGCAGTCAGCATGTCGTTGTGTCCCTGAGACACTTCACCCCAAATTGCTCCTGTGGGGATTGTCCACAGTACTGAATGTATGTAAGTCGCTTTGAATAAAAGCGTCTAACAAGTAACATGTAATGTGTATCTCATTGTTTTGTTACCATTGGACTTCAATGAGTCACTATAGGGATATGATAATAGCGATAAGGATAAGATATCTGATTCAAGATACAAGAAATATAAGATCTTTTTGTGGTCCAAGACAGGATATCAGTGCCCTCAGCGAAACAAATATAGAGCTGTACAACAAACGTTTTATTCTGTTAAGTAACGACCCATGCAGCTGCGTCTCATTCACACTGACCAGCAGCTTCTCAAAGGTAATATTTGACAGATAAGCTAAAAAAAAAAAGACTTTTATTTATCAATAAAGTCTCCCACTGATCAACCCAGTCCAAATCCATGTCCTGTTTCATCTTTGTGATCCTGATACCTCAGAAGGTTGTGCATGTATTATTTCCAGACCATGTAGTCAGATGTAGGTTTAATGCTTTGAGATGGTTCAGTTGAGATAAAAAGTTTAAAATCGATTGCTGAGATTTGAATTGGTAAACGCAGACTGGGAGCAACACGTCTGAAAAATGGCTTACGGTATCTCCATACATTAACACCACCAGGGACGTGCACAGGTACGGGCTATTGTTGCCCGGGCAACGGCCCGTTTGCCCTGACCTGCCCCTCTGGAGAGAGCGAGAGTTTATTTTTATTTTGTTTCTGTTGTGGCCGAATCAACATGATAAGCCCACAATTAGTATTGTAGCGTCTCGCTGCGATAAAACACACCTTGTCAGCGCTGTCATCTGCCGGTGCGTTAAAGACCACCTCTAGTGTCGGATTTTGGAAAATTGATTTTGAGTTTCCTCATGGCAGTTAGGGTATAGGCGTATAGAGGTATATCCTCTTGACACCGTCTGTTATTTACAAAAAAAAACTAAATCTACTTGTTATTGTGCTATGATTTTCGCCAGAAGTATAAAGCATTAGGCTATAAACAAACTATATCACAGACGCATGGTAGCGCATCACCACCGCTAAGCTAAAGGCGGCTAATGTTCGGCGTGATGACTTCTAGTAGTCTTATTTAGCCTCTTGTTAGCAACCGCTGTTTTTATGACACATTGAAGGCCGACCCAGAAGGTAAAATGAAGTGCTCCGCGGACAAAAAGTAATGGGATTTTTCCATTGGACCATCGCTAAGCTAAAGGCGGCTAATGTTGGGCATTTAGCCTCTTGTTAGCAACCGTTGTTTTTAGATAATTAACTATACAACTATAATTTGGACATTCACTGCTGGGGTATTTAGTGATGTAGTTTATGATGTAGAAGAAAATGTGAACATCTCTTGAGCTTTATTTAACACAGACCTTATTTCAGACTTGTAACCAAAATCACGTCAAAAAGATATGGGCTCAGAACAGTCTCATAATACACACATGCACACAGAAGGATTCACACTTGTATTTCTGGATCCACACTTGTGTTTTTCAATGCACACACAAATGTGTTCCGTTTCATATACATGTAAATAAAATCCAAATACAGAAAAAAGTTTTACATATGTATTTTTGATCCTCACATATTTGTTTTCCGTTTAAATCCCCTGAACCTGCAAACACAAACCGCTTTCTGTGCATGGATCGCTCTGCATTCGTGTGTGGGTTTTTTGAGACTCCCCTGACGGTCACCCGATTCGTACTTGTAATTTTTTCTATCTATAGCCAATCAGATGTCTCCTCAATTCTAAGCCAATCACATGAGCGCGCCCCCACAAGGGTAGATTTCTTGCGTTCATGACGTAGCGCTTCATGTACGCATTTTGCGCTGTCCGGAGCTGACAGGTCCATGGAGCCTGCCTGCAGGCGCTAATCTCAGGACACCTCCACTCTCAGTACAGTGCCACTTTCCGATCAGGAAATGCACGCAAATACAAGCCTTTATATTATTAAGGTACAGTGCCACTTTCCGAACCATTAATGAATGCTTGTGTACACAAAAACGGCAGGCAAAACTGTTTTAAATGTGTGTTTCCTGTATGGCGATCAGCTGCTTTATTTATGTCTGTATGAAGTTGTTGTGAGTGTGGAGGGAGCAGCTACAGGTTAGCTTAGCCTAATCGATCAGTGCACTACGAAGCCAGTGCTAGACAGTGAACTGTCAACGGGGGGAGCCCCGCCGGTCATTATCGGCCGATATTCACTCTTAATAGTTTGATCGGTGCTCTCTATAAAGGCCGATCAGGAGAGCTGGATCTGATCGATATGGACATAAACGCGAGTGAAGTTTTAGCGAGCTGCATGAGAAACTGACGGGCTGTCAGGAGAGAGGGAGGGAGAGAGGAAAAGAGATGATCCTTACTCCCGTGTTATTATCCGGTCATAGTCCGGTAATTACCTAACGGAAACGCTGCTACACAATTCTTATTATTATTATTATTGAAACATGACCGGTAAGTTTCAAATTTGTCCGGTAAAATTAAATTCTGTCCGCGGAAACCCTGCTCCGGACTACGCAAAATGCGTATATGAAGTGACATGAACGCAAGAAATCTACCCTCGTGGGGGCGCGCTCATGTGATTGGCTTAGAATTGAGGAGACATCTGATTGGCTATAGATAGAAAAAATTACAAGTACGAATCGGGTGACCGTCAGGGGAGTCTCAAAAAACCCACACACGAATGCAGAGCGATCCATGCACAGAAAGCGGTTTGTGTTTGCAGGTTCAGGGGATTTAAACGGAAAACAAATATGTGAGGATCAAAAATACATATGTAAAACTTTTTTCTGTATTTGGATTTTATTTACATGTATATGAAACGGAACACATTTGTGTGTGCATTGAAAAACACAAGTGTGGATCCGGAAATACAAGTGTGAATCCTTCTGTGTGCATGTGTGTATTATGAGACTGTTCTGAGCTCATAAAAAGAACGTTGACCTTGAGACATGAGGAAATGCTAACTCGGTAAAATGCTAACTTATTTCCCAGTTTTAGGACTCATTCCTGCACCACTCTATTTGATACAATTCATATCCAGCCATTTACTGTAAACACCACCAAAACAAAAGAAACACACTTGTTAAATACTCACAGGAACTTTCCACTCGCCCTCATGCCACTCTGCAGCCGGGGCTCCGAGTCTTCTCGTGTGATCGATCCGTGGAACCAGGGCATCTTCTCGTGGGCCGTGGTGGAGATGAGCTTCTCCAGCTGAGGCCTCTGGCTGATGATGGCCTGCTCCAGAGCTGATCCCTGCACACACACACACACACACACACACACACACACACACACACACACACACACACACACACACACACACACACACACACACACACACACACACACACACACACACACACACACACACACACACACACACACACACACACACACACACACACACACACACACATAATTATTTGGGCTTTTTTCTTGTCAACTAACATATGTTAGAAAATGTTTCCAACTTTAATTGACTGAATTTATTTGAAAAGTGTTCTTATTAACACATGAATGCTACTGTGTAATATATGTTTACATTTGTATTTAAGAAGTACAATATAAGACAAGCACAAGTTTCATTTGTGGGCCGTATTCCATTGTACTTTTTTAATTTGATGAGGGCCGATTCAAAATGGACAACGGGCCACAATTGGCCCCCGGGCCGTAGTTTGGACACCCCTGTCTTAGATATTCTCACTGACCTTCCTTCTACGAGTTGACTAAGAGTATCGACTCACCGCCAGATTCCACGTCTGCTTCACATACTCCCGGATCAGTTTTTCCTTCAGGTCCTCAAACGGCCCCACCTTGGGCTGCATGTTCTTGGGTCTGTTGCAGGGCTTCTTCAGCAGACACACCAGACCATCCATCTCCTGCGAGTGGTAGTCGATCACCTCCTCGGGGCTCCTGTGGCTCTTCCCTCCGGCGATGGCGAACGTTTCATTGGGTTCTCGTTCGATGGTGTAGTGGTAGCAGCGGCTGGAGTGCAGCACGGACAGAGCGAAGCCCCCCAGGTAGTTCCTGCTCTGCCGCAGCAGATAGGAGCCGTTGCTGGTGCTCGTCTGCTGCAGGTATTCCTCCGCGTCCTCCCTGGTGATGTTGCCATAGAAGAAGGGCAGGGCGTTCACTGCGTCAGCCATGATGGCGTCTGGATGGTAGGAAGGCCCCTAGTGAAGTTCAGCCACAGGATGCTATTCAATCTGAAGAAATAATGAAACCATAGGACAGTCAAGATGAAGTATCTATGAAAACACAACTGTTACATGAAACCCAACAGGATGACTCATCCGACCCTTCACTTCCTTGCTCAGGTGCCAGAGAATACGTCATGGTGTACAGTTCATTTACAGTACTACTGTATCAGTGATATGTAACCTGTATGCAGTTGTGTAAAGTAACTAGTACATTTACTCAAGTACTGTACTTAAAGGTAGGGTAGGTAAGAATGGAGAAACCAGCTCGAGTGCGCTAGAATTTGAAAGTACACAACCGAAAAAAATCTGCCCCTTCCTTCAGACTTCATTACAGAGCCCCTCCTCCAACACACACGAACGCGCACATGACCAATGAGGGCACGAGATAAGTTTGTGCACGAGATGGAAGGCTGACAGGCAGGTAGGCCATCCAGTTATCTGACCCGGGCCGGGGCAGATGATTGGACATGCTTTTTACAGCGCCACGGCTTCCACAGATGAAATATTTGTATATATTTATTGTCAAAGCATTTCCTTTATTCATTGCTATCGGGATGTTAAGAGCATTCCATGGAATATAACAAAAAGTGTTTCTGAAGGGAATTACCTACTAAGTACAATTTTGAGCTACTAGTACTACTACTATTATTAGTATTTCAAATGTATACTACTTTGTACTTTTACTCCACTACATGTATTTAATACCTTTAGTTACTTTACAGATGTGGATGAATGATGTGAAATATAATCAAGTGTTGAATCAGACTTTAGTTCCACCTGGAGTAAATCCACAAGCTACCCTGCAGTATACAAAGTCATTCAAACTAGCTGCACCTTTACCAGCTTTGAGAACACTTTAATGATCAATCATTATAAAACATATCATATATATTATTCTGAAATGGACCAATATGCACAATGACTACTTTTACTGTCGCTACTTTAACTATATTTTGATGATAATACTTTTCTACTTTTACTTGAGTAACATTTTTGAGGACTTTTACTGAAACAGAGTATTCCTACACTCTGGTACTGCAGACGTGGGATGTAATTGAGTACATTTGCTCTTGTGTTGAACTTTTACAAAACAATAGTAATACAAAAATGTTTATGCTACTTTGTATTTCTACTCCACTACAATTCTTGGTTAAGATATCCAGCAGCAGTTTATCAATAATTCAAAAGAGCGCCACCTTTCCCAGCTGTGATGAACACATTAATGCATCAATAGTCATAATACAGTAATTTGATATCATTCGTAAATGTGTCATTATGCAAGGACTTTCACTTTTGGTACTGTAGAACATTTAGGTGCCAATATATTTCTACTTTTACTTGGAAGGAAGTATTTTTACATGTTAGTATTGCTACTAGTACTCCTTCCACCTCTTGTGAGTGTACAGTAAAAATGGAGCTTGTGTTCAGACGGGAAGACGATGATATAAGATACAATCTGTTGATCACTGTAACAGGATTACACTTCTGAACTCACAGTCTGGATCCTCTTTGTTCAGGAGTTTGACTTCATGCCACCGGGGCATCACACTTTATATCCTGTGTGTAGAAAAACACAGTGAGAAGAAAAGACCCTGTACAAAAATGTTTTGCAAAACCCGGTGTTCTGGAAGTGAAGTCTAAAAGGTCTGGTAACTTTCTGGGGAGTAACGGATTACATGTAAAAGGATAACATAATCAGTATACAAAATAGTAATGGTAAAATAGTCCCTTGGTGTTACATTCAAAGAAGATGTAATTGGACTACAGGTACATTTGTAAAAAAATAAAAAGGCTATCCTACAATACATTTGAAAATAAAGATCCATATATAAATGGTAGACGTACTGCTTGAATTGTCTTTTTGGTTTTCATTTAAGCTGCTTTCTTTATTTTAAATATGTTATATTGAAAAGTAGTAGGTGGACACCTGTTTTATTAAACAAAAATACTTCTAATTCAGGTACATTTTAAAAACGAAACAACATGTGTAAACTATACTGTTCTGTAGGCCTAGTCTATCATTTGCGATGAGACATTTTTGACTATAAATATCTTGGTTTCTTCTTTTCCCTAAGGTTGTTTAAGGGTATATTGTTCTGTATTCTTACGAAGTAGACTTGTAGTATTTATAATATATAATAATAGTGCATTCATTTGCATCGAATGTGATATTGAGGTAGTCCAAAAGTAACGGACAGTAATCAGGTTACATTACTTTTATATCATGATTTCATACGGAAACCCTTCAAACGCTAGTTAACCGGACATGGAAGTAAATATACATTTTGCACTTACTGTACACATGAGGTGTTCCTGATCCTCTCCGTCCCTCAGTCCTCCAGCATGTCCTCTGCTGCCGTCCTCTGAACAAAACCGGGGGACGAACAGAGCCTCGAAAACTCAGACGGATCCTTACAAACAACAAAAATGTGCATCAAAAAGCTGTCAAAGCCTCAGCAGATGCTTTACAGCTGCGTTCTGACACATGAGGAGCGCCGGAGCTTCCTCAATTCAACGACTTATTTTACTTCCTTTTTTTTTTTATCTGAACACTGACCAACAGTCTGATGCACGCAGGAAATGATAAGGCGCCTGCAGTGACACAAGTGACAGTCCTTTCAGATGGGTTTCATGACGTTTCTATAAAAGTGTACCTTTATTTAGAGAGAAAATACATTGCAAACAGCGCAGGGGTCGAACTCAAATGAACGTGAGACTATTTAAAATGCTGTTAATGTGACTTTTATATTGAGTTTAAATATTAGGTACAACTTAGTATTATTGCTTTCAACTAACCTAATACAGTTATGTGAAATCTGTTGATATAATACATTAAATTAAAATCAACGTTTCACTTTTTTAGTGTATGGATATCACTGAATATGAATGTATTGATATTTTGGCATTTTTTTAATAGTTGAAATTATGCTCATACTCTAATCTTTCTTTCTGATTGACTTCTAAGAGTACCACCAACTTATTTATTTAATTCAAACTTAATTAAATTAGTATCTAAAATGTAACACTTATCACTGCATGAATTATGTGATTTATTTAAGTGTTTAAGTATATAAAAAAGTACTAAACATGCAGAATGGTACTTCTAACTGTACTGATTCCTATTCTCATTAATACATGAATAAGCTGCTATTGTTATGGCCATGCTGGTGTTTATGTTTACTGCTGTGTAAACAATCTGCACACATCAACGTTGCAATCAAAAAGTGTAGGGCAAAGTATCTACATTTTGTGTGGTGTGTGTGTGTGTGTGTGTGTGTGTGTGTGTGTGTGTGTGTGTGTGTGTGTGTGTGTGTGTGTGTGTGTGTGTGACATACAGATCTGTCTGGTTGAGCAAACACTGTGAAGTCGGGCAATGTGTTGTGAAATAGTTCAGTGGTTGCTGCTGCTCATCAGCTGTTGTTGACTGACAGGACTAGCCACACACTACTTTTGATTTTAAAGTATAAAATGATAGAATGGTTTTATAATTTACTTTTTGGATCATCGTCGTCAAATTCTAACTCACTGTCCTCCAGACTGCTCTGTTTAGGCCATGTGTGTGTGAGTGTGTGTGGGTGTGTGTGTGGGTGTGTATATTTGTGTGTGTGAGAAGAACATGTTTCACAATCAGGAAGTGCTCGCCAGCTTTGGTGTTTCACACTCTCCGCACACTGACAGTAAACACACACACACACACACACACACACACACACACACACACACACACACACACACACACACACACACACACACACACACACACACACACACACACACACACACACACACACACACACACACACACACACACACACACACACACACACACACACACACACACACACACACACACACACCGCCTCACGCTGACTGCTACTATGTCCTTAAATATACCTTCAATGAAATTCAAGTGAAAACGTCCCTTTTTAAAAGGTGTTTTCTGAATGCAAATATAAAATGAATTCCCTGAAACTACAGCAAGAGCGATGTGGGTGTATTTCTCTGTGAGGACGAATGAGAGTTAAAATGTGTTTTTAGAATGTGAGGGTATTTTATTTTGAGGTCACTTCAGAGGGCAGTTTGAGGAATAGACCCTGCATAGATGTGGGTGGAGTTAAAGGACAGGGTCACTATCAAAGGCGCACACACACACACACACACACACACACACACACACACACACACACACACACACACACACACACACACACACACACACACACACACACACACACACACACACACACACACACACACACACACACACACACACAAACACTGTAGAAGTGTTTCTGTGTTTCTTACTTCTCCCTTTTCATGAGATCCTGCCCTCACTGCATTTCACAGACGTATTACTCGCGTGATCACACTCCATTCCTCTCGCAGTATTACTTTCTTATCTGCCTTTTATTTTAAACTCTTTTCAAAACTACAAAAGCTGAGCCATTATAAGGTTTCCAGCAATGTAAGTGCATTGAATAGCATCAACGCCTCTTACAGCTTAACTTCTACCAAGATAATTGAAACGTCAAATTGTGTGGCACTATTTTTTTTTAGATCGTTCTTTTTGTTAACTTTGTTATCTGTGGATTTTTATTGCCATTACAATAAAGGCTTGTACAATTAAATAACTCCTCAAATATGATACAAATATTTAAGTATAATACAATCAGTGATATCGGAGAAACTAAGCAAACAGTAGCAGTCAATGGAAAAATAAAATCAAATTTATAGTTATGTATAACTATATACAATATAACTATAAATTATGTAAATATATATATATATATATATATATATATATATATATATATATATAGTTCAATGTGATTCATGTATGACGGGTGCGGAGCTGAAAGTGAGGGTATTTCTGTATTTTCTGCACGATCTCCTTTAATGGTCTGAAACGTATTAACCTCTTAAATTGCGTTTAAAGCAAATAATAAAAATAAAATAAATACTGTAATTGTCTTTATGGTTTTACAGCGATCTGCATCAGAGTGAAAGAGAAAAGGAAAACAGCACAGATATGTTTTAAACCGGTTGAATGTGATGATGCTTTCCTTTATTCTCTGACTTTTAACTGGGTATATTTCAGTTTTAAAATCTTATTGTGTTTTAAATCTGTTTTTGCACCGATATGTTTGTCTATGTCTGTCTTTGTGCAACCTGTTTTAAAGAGCTGTATAAATGTATACAATACAATATGAAGAAGTTCTTAACATGCATAATGATACCTTTAATAATCCTGATTCTTATAAGTATAATATTTCCCTTTAAAATAAATATAAATAATCCAAAAAGAAAAATTAGAACCTCAAATGTGTGTGTGAGGTCGTAGTGTGTTTCGGTGCGACCTGTTTTTAAGAGCTATATAAATGACCTGAAACCCGTTTTACCCCACAGTGTGGAAGAGGTTGTGCAACAGTGACATTTGAAGCTCAACACGACACACAGGTTGTGTTGAAGGTGAGTTCAGGTTTGTTTGGAGTCGATGCTCAGAGGGGTGGAAAATGTCCCCCCTGTGATGTCTGCTCTGCAGCCTGTGGTCTCCTCTCTGTCTCTGAAACTGAAGGAAGCGAACCGTCACTTCCTCAGGTTCTTAGCCCCAGTCGATCGTGGTCTTCAGGGGCCACAACTTATTTTTTTAAATCATAAAAGGAGTTACACTTTCGTATTTACAACTATCAACAACCAGAGGCGGGAGAAGTACTCAGATGTTGTACTTGAGTAAAAGTAGAAGTACTCAGATCTTGTACTTGAGTAAAAGTAGAAGTATTCAGATGTTCTACTTGAGTAAAAGTAGAAGTACCAGAGTGTAGGAATACTCTGTTACAGTAAAAGTCCTGCATTCAAAATGTTACTCAAGTAAAAGTAGAAAAGTATTATCATCAAAATATAGTTAAAGTAGCGACAGTAAAAGTAGTCATTGTGCAGATTGGTCCATTTCAGAATAATATATATGATATGTTTTATAATGATTGATCATTAAAGTGTTCTCAAAGCTGGTAAAGGTGCAGCTAGTTTGAATGACTTTGTATACTGCAGGGTAGCTTGTGAATTTACTCCAGGTGGAACTAAAGTCTGATTTAACACTTGATTATATTTCACATCATTCATCCACATCTGTAAAGTAACTAAAGGTATTAAATACATGTAGTGGAGGAAAAGTACACCATTTACCTCTGAACTGTAGTGGAATAGAAGTACAAAGAAGTATACAATGGAAATACTCAAGTAAACAAGTACCTCTAAAGAGTACTTAAGTACAATATGAGTAAATGTACTTAGTTACTTCCCAGCCCCCATATGCACATATTTTTTGTGCGATAACACTTCTTATTAAAGTTCAAATGATCAAATCTCGAACACTGTCTTTTGACCCCTTTCATAAAATAACTGTCCAAAGCACGACCCCGTGTCAAATAGATCTCCAACCGCCACTGCTTGACTGCACAAATGGAAGGGATGAGATTTTTTAAGATGTCGTTTTTATATTCTTAACCTTACAATCAGAGTTTCATTAACAAGGATCATAGGAAGATTTAATCGACCCTAACTCAGCTCGGTTTGGCTCCACCTTGTGGCACAACAGAACCTTCAATGTAAATGTTAATTAATCAAAATAGAAATTAAACAGTGTTAGTGTCTTGATGATTATGTGTGTGTGTGTGTGTGTGTGTGTGTGTGTGTGTGTGTGTGTGTGTGTGTGTGTGTGTGTGTGTGTGTGTGTGTGTTGAATCAATAGCTAGCTTACCTCAAAGTATTCCTGCAAACTGGGCAAGTCTGGGTATTGTTTTATTTATTTTATAGGTCTTAAAGGGTTTTATCTTGTATTATTTATTTAACAGTTTCAATAGGATTTTTAGTTTTTTTATATTTTAATCATTTAACCTCTATTACAATTATTATCTTTTTATTTTTATTTCTGTTGTACCTATATGTTCACTTTGATTTCTAGGGTTTTATATTGTTCAGGGTTCCTGCAGGTTTCACCAACTCCAATTTTAGACTTTTTAAGACCTTTTTAAGACCACTTTGAATAGAATTTAAGACCTATTTCACAGCAAGAAAGTATGAAGGAAAATTGCTATGAAAGAAGAAATACATCCCATAATTACTTTCAAAGTAAATGTGTTCACGTTCAACATAAGAACGATGACTGAACATAACAGCATAACAGTACACAGAACTGTGTTAGCGTGTTAGCCAAAAACCAGAAAAAAAGAACTGCCTAACCGTGAAAGTGTGTGTGTGTGTGTGTGTGTGTGTGTGTGTGTGTGTGTGTGTGTGTGTGTGTGTGTGTGTGTGTGTGGTGTGTGTGTGTGTGTGTGTGTGTGTGTGTGTGTGTGTGTGTGTGTGTGTGTTGTGTGTGTGTGTGTGTGTGTGTGTGTGTGTGTGTGTGTGTGTGTGTGTGTGTGTGTGTGTGTGTGTGTGTGTGTGTGTGTTACCATCACACTGTATCATGGGATGTTTGCGTGAAATAATGAGAGAAAAAGCATAACCCCTCTTTAATAGTTTGATTAGATTAGGTTAGATAAGATTTACTTTATTGATCCCAAATTGGGGATCAGCAAGGCATAATGTGAAAATGAGAAAGAGTAGACAACAAACATAAACAGACATAAAACATAAATTATAAACATCTCAAAACAGAAAAGTAAACAGATCTATAAAGTAAAATACATAATGAATGATTTTCTATTTTGAGATGATGTATAATTGTTTATTTTCTACTCTTTTTTAGTTCTCATGATGTGCAATTATTTATTTTATACAGATAATAATTACCTGTAAACATGATTATTTTTATAAATTAACCAAAAGCCTTGAAAGTTTGTTTGTTGATTCTAGAAATTCATATTATTGGTTAGCTGAACTAAAGAAAGACAATATTAGGATTGGTCAATAACACAAGTCTTCCTATCTACACAAAGTGTTTAGTTGTGTACTTGCTGGCATTCATTTATAAATACATATTTGTTAATAGTTGTAAGCATACAGTTTAAAAGAACATTTAATCCCTATTCGTGGTAATGTTTGAGGTATCACCTTTCATGTTTAATTGTTTTCTGTGATCTAGATCTTTCTGTTTGTTTGTTCCTTGTTTTTAATGATGTTCCTCACTCGTTATTGTGTATCCTGTTTTACTCTGTAAAGCACTTTGGGCTGCATCTTGCATGAAAGGTGCTAGATAAATAAACTGTATTATTATTATAATTTGTATTATGCTTGAGCGAGTGTAGCAGAACAGCTGCTGAGGAACAGTAAGTGTGTGTCTGACGGTTGCACTTCTCTTTCTGTCAAGTTCCTGCTTTCTATTATTAAAACATGTTGACAAAATGGCGCACTCTTAAAGACATTGTTCTTTTTTTGTTTTGCTGCATGCCGAAATTATTTTAAGCATTTGTTTTGTTTCTAAAAAATAAAGTATACCTTATCTTATTTTCAATCCTGTGATCATCAACACTTCTTAAAATGTCTGATGAATGTCACAACTAGTTTCTTACCCGCCCCCCCCCCCCAAACCAATGTACACACTGCTTTCATTTCCTTGAGAACACAAACGTGTGAAAGCACAGAACACGCAAGCTGTATCGTGACAAAATGGCAATTAAAATAACAAATTAGATCAGTTTTACCGTTCATGTTTTATATGTGCACTTTACAGACAGTTCTTACCAATTACTGCCCTGATATAAGTCATCCGGCATGTGCAAAATGATCAGTACATGCAGTAAATATCAGCTGCAATGCTTTGAAAAGTATATTTAATACAGCTAAAAGTGTTTCCGAGTAATGGCGCAGTTAATCCCACTTCCTCTATTGAAGTTGGGTCCTCACCTCTTACATGTTGACACACTGAGGTCAATGTATAACTTGTGTGCAGTATGAAGAAAAAGCAAGATGGCTAAAGAGGAAACATACAAGTGAGTGAAATAAATAAAAGTGAAAGATAATAATAAATCAGCATATCAATTTGTGGAAGTGTTAAAGGATAAAACAAAACATCACATGTTCTTTATGGCAATTGCAGGTTAAGGGTTAAGATGTCACACACATTTTGTTTGCTACTCCAATCTTTATCAACAGGATCTCCACCGCCATTTAAAATGTCACTTCACTTAATAATTATACAAAACAAACTGTTCTGTCTGGCGGTACCGCAGCATCAGGACCAAAACCACCAGACTCAGGGACAGTGTTATCCCACAGACAATAAGACTATTAAACACCTGAGCTCTGTTAAGTGCCTCCATGAACATTCTCTGTTTGTCATCTTACAATTGACTTATTTATCTAAATAGTTATCACTGTAATAAACCTGATTTAATTTCATCTTACTGTACAATAAGTCATTTTACATTCTGTTCTTTAATATATCATATTCTATTTACGTGTATATAGACTTCTTGCACCATTTTTTTATTTGTTTGATTGTTTACGTCTTATTTAACTATGTTGCATTGTTGGAGGAGCTCGGGACATAATATTTTCATTGCCATTTCTACACTGTAGCTTATGTGCATATGACATTAAAACCTTTGAATCTTTGAATAATTCCCTCACATGAGACAATGCATTTCTGCTCTGATTTAAACAAATATATAATGAGTGTTCAGTGCAGTGGAACACAGCTCATATGCTCATTTGAAGCTACATTAGTTATACTCAGACTATATATAAATACTCAGGCTCGTACTCAGTGTCCTGCGCCTTTAAATTCATCTCCATGCTTCACGTGCACATATTGCTATGTTCTGCGACAAATGTCTGCAGGAGGATACTGCAAGTGTCCAGGGAAGCGGATCTCATTATTTCCTCCACATTACCTCCATGGTTTTATTTCCATATGAAGCATCAGCAGCCTTCACTGCTGCTGTTTCCATTCACTGCTCAATAAAAGATATGTGGAGGAATGAGAGTGTCTGCATGCTGTGGAGGAATGGAGTGATGTCATCAACTCACCCTGTCAGCCCATTGTGAGTCTTCAGTCGGGAACTTTAGGTCATTATTGAGGGTAAAGAGAGAGTGAGCATCCATCGGATCTCTGCAGAATCTCAGCTTCCGTCCCGGAGCTGCTGGATTCCTGGCTCACTTCCTATTGGCTCATAATAACCGTAAACAACCAGCATCTTCCAGCCGACCAATCACAGGGAGGCCTGGGTATTGTCCCATTTCAATTTTTTTGTGATTATGCATCAAATATCAATTTCATTTGTTTAAATTGTATGATTAGATGTCTGAATAATATCAGATTTGATATGATTGTAGATGAATGCATCATGTGTTAAACAAACATGACCAGCAGATGGCGCTGCTCTATCAGCTGTTTATTCTCACACCGGCTGCTGCACACTGGAGTGTTATATTCAGGTCACTATAACACAGTAGACAAGTAGATTTACATAAGTACATTTTGAGGTAGTACTCAGATCGTGTACTTGAGTACAAGTAGAAGTACCAGAGTGTAGGAATACTCTGTTACAATTAAAAGTCCTGCATTCAATAATCAAAATATAGTTAAAGTACCAAAAGTAAAAGTATGTGCAGATTGGTCCATTTCAGAATAATATATATGATATGTTTTATAATGATTGATCATTAAAGTGTTATCAAAGCTGGTAAAGGTGCAGCTAGTTTTAATGACTTTGTATACTGCAGGGTAGCTTGTGAATTTACTCCAGGTGGAACTAAAGTCTGATTTAAGAGTTGATTATATTTCACATCATTCATCCAGATCTGTAAAGTAACTAAAGGTATTAAATACATGTAGTGGAGTAAAAGTACACCATTTACCTCTGAATTGTAGTGGAGTAGAAGTACAAAGTCGCATAACATTGAAATACTCAAGTAAAGTACACATATCTCAAAATTGTACTTGTACAGTACTTGAGTAAATCTAGTTAGCTACTTTACACCTCTGAATACCCAGTGATTGGTAGGGGGAGCTGTGAATGAAAAGTGCTTTATAAATACATTTTATTTGATCTTTACCTCCCGTAGTGTTTCATTGTGCTCTGGTTTTATTCCATGTGTCCTGTGGAAGTATGTCTAAAAAAACTATCTAAAACTATCTGCTGCCAGATGTTCGCTGCTGATGCAGTGTAGTGAGGCGCACCGTCCTGACGTCACTGTCCGGGGTTTCCTAGTGAAGTGAACCCTACGGCGTCATGGCGGAGGCCGGTTGTCGGAAGACCCTGGTTTGAAATGCCAGTTTTCTACAATCGTAGTTGACAAACGAGGAACAAGACTTTGCTTACATCTAGCTCGGGAAAGGGGATTTACTTGAGGGGGAGGAAAACCACCAGTGCACCGGTTCTGCTGAACGGAACCGTTCGGGGCTGCTCTCCCTAACTGGGAGAAAGCTAGCTAGCTAGCCTAAGGTAGCCTTAGCTATCGCAGCTGCTAGCTCGCTAGTTAAATAAAAGAAGAAAGGACCTCTGAAGTGGAAAGTCGGATTTAAACAACAATTCTATTGGAGTTTGCCAGGTAACGTGAAATAACACCAGATAACATGCTGCGTGGAGTAATTTATCCCTTAGTTCATTGAGGAAAGTAAGCTAATGTTGATGTGGTAAAAACCGCGAGAAGTGAGCGGCGAATGAAAACAAGATGGAAGAGGGTGAAGTTAGGTTAGCTAATTTGGTTTGTGGTTTTAATAATGAATACTAAATACATTTAGTACTCTCATGTGGACCACTACGTGCCCAGACATTTGCATAGTGAAATAGTCTCGACTGAATAACGCGGAATGTCGGCTATAGCTGGAGAGAGAACATTCCAGAGGTGCTAAGATGAACTAGCGCAAAGTTTTGTCATTTTGTTAGCTTCCGTGCTAGCCTCGTGCTTCATAACGTTAGCTAGCTACTTTCCTTGGCAACGTTAGTAAACGATGGACTATCACCCCTAGCTCACTTCATGGTAACTGAACCAACAATAATGTAAAAATAAAAACATGGCACGACATTTAACACTTGCCCACATTGTTCTAACACAGGTTGTAGAATAAAACAGATGCTTTAACTGTTTTATATGCTATGATTGTGTAACTCCGAGGATCATAATACTAGCACAACAGATAGCTAACACTGGTTGATTTAACATTGGGGACAGTTAGTATCCTGTAGCAAAGAAGTGGCCATAAATTAGTATCCTGCTAGGGGTTATACGGTCATTGTATTATAAAATACTGGCTGGCGCGTTAGCGGTGTCTGCATACATTACGTCCCCCCGCCAACGGTTAATATTGCCGTCATTGACCGATAGTAGCTAGTTAGCTTCATGCTAACCACTATCCACACTTAGCTCGGCTGACACCAGTGTAGGAAGAAGTCCATTTACTACGAGGTTTTGTTTGGGCTTGGCTAAAGTTTAAGTGGTTATTTGGGGTTTAAGAGTGTCCACGGAGATTTGTGTGGATGTAAAACACGCTGCTTCTGCGCAGGCCTGGTAGGCCGCTGCGGGGAGAACAAATACAGCTAAGTTCAGAGACTAACCGTCCCAACATCACCCATCTGTTCTGGGTTCAGCTACCCAAGAATAAAGAAGTGTTTTGGTGATCGACAGTTAAACCTCTCTAAGAACTCAACTGTAGGTCATTAATTACTTTTCACGATTTTCCTCATTAAAACATGTCTCGTGTGCAACTGTATTGACAGCTCCCCCAGCACAGGTCAGAATCAGAATTCCTTTATTCTTCCCATAGAGGGGAAATGTACATTGTTACAGCAGTATAGAGATGAAAAATTGAAGTATCACAATATTGGATGATAAGAAGGCATTCATATAGTATTTAAAATACAATAAAAATGTACAGAAGTCCACATTTATTGTATTACGTAAGCAGTATTTATAAGTGTAACATTGTAGAATGATGTGTGCTAGCGGGTTGATTGCAGTGTTAAATAAACCTGAAATTATACATTTACATAATAACATACAGATTCTTGTTGGAATAAGTTCATTGGTTGATGCAGGGGCTATAGTTGTTCAGGGATGGTGTACTGCAAATGTGTTTTACATTGTAAGCATTTTTACATGCAGTGTTATTATTTTTTGACAAGACGAAGGCACAGCCCTGGTATTTCCCTATATGATGTCTTTATTTCTTATGGCATACAGAATACTGTATGTCACATTGTTGTAAGAGCCTGAGACTCTCATTTCCAACAACACCTGTAACTGTTGTGCATATGACAAATACATGTTTAAATATTTTCCTGACTGACTTTCTAATGTTGTTATTATGCTTCTTCCCCGACAGATTAACCACGTGGAGCATAGTACTGCAGGTCGTCAGGGGGAAGTCTATACTTTGGGCTTCAACATGGCTGGACGCAGTGAGGAGGAAAGTGTAACCAACAGCGGTGCAGAATCAAGGTACTGAAACTAGAGGACTTCGGAGTAGTTTTGATGATGGAATGACACAGCTAATGATATATGAATTCCTGTGTATCTGAGCCTTATGTTTACACATCAGACGGGAGCAGAATTTCTGTGTCTGGGACGCTGCCATCTTTTGTTTGTTTACGCTGAAATGTGTCATTTATGAAGTAACAGACTAAAGGTCTAATGTAATACCACAGTTGTTTACAGTGTTTCTGTGACAGTGTAAATTACACCACAGAGCAGTACTGCATTAAGGCAGAATTCTACTATGCTGAAAGGTCTTGATCGCCAAATTAATAATCTTAAGATCTTACTGATTGCAAGATCAACTGTGCTAAAAGCCCAACGCCAAGTCATCCATCTCAAATCTGCACATGTACTTATATATACTTGATTAACACATTTCTGAACCAAAAGACCGTAAGTTGTGTTCTGGTAATGTAACTTCTCTGATATTATGTCACACAATTGTATATTACCCCCTTTATGGTTTTAGTCAATCCTTGCATGTCAACTCTATGGTCTTTTTAACCTTGTTTCATATTTTAAACATCATGAAAAACCACACATTCACAATTTCTTGTAACAAGCTATGAGTGTGTTATATTTCAACTGGTCACATTAGACGCTGTGCAAAGATAACATTTTATTTCCGACATCACTTCCTCTGTTAATATGATGGCATTGTCTAAAGAAATAAGATGGTAGGGTACAGCTATTTTAGTGGCTTATCTGCCATTGTGTTTAATTATACACACGGTCTGAATGGATGTTTCTAATAATAATAATAATAAAAGCCAAATGGTTTCAGAGAAGTATAATTTAGTTGTGCCAGCTATTATATTGTGGTTTCAATGACTCATATGCTGGTTGGATTTGTGGATAACTCATGCATATATATGTGTTTTATCATTTTCTTTTTTTACACATTACAGTAATTCTGATGATGAATCGGGTTCTGGGTCGGGCTCCGCGTCAGGGTCTGCGTCAGGGTCCAGTTCCAGCTCCTCCAGCAGCAGTAGCCAATCAGGGAGCAGTGACTCAGGAAGTGGATCAGACTCTGGCAGTGGGTCAGATTCTGACACAGAGAAAACCAAGGAGAAGATCGAAGCGCCAAATAAGTCAAACATCGATGGAGCTGAGGTAAACGCACGAGAAAGAAAGATGTTTTCCTTGTTGCCCCTCAATCTGGACATGAGTGGATGCCTGTGTGCAGATGTTTTATCTAGGGACGCATTGGCAGAACATCCGCATTGCCGATTTTCTCATCAGCACATTGGGGATTAGGTGACATGCGGTGATGGCAGTAACTAATATATATCAGTTTTACTGGGCCAAGTATTAAAACGCTTGCTGAGGGCGATATACTGTAACGTTAACGTAATTCACGCCACAGTTTTCTCCACCCTTCTCCTATCTGTGAGGAACAGCAGGGCATGTTTCCGGATTTCCGCCACGTTTTGCACAGATTTAAGGGATCGGTTAATGAAATCCAACATTCAGACAGTTATTGCGACTTGTTATCACTTCCCTCGTAAAAATGTTTTGCAAAAACTTTGGCTGAAGTGGCTATTGGGTGTTCATTCTTCAGTGTGGCAGCGCAGTGTCTGAGGCACAGACACAAAAACGCATGTTGTGAAATTCCATTGTTCATGTTGGCTGTTTAGGTAAACTGACCGCTGTGGTTTTAGTTGCCTCCGCTCTGACTGCTTCGTGTGGGTGTGAGATGAACAGTGAGCGCACAGTCTCTGTTCCTGAAAGCATCTGCTTGCATCACTGTAGCAACACTATGTCTAATGCAAGGAACTGCTAAAACAAGTAGAGAGAGGCGAAGTCCCGCCCATCTACTTCCGACCCATGGGACCTTATTTCGGAAAAAGTATGTATTGAAGTCAATGGGGAGAGAAAGATTATCTTTCAATCCCTTTTGAATTGTGCCATGAATTACACATATGATGTTTGTCAATTTAAAAATAATCATTTCCATGTCAAAAAAGTCACAGTTTGTCGTAAAACTGTTGAAATATAAGACTATGAAAAATACGCAACTAGAAAGACTACAAATCCCAGAGTCGCGGTCCCGCATGCTGGCTCTTATGAACCGACTAACTCCCCTTGTGTGTATGTACAGCTCTCAACATGCCCAGACTTGTAGTGATTTTCACCTCTTTTAATACTTTCCGCCTCATTCTGAAAGAAAGAAGTGAAATGTGCCAACGTGACGGCCGTCTTGGTGTGTGGTGCGAGACGGGAGATGTAGTTCATTGAGCGGTTTCACACAAAGAAAAGTGTTACTTCACAGTTTTAAGACACATTTTAAATGTTTTGACTTGCAAAATTATCTTTTAAATTGACAAACATATGTGTAATTCATGGCACAATTCAAACGGGGTCGAAAGATAATCTTTCTCTCTCCATTGACTTCAATACATACCTTTTCCGAAATAAGGTCCCATGGAGGAAAGGGAGGGACTTCGCCTCTCTATTTGCAGAACTCGAGAGCTACAATGGCTTGATGGGAACTAGTTGGACTCATTTCCAGTAAAAGCCTTTGAACTTTTTCACATATTTTTCCTCTCCACTCATTGATTGCAGTTCTGGAAGTCCAACCCAAGTATCCTAGCAGTGCAAAGATCTGCTATGCTCAGGAAACAGCAGCTTCAGCAACAACAACAACAACAGCAGCAGCAGCAGCAGCAACAGCAGCAACAGCAGCAGAGACAAAGCTCCTCTGGATCTGATGAGGTTTGTATACAATCCCCAAAGCAGTTGTTCTGTGCTGTTTGATTGAGCGCTAAGAAGGTGCACTAAATGAATTAGCGCTCTCTGATTGTGCAACTTTCTGTCTCTCTTCTAGGACTCGTCAAGTAGCGATGGATCTGACTCATCAAGTGGATCCAAAAGGAGAAAAAATTCAGGCTCCTCTGGATCTGGATCAGGCTCTGGATCTGGGAGTGGTTCTGGATCAGACTCGTCCGCTGAGGAGAAGAGTGAAGAAACGGCATCAGACTATGAGCCTAGTCTCAAAATCAAAAGCAGAAAGCCCCCAACCAAGTGAGTGCACAGTTGCCCATTGGATGTCTATTTCCATCTTATAGTAGCCTCTCACCTCAGCTGGTAAGGACTACAAATAATAACTTTTCATCATTCGTCATGTCTCCGGACCAGAGGTGGGAAGTAGTGGAGTACAAATACTTCGTTACTGTACTTAAGTACATTGTTCTGGTATCAGTACTTTACTCCACTACTTATTTCTCTGACGACTTTGACTTCTTACATTTTGAACACAAATACCTGAACTTTCTACTTCTTACATGTTGAACACAAATACCTGTACTTTCTACTTCTTACATTTTGAACACAAATACCTGAACTTTCTACTTCTTACATGTTGAACACAAATACCTGTACTTTCTACTTCTTACATGTTGAACACAAATACCTGTACTTTCTACTTCTCACATTTTCCAAACAGGCTGGTTCCTTTAGTTTGAATGTGTGTTTGGTGGCGTGATCATTATTATTTAGAGTCATTGCGTGCCTATTGATTTGAACACGATCCGTGTATCCATCATTTCCTGGTCTTCTCTAAAGAAGAGGGACCAATGAAAACGTTGTCATGTTGCCGTTGTTCAGCATGGAAACATTCATTAGCTAACAATGACATTATTGTTCTATTAATATAAAGGGAGGTCAGGTACTCTTTAAAACAGCTGCTAGTTATGGGTACTTTTTACTTAAGTACATTTCAAAGCCCATATTTCTTTACTTTTACTTGAGTAAAGAAGTTTACAAGGGGTCCGCGGGGTCTTAAACAGTATTAAAAGTTGATAAATCAATTTAGCAAAAATTAAGGCTATTAAACGGCATTTTCCAAGGTATTACATTTTGTAGCTAGTTTTCAATAAGTATATAAATTGTCCAAAGAGGTTGTATTCTACAGTTTGCCTGAATGTAATCATTGCGTAGGTGTGTAGTGTGATTCTGTGTAGTTTATTTATGGCATCCCGTTGGATTTGACGTCATCTGAACAGGACATCGCGCGCTCACTGCTTGATAGCGCGCGCAGGTCCGTTTACGCCGGTTGTTAAACAACATCGTTATGGGGAAATGCAAGTTTGCGTCCAAATGGTTGGAAGATAAGGAGGAAGGACAATCAATACTGTATATAGTAAATGTGAGGTGAAGTGTGTCGCCAATGTAACCGGTTAAAACTCAATTAGTCTTACATTTGACTTCAGGATTCCTGCATATACCCCGGTTTAGTCAGTACTTCTACTTTTACCAGAGTATTTTTAAACACGAGTATCTGTACTTCTACTTGAGTAAAGGATGTGTGTACTTTTGCACCCAGGATGAATTATCGGAATGGGAAGAAAAGCACCAACCAGAAGAAGAAAAAGTCCACGAATCATTCTTCTTCTGATGATGAGTACAAGAAGGCGGCCGCTGCGGGGCCCCGGCGGCAGGCCACGGTCAACGTCAGCTACAAGGAGGACGATGACCTGAAGACCGACTCCGACGACCTGGTGGAAGTTCTCGGTGAAGACGTCCCGGCGCCTGAAGAAGACGAGTTTGAGACATTGGAGAAAGTAATGGAGTCCAGGATAGGGAGGAAAAGAGGTAAGGAACACGCTGATTAATCATTGAATTCAACCGGCACTATAAACAGATCACATTTTGTAGTATCTGGGAACTTGTGACAGTGAATCTGTTTTATTGAACTATTCCTCCAAGACTATGGTGGTAATTCAGTCATTTTAGCCTTTGCTATTTACTTACTGATAGTGGGGTGTTATAAGTCTGCTAGTTAGCTAAACATATTAGTTGTATTTTATTGTTGTAAGCTGCTTATTTATTTCTTATCTATGGAACCTTTAAATTACTGACTGGATAACACGGGAGAAATGAGCGGAAGCGCTCTCTTTTCCTCTCTCTCCCTCTCTCTCTCCCTCTCTCTCTCCCTCTCCCTCTCTCCCCCTCTCTCTTTTCCTCTCTCCCCCTCTCTCTCTCCCTCTCTCTCTCCCCCTCTCTCTCTCCCTCCCTCTCTCTCTCCTCTCTCCCCCCTCTCTCTTTCCTCTCTCCCCCTCTCTACCTCCCCTGACAGCCTGTCAGTATCATCTCATGCAGCTCACTGATCTAGTAATGAGTGACCCGACTGATCCAGTAATGAGTGACCCGACAGTGAAGAATAAATATATGTATAACTAGTTCAGCTGGTTCCAGAGGTAGATAAAATAGCTAAGTGTGTTAGGTCTAACTCTTAGTGTGTGTTTTGCTCCGCTCACCGGTCCCTCACAGCGGGTGGAGCTGAAGGATTTCTGCTTCACACACGTTGCATACCGCTATTTTATTGTCTTTTTCGGACACCTTCAAATACTGCCAGACTGGTGAAGCCATTTTGGCGAGCTTGTTTTGCCGCGCACAGAGAAAAGTGTCATGTATTTTACGTCATCATTTTACGTCGGCAGCCGATCGATCGGAGCATCCCTACTTCCTGTTTATATGTCCGTAAAAACTTGAGTTCTAAGGGATGAATTTCGATGTATTTGACATTGTTTTAACTTTCCTAACAGCCACAGGAAGTGTCACCACTGTGTACGCCATAGAAGCCGACGGGGACCCTAATCTCAACTTCAATCCCAACAAAGAGGCTGGGGACATCCAGTATCTGATAAAGTGGAAGAACTGGGCGCATATCCACAACACCTGGGAGACAGAGGACACACTCAAGTTACAGAACGTCAAGGGCATGAAGAAACTGGACAACTTCAAGAAGAAGGATACGGAGAAAAAGAGATGGTGAGTGTGTTTAAAACCCTTGGATGCATAAGTGGGTCTTTTTTGACCCGGTGAGGTGGTTTTCTTGAAGTATCTTTGTAATTACATTTTTTTTTATCATTTCATATTCCAGCTATTCCTCAAAAAACATGTTTTGGATATCATGCCATTCAAATTTTACATTTACATTTTATACATTTTAAGAAATTGTAGTTTTTGTATTTCTACCCCACGCTTCCATAAGTGGGTCAAAAATGACCCGCATGCATTTCCTATGGGATCCTTTGATTCTTATCACCTGTGGCTGTCAGGAATACATTCACTGTAGACCACACAGACTACATCACAAGTGACACCTCTCAGGAAGATTATTTTACACAGCAAGATCTGATACCTGTCAGTATAATAATAATAATAATAATACATTATATTTTTATAGGGCTTTTTAAGGACTCAAAATCGCTTTACAATATAAGGGAAGGTTAGGGGGGGGGGGGGTATAGGACTATCAAACTTGATCAACTGGCATGGATTGATGGGGGGGGGGTCTATGAGTAGACAAGAGGAGAAGAGATGAGTTTTGAAAAGGGACTGGAATACTGTGAGGGTCTCAGAATAGCAGAGATCTTTGCATCCATATGTTAAAAAAATGTCTAAAATTAAAAATAGTGAAAAATTGAATATTTAATATTTCTAGTGTGAACCAAAATATAATACTACATTTTATACAAGTGATTTCTCTTAACCAAAATGGCATAAAAACACATTATTCTAATACGGGTCCTTTTTGACCCACTTATGGAAGAGTGTAGGGTCCAGTCACTCGTGCATCTAAGGGTAAACCAGTTTATCGCGGAGATTATTACAAACTGTGTTACAGACCGACAGTTTTTCTTCTGGCCAAGCAGGAAAGACTGCTTTGGCATTTATGATGACGATCACATGACAGACAAAGAAACAGTCTCACTGGCTGTATGACCTGCATACATATGACCTGCATATGACCTGCATACATATGACCTCTGCAAATAAGACATTGATAACCACAAGCTAAACGTTGTCCTATATAATTGTTTTTTATTTATTTGGACATATTTATTTCATTGAGACCATTTTGTTGGTACGAAACATAAACCTATGTTTTGATGCGTTGCTGTCACTTCCTTTCCCAGTCATTTGATAACAAGCATGCTCAATTTTTATGAATTGTATTTTGTTTGTTTTTAGATTAGAAATACAGGCTATTTCTTATTATCTAATGTTTTTTGTTTCCTCCTCAGGTTAAAAGCGGCATCACCGGAGGATGTAGAGTATTTCAATTGTCAGGAAGAATTAATGGATGACCTGCACTCTCAGTACCAGATTGTGGAGCGAATCATAGGTGAGCTTTCTACATCACTTGTTGTTTGTATAGAGTACTTTCCTCTGAATACCTTTTTAATACTATTTGGATTCCTGCAACTTAACGGCTCTCTGACTTTCTATGCTGCAGGACATTCGAACCAAAAGTCAGCGGCGGGTTACCCAGACTATCTGTGCAAGTGGCAGGGTTTGCCATATTCGGAGTGCAGCTGGGAGGACGGCGCTCTCATCGGCAGGAAGTTCCAGAAATGCATCGACAACTACATGAGCAGAAACCAGTCCAAGAACATTCCTTTCAGAGACTGCAAGGTAACGCACCGGGACTTATGCAGGGGAAGCATGTTAAGTAGATCACCAATGTTTATGTTGTTATTTAGAACATATTTCAGCTTCTCAGCTTGTTTTTGACCCGGTCTTTCAGACTAAAACTATGTTAACAAAGACTGGAAAGCTGTGTAGTGTGTAGAAGCTCATTCATTAAAAGTGTGAAAGCTAGCATCTTCCGGTTGGTTGCAATGGGGAAACAAGTGTCAAACATATGTAGTAACACACACACTTATTAAAATCCAGGGGGCGGAGCTAGTTTGTTGGACAACAGCCAAGAATTGTGCCAAGATATCGTTGTCCTAGGTTAAAAAATAAGCACTTGGAGCGTTATGTTGACACAGGGCCTAAGTCTAGCTCAATGTGATCTCTTCTGTGTCAGTTCAAGTTAACTGAACCCAGAGTTTGGACTTGAATATTCAACGACTGCTCTTCTCTCCTGCAGGTGCTCAAACAGAGACCCAGGTTTCTGCCTATGAAGAAGCAGCCGACGTACATAGGAGGCGAAGGACTGGAGCTCCGAGACTACCAGTTGGACAGCTTGAATTGGATGGCCCATTCCTGGTGCAAGTAGGTTTCATCCTTTTTTAATTCTCAACTTGTGTCATTCTGTAATCACGAGGATGCACCTAGCGAATACAAAAAACATCCCATGGAGATATGATGTGTACCAGCTCCTCAATCTAAGCTCTTGTTTCTCTCATTTTCTTCATTCATAGAAGCCACAGTTGCATTCTTGCGGATGAGATGGGTTTAGGGAAGACCATCCAGACAATCTCCTTCCTCAACTACCTGTTCAACGATCACCAGCTGTACGGACCCTTCCTGTTGGTCGTGCCTCTCTCTACACTCACCTGCTGGCAGAGGGAAATCCAGCTTTGGGCCCCTCTGATGAACTTTGTCGTCTACCTGGGAGACATCAGCAGCAGGAACATGGTATGGTGGTACACACATACATCCACATTATGGGGTGGTATCACTGTAAACGTTGTATTAATGTCTTTTATTTCCTTTTCAACAGATCAGGACACACGAGTGGATGCATCCTCATAACAAGAGACTAAAGTTTAACATCATTCTCACAACGTATGAGATTCTTCTCAAAGACAAGGTCAATATCTACCTCGTTGTTTATCACATGATTGCCCAAATGAATGACAGGGAAAAAAGTCATTTCGAATGCCCTGCAGTGTGTCCATGTTAACCTTGTATCGTGTGTATTTCCAGTCATTTTTGGGCGCTGTTAGCTGGGCTTTCATTGGTGTGGATGAGGCGCATCGACTGAAGAACGACGACTCCCTCCTGTACAAGACGATGATGGATTTCAAGTCCAATCACAGGCTTCTGATCACAGGAACGCCGCTGCAGAACTCTCTGAAGGAGCTGTGGTCCCTGCTGCACTTCATCATGCCAGAGAAGTACGCTTTATTCATTATTAAGCTTCAATCTTTGATCATGAGGATGGTTGTTGTACTGTACTATTCTCTGAGTGGCAGTAATAGTGCAACACAGGGTCAAATCAATGGGAAGGTCTGCGCTCTGTATGTGCAAAATGCTTTTTTCGTCACTGCTCTGACATTTTTTTTAACTAAGATAATCTCCTTGTCCTTTTCATGCAGTTGTCATCATATCACATCCAGTAACTGCTATTTCCCCTTTGTAATATTATTTGTTTTAGTTGTTTTTGAAAGACATTGCTTTGTGTTGCTTTAAGTCAGACACTTAGCTCCAGTGTAACGAATCAGATATTGCTGTGTGCACGACATTAAGTCAGAATATAGACGGGTGACTACAGAGCAAAGTACGCTGTGTCGGAGCCAAAGTAGCACATTTTAAATTACTTTATTTAACAGCAATCGGATATAAAACATGTAAGAGATACTACCAAAACAATTGATTTGAACTGTATGTGAAGTAGACTTCACATACAAACCGGTGTACTGCAGATAGCTATGACCACTCCTTTCTAAAGATCTTGAAACACGTGGAAACACGTAGTTTTAGCAATGCACCATGATTATCATATCATGCAAATCGTGTTACAGTAAGTAGGTTGTGTAAGAAATGTGTACGGCACCTCTGATGTTTGTTGTGTATGTGTTGTTTCTCTAGGTTTCACGCATGGGAGGTCTTTGAGGAGGCGCATGGTAAAGGCAGAGACTCGGGATACGCCAGCCTGCACAAAGAGCTGGAACCTTTTCTCCTGCGAAGAGTCAAGAAGGACGTGGAGAAATCTCTTCCTGCCAAAGTGGAGCAGATCCTCAGAGTGGAGATGAGTGCTATCCAGAAACAGTATTACAAGTAAGAGCTGGACTCGACCCCTTCACAAGTAGAGCGTTTCATTATGCAAGTAAACTCTTAAGTGAGTTTAGGTTGGTATGTGCTGAATGTTAAGCAGTAAAACACTTAGACACATTTTATTATGAAGGTGTCTGCTTCCTTTTGTCCATGTTGGTCTGGCATGTAAAGGCTTTGTTCATAATGACAGAGCAGCCTTTCAAGTGTCAGGTGTTTATGTGCTGCTGTAAAAAATATGAACCAGGAAAACAGTTAGAAGCTTGTTCGCGGGCAAGTCTCTCTGCACTGGTGAATGTATAAGAATCCTATTTTTTTATTTATTCTAAGCATAACTGACTTTTTACATTATACTCAAAAATACTTGAAGTTCCCTGCATGACTTTTGAATCGTAAATGCAATCTCCAGACGTAGTTAGCTAATGTCATGCTATAAATGAACCACAGTGCTGTTGCATTGCTGCGCTATCATCACCGCTAAGCTAAAGGCGGCTAATGTTAGGCGTGATGGCGTTAGGTAGTCTCATTTAGTCCCTTGTTAGGAACCTTCTTTTTAAATGACACTTAAGGGATTCAGATATTCACCAGTGGGGTGTTAACTGACGTATTTTATGTTGTAGAACAAAATAAGAAAATCTCCTCAGCTTGTGTTAACCACAGAAACCATTTGCCGCTTTCACACCAAGTACTTAGCCGGTACTTGTCCCCGGTACTTGTTCCCCCCGAACTCTTTAAGTCCCTGGAACTGTCCTAGTAGATCGCGTTCACACGGGAATAAGTCCCCAAGGGAGGATTTGGCAAATGAAGCCACTGACGTCACTTCTTCTTCTGCTTTGGGTTCACAAAACCTTTCGGAGTTTTACGGGGCGTGGTTTGCAAATCGCCCTACCAATCAGAAATTGTTAGCGTGGCCGACACACCCACGAACCATTTCCTCCTCAGGAAAGTACTACCTCTCTAGCAGGGATTATCTGGGGGTGAAAAGGTTCACGCGAACTAGGGACTAGTTCCAGATCCTTTTTGGTGTGAAACCAAATCCCCCCCCCCCCCCTATTGGCCTAGTTCGGGGGGAAAAGTACTCCGGTGTGAAAGCGCCTATAGACAGAAACTGATAAAAGGCTAAATCATATCCGGGTTTTAGGATTAATTCAGGCACAACTCTATGGATGAGATTTCTACTTTATTTCATGTTACAGCTAGACGTTTTCTACCCAATGTCCACAATAGTTTACTAATAAGTGTGTGTGTCTTGTGTTTGTGATCAGATGGATCCTCACCAGGAACTACAAGGCTCTGAGTAAAGGTAAAGGCAGCACGTCGGGCTTCCTGAACGTCATGATGGAGCTGAAGAAGTGTTGTAACCACTGTTACCTTATCAAGCCGCCCGAGGACAACGAGTTCCTCAACAGAGCCGAGGCATTACAGGTCGGTTCATTTGATCTAACCAGATTATGTTAGCATCATGTCTATAGGGATATGAGTTACTGCATTTAAAGGGAACATAATATCCTAAATGATACTGAATGTGCAGCAGCATTTCCATTTAAAGTAATGGTGCCGTTCAACAATTGATAGGAAGCCTACATATAAATGAACATCAAGGCATGTATATGTATGTATAATTGAAAAGTCCTGTCAATAGACTCATGCATAACACAGAAAATATACGTATGAGTACACAAATCTATGCTGGAACTCCTAACACAAATCATTTCCCTCAGTTTCAGGCCTTCATGTGTTCTTCATATAAAAAAAGCCAGGATAAAAACGACTTGTAAACAAACCGGCTGGGGGGCTACCTCTCTGTTGCTTGTGTGGTGTCACTAATGGCGCATTTCCATTGCAGGGCCTCGCACGGCTTAGTACGGTATAGTTAGGCCTTGGTAGGCCAGGCTCACTTTATGCTGCGTTTCCATTACAGTTTAGTAGCTGGGCCTCATCTAATTGAAGATGACGTCACGGCTCCGCCTACACCGTCTTACTATAGTTACTGCCCCAGCTACTAAACTGTAATGGAAACGCAGCATAAAGTGAGCCTGGCCTAACAAGGCCTAACTATACCGTACTAATGGCTCGTTTCCACTGCAGCGCGGAGCTCGCTTTAAGCGTGCCGAGCCGTGCAAGGCCTGTTTTTGGTTGCGTTTCCACTTGGCCTAGTACCGGCTAGCGGGTCCTAATTCACAGTTTTTCTGGCCCCATAAAATCGTGGTTCTAGGGCCAGGAACAACCAGGCTGAGTCGGGCTGAGTATGCTAAACTAGAGAGAGCATCGCTGGCAAGGGGGCTACAACTACAACAAGATGAACATATTTGACCGTGATTTAATTGTAATACACGTTTCAAAATGATGCCGAAGTAACAACATACTGATACCGGTTAGTAAAAACCATGAATTAATGCTTTGTCAAGTCTGCAGACAGACGGCAGGCGAAAAACCTTTTAAAATGCGTGTTTTCTAAATGGAGATCGGCTAAGCTAACGCAGTATATGCTCCGACCGTCCACACTCACAACAACGGCCTATACAGACATAAATAAAGCAGCGACTGTATTCGCCATGACACAGGCAGTCTGTGGTTTGTACTTGTTTCACTTTTGTCTAGTTTCTGAACAGATATGAGGAGCTGTGAGCTCTGAGGGCTAACAGCTAACGGCTGATGTTGGTTTTGTGTTTCGCATTGAAGATGACGTCACGGCTCCGCCTACACTGCGTTACTATAGTTACTGCCCCAGCTACTAAACTGTAATGGAAACGCAGCATAAAGTGAGCCTGGCCTACCAAAGCCTAACTATACCGTACTAAGCCGTGCGAGGCCCTGCAGTGGAAATGCGTCATTCGTGTGTTAAATTCCAGTAGCTTACCAAATCACTACAGTTGATTATATATTGACTTTCCTTAACTTTTCCCCCTCTTCCCCTCCCACAGCAACTGATCCGCAGCAGTGGGAAGCTGGTGCTGCTGGACAAGCTGCTGGTGCGTCTGAAGGATCGAGGCCACCGAGTCCTGATCTTCTCCCAGATGGTTCGGATGCTGGATATCCTGGCTGAATACCTGAAGAGCCGACAGTTCCTCTTTCAGGTAGCTAACCCTAACTCTGTCATCAACGTACATGCACACACACACAGAGGGTATTGTTTAGTTTGTTGTTTTTTGCACAATTTAATAAATGCACAACAGGAAGAGGCAATAATTAACTCTGTTATAGAGAACAAAAGATTTATATACAAACATTTAGTTGACAAACTTGAGTTCAACCGTGATGGCCAACTATTAAAACATCAAGTAATTAAAACACCATTTTGAAAATAACAGTAAAATAACTTGTGTGTGTGTGTGTGTGTGTGTGTGTGTGTGTGTGTGTGTGTGTGTGTGTGTGTGTGTGTGTGTGTGTGTGTGTGTGTGTGTGTGTGTGTGTGTGTGTGTGTGTGTGTGTGTGTGTGTGTGTGTGTGTGTGTGTGTGTGTGTGTGTGTGTGTGTGTGTGTGTGTGTGTGTGTGTGTGTGTGTGTGTGTGTGTGTGTGTGTGTGTGTGTGTGTGTGTGTGTGTGTGTGTGTGTGTGGTCATAATGCATAAGTCAGACATTTCTCTATTTGAAAAAAAACACACTTTTATAGCAAACACGAGATTAATACACAAAGTTAATATGAATTCCATAGTGATGGCAAACACTTAGAATAACATATAATAAAATAATAATTAAATGTGTGTGTGGGCAGCATATTGGTTTATACACCTGCTTGACTCCTAAGCAATGTTCAAATGGATCTTGTAAAAAAAACACACGTTTGCAAAATGTTGACGTCATAAATGGTTAGAATGTCGAGTTTCTAAAGTAAAGGATCAGATGGGAAGTATGACTGTTCGTGTTGCAAACCTAACAAAGTTACACAAGAGCTCCCCCTGAATATCCTCCCAGCTAACTGAATTTGTACATTTGTGTAGCGGTTAGATGGCTCCATCAAAGGGGAGATGAGGAAGCAGGCGTTGGATCACTTCAATGCCGAGGGATCAGAGGTAAGTTCTTCTCCCTGAATACAGTGCATGCTCTCAGTGCTTTTATCCGAATGAATCAGGGCTGATACAACCTCCATGTGTGTCCAGGATTTCTGCTTCTTGTTATCAACGCGTGCCGGTGGTCTGGGTATCAATCTGGCGTCGGCTGACACAGTCGTGATTTTTGACTCTGACTGGAACCCCCAGAACGACCTGCAGGCTCAGGCCCGAGCTCACAGGATCGGGCAGAAGAGACAGGTAAGAAACGGCTGCTTTCGCCCATAATCCATCCATTTTAAATGTTTTTATTGTCCTGTAATATTAGGCCTCTCACGATAACTAATTTAGTTAGACGATAATATTGTCGGCACCGTTGTAAGACCATTTTAGATCACTGACATAATGATAATAATAATTCAAGTACATCCTTTCAAACAGAACTTTTTATTGAACATTCAACATTGCAAATGAAATGTGAAATAATATTTAAATATATAAATTATATATAATAAATCAGGGGTTTCAAACTCAAGGCCCGGGGGCCAAATCCGGCCTGTGACATCATTTTCTGTGGCCCCACAAGAGCTTGCAAAGAATATTATATGTTAATTATAAGGTTACATGATGATTTACAGCAGCACGTTGCCAATAAACTACATGTCCCACAATGCATCTCAAATTTGACTTTTTTTTTTTAATGTTACTTTTTTTTCCAAACTTGGCTTTTCTTTTTAAATCATTTTGTGACATTCTCACTAAAGAGACTTGCAATTATTTGCCCTCGACTTCTGTTTTCAGAAGTAGTTAATTATGAAGTTATTACCCTATCAGATAATAATCCAATGCAGAGGCAATATTGTAGGGCTGTGCGATTATGGCAAAAATCATAATCACGATTATTTTGGTCAATAATTGACATCACGATTATTAAATACGATTATTCATTGACTTTGAAAAAATCAATTTATTGAACTTTAAAAAAAAATACAAATAATAATTTGAACAGTATCTTTTTAACTGTTGATTACCCTGAACGTATAATTCAACTGAAAAACCAATAAATAAAATAAATGATACATTTATATTTACATTTAAATAAATAATATCAAAATAATAAATACCAATAAACAAGATCAACAAATATTTTGGAGCGCACTTCAACAAGCTAATAAACATATATAAATATGATAAATACAAATCAATGAGATCAAATATGTTCTAGTGCACTGTCACAACCTAGCAAAGCAAAATAATCGTTTTTTCGTAATTGTGGCAGGCCAAAATCGTAATTGCGATTTAAAATACGATTAATTGCACAGCCCTACAATAATGTATTATAATACATTATTTTATATATATATTTGTATTTTTATATAGTCTTACAGTTACAACTGGCCCTTTGAGAGCAGCCATAATGCTGATGTGGCCCGTGATGAAATTGAGTTTGACACCCCTGGTTTAAAGGCTATTCCCTCGATAAACACATTATACTGTTTGCTTGCGGACCCACAGGTGAATATCTACCGTCTGGTGACAAAAAGCTCAGTAGAGGAGGAAATCATTGAGAGGGCGAAGAAGAAAATGGTGCTGGACCACCTTGTGATTCAGAGGATGGACACGACGGGGAAAACTGTCCTCCATACGGGATCCGCTCCCTCCAGGCAAGAAACAATCTGCTGTTGTCTTTTGACGTCTTTATTGTTGACAGAAGAGCAGCTCTTTTGGCCATAAAACCTTCTACACTCGGCTGTCATCTAAATTAAATGTGTTTTATTGCTTACAGTTCTGCACCGTTCAACAAGGAGGAGCTGTCCTCCATCCTGAAGTTCGGAGCTGAGGAGCTGTTCAAAGAGCCAGAGGGCGAGGAGCAGGAGCCTCAGGTAAATAATTATCAGATATGCTAATGGTTCGTACTTATATATAGCGCTTTATCCAGTCTGTGCGCTTTGCTGCTACAAGTCATTCACCCATTCACACAGAGCTGTGGCAAGTGCTCTTGGAAGCTAACACTCGCACACATTCGCACACACTCACACACTCACACTCACACTCACACTCACACTCACACTCACACTCACACTCACACACACTCATACACACACACTCACACTCATACACTCACACAACACACACACACACTCTCACTCACACACACTCACACACCGTTGGCCATCGGGAGCAATTTAGGATTACGTATGTTGCCCAAGGAAACATCGACTTGTTGACTGCACGGGATGGGATCTATTTATTTATTTATCCCAGGGGGAAGTTTGGTTTGGTGGCAATTTGTCCATAGAGAACAAAAATAAATATTGAAAAATGTGCGATAGAAATCTAATAAAATAGAAAATGATGGTAAAAAAGGTGCAATAAAAGTATAATTTTAAAAATGTGCACATGTACGATATATAACATCAGCGTATTTGTATAAATGTGTATATTATAAAACATTTATTAGTATGTTATGAAGATATTCTTGCTAAATGGAACAATAGGAGAGAGTTCTTGCTGCCGATGGTGACATAAATACAATGTGTACTGAATTATATATGTACTTTTCTCCAGTAAATATATTATAGCATGTCATCGCCTCTTCTGCTCTTTAGGAAATGGACATTGATGAGATCCTGAAAAGAGCCGAGACCAGGGATAACGACCCCGGACCCTCCACAGTGGCAGAGGAACTGCTGTCTCAGTTCAAGGTACAAACACATCGTTCATTTCTTTTATAGAAAGTGGTTGTACAATATATTTAAAAATGGTGATTCTCTGTTCTTCAGTACTGTGACATTGACCGTTGTTTCTGACCTGACCTGTGCAGGTGGCCAACTTCTCCATGATGGATGAAGAGGATTTAGACATGGACTCTGAGCGCAGTCAGAGGAGTTGGGACGACATCATTCCCGAGGAGCAGAGGAGGAGGATGGAGGAGGAGGAGAGGCAGAAGGAGCTGGAGGAAATCTACCTGCTGCCCCGCATGAGGAATTGTGCCAAACAGGTACACAAGAAACCCCAAATATAATAAGGCCTCGTGATTTAGATCTTTCTGATGATCATGCTTATATTTCTACCCCTTGGTGTTAAATAGAGCGGTGCAGTGATGACATATTTTTGTAGGCAGACCCGGAAGTAAGCTGCACATGGGTTCCCTCCACAAAAAAGCAATGGGATTTCTCCATAGGATTTTGGAATATTGTAAAAAATAAGAACTTTGGAAAACCAACCTGTTTGATAAATGCACGTTTTGTTCAGCCGGATAATCTCCACATGTCTACCCTACTTTTATAATGTTCGAATCATAAATCTAATCTATATATTCATGATCCCTGCACCACTCTATACCAACTATGTGCAATATATATATATATGCCGTTAATAACTGCAATATATACCTGGCTGCTATATCTTCAGAACTGTTACAGGATGTTTTGGGTTTTTATATGCATGCTTCTTAGTTAACATTAAGCTGTGGGTTTGCTATCCTGGCTCCAAAATGGTGGAATGAGCTCCCCATTGACATCAGGACAGCAGAAAGCTTACACATCTTCTGGCGCAGACTGAAAACTCATCTCAGCAATAAAATTACTAACAAAGCACTTATATACTAATAAAGGACTGGCTTATCTAAAGCTAGTTGAGTAGCACTTGAAATGTTCTGGCTCTATGAAACCTGATGTACTTATGTGATTCTGTTTTCTTCAAGTTTGTATCTTCTTGGTCGAATGCACTTATTGTAAGTCGCTTTGGATAAAAGCGTCAGCTAAATGCAATGTAATGTCTTTGGCTCTTTTCTGCTGTAACAAATGTAAATGTCCCCTCTGTGGGACGGATAAAAAGTATTCTGATTCTGATTCGTCCCTAAATTCTTCCATTTTAGGTCCATTCAGTTATTATCTTTGTACCAATTCCTTGTCATTTGTTTAATTCCCTCTAACAGTCGAACTTTAACGCCAGTTCGGGGCGGCAGAGCAGGAACAGACGGTACTCGGGCTCCGACAGCGACTCCCCGTCGGACCGGAAGAGGCCAAAGAAGAGGGGGCGGCCTCGGACTATTCCACGAGAAAACATCAAGGGGTTCAGTGACGCTGAGATCCGGAGGTTTGATTTTTTGATTTATTTCGAACGTGTTAAACGATAATACAAAAAAAACAAAAAAATAATGAAATGAAACATGAGAATTATGATTGTGTACAAACTTAAGCAGTATCACATTTATAAACAAAAATATTATTGACTTACAAATTATATGTAGCGGCAAATACTCCCTATGAGTTATGCCGCTAAGAGGCTAACATTTGCTCTTCGCTGTGACGCGTTCCATATAAGAGTCCGTAGTCCTTTATAGTCCACGGTGTTTGATAAAGACGAAAAACAAACAATAGAGTGCCACAGTGACGCGTCCTAAAACCCGGACGTAAGTTAGCATTTTACCACTTCCGGTTCCCTTGACAAAAAAGCAATGCAAGTTCTCCATAGGGTTTAAAAAAATATCTGGAAATAAGGTCTGTGGTTGAGACACATTGAAGAGACAGATCACGTTTTGTTCTACGACATTAAATACATCAGCAGTGACCCCACTGGTGATTTCTGAAGATTTGACGTGTCTGAAAAACGATGGTTGTTACCAAGTGGCTGAATAGGACTACAGAAGTTGTGGAGGTCGTTGTACGTAAACACTCCTCTAAGTTTGTTTGCCCTGTTCTGCTTGAAAGCAAGTACCTGCCTCCTGCAAACTGTTCAAACAAACGCTTCAACTTGTTCCATTTAGAGTCTGTATGTTTGAATATGGATCTTAAGTTGGCGTGACGTTGAAGCAGCGACCCTGCTGTAGTTCGATTATAGCATAACGTTAGCATTTAGCTTCTGTCGACTAGATTTATGATTCAAAAATTATAAAAGTAGGGTAGACATGTGGAGATTATCCGGATGAACAAAACGTGATCTGTCTCTTCAATGTGTCTCAACCACAGACCTTATTTCGCACTATTTTCCAAAATCCTATGGAGAAATTGCATTGCGTTTTTGTCCAAGGAACCGGAAGGAGTTTACTTCCGGGTTTTAGGACGCGTCACTGTGGCACTCTATATGCAACTCCAGACCACACGGTCAACAGAAAGTATCAGAGCTATTCACCCTCTCCTCTACGTCATATCCCCAAAATCGGCATCCAACAGGTGACCTACTGTAAATACCAACAAACCACACCCACGTGACAACCGCCGGAAGTGATAGACAACAAGAATCAAACAGAAATGAAGATAATAATAATAGAAATAATAACAATTGCAAAACAAGCATTTAGGCTCCTACATTATATATAAACAAATTATCTACCTGATTACACATCCGAAAAGCGGTGGGAAGAAGTTTACACTTGTTTAATCCCACCCCTTCTCCCAAAAACTAAATTATTAACATATATATTAGCAACCTCTCTCTGGCTTATTATCTTCTCCTCCACATATTCCTTGTAACACCTCTGTGTTTAACTTACAGGTTCGTCAAGAGTTACAAGAAATTCGGAGGACCGCTGGAAAGGTGAGCTAAATCAGATTTCTTTAAATGGTTTTCAACGTTAATTGCCGTCTCCTAAACACTTGTCTTGGTCACTCAGGTTGGATGGTATCGCTCGTGATGCTGAACTCGTGGATAAGTCCGAAAGCGACCTGAAGCGTTTGGCAGAGACGGTTCACAACGGCTGTGTGAGAACTCTGAGAGAAAACCCCTCTGGACCAGAGAAGAGTTCAGGTAACCGGACTTATTCAGGATTTCATCTGCCCACATTTTATGTTAGTGATGTGCATTATGTAGGGCTGTGCACCTTCACTGGTCTCACGATTTGATTCGATTACGATTATCCTGTCAACGATTCGATTTGATATCCCGACAGACAACAGGAGTATTTACAACAGCATATAAAAACAAAAATACTGCATGTGGGTGCACACTTACATTCTCTGTCTTACTGTTACCGTACATAAAGCCCATGAATGTATGAGATTAAGTTAGCTTCATCATATCTAAATCAGTGATTAAGTGAATAATAAAGTTTATATCAGGTCACTATCAGCCTGTCACTCATTATTTTCAGGGGGGGGGGTGGGGTTTGGAGGAACGGAGAGGAGACGGTGATCGCGGAAGCTTTCCTCCTGCCTTCACAAACTTTACACACGTATTTATCGTTTGAAAATAGCAAGAGGACATTCATACTCTGCAATCCAAGACTTAATTAAATCCACCAAAAACCTGACATGACGACAAGTGTTTTTCAAAAACATAAATCCTTGTGTGTCTGAGCCGCAGCGACACGGACTGATTCAGAGCGGGTCCTTCTGCTGTTTGTTCTGGACTGGTGCTTGTGTTGGTGGATAAAGCCGACTGCTCCTTGTTTGGAGTCGCTGTCACGCTGGTATTCAGTTTAGCCGATCTAAAAAATGTCAGTTAATTATGGAAAATGTAAGCAAATGGTGACTTCTTCACATATCTAATCTGCTGAATCAACACCCTAATATTTCCTGTTAACCTTGATATAAAACAGAGTGTGTCACACAAAATAACCTGTAATGTTTTTGGCCTTTTCAAGATGACTCAATTAATGATTTGGAGAATTTCTTACCCTATAAAACGTTTACTTTGCTTTTAGCTAAATCCATTTTTATCGTCATCTAATCACATTACAGGGTTTCAATTTGCCGTCTTTCACATGATTGAATGAAACTAAATGTTGTTTTCCACTTGTTTTGATGACAGGAGGCAGGAGAGGGAAGGTAAAGGGCCCGACATTCAGGATCTCTGGAGTCCAGGTGAATGCAAAACTCGTCATCTCGCATGAGGAAGAGCTCGCTCCGCTTCATAAGGCCATTCCTGATGACCCTGAGGAGAGGAAGAAGTAAGTGAACACACCACATGATATCTCTCACAGCCTTTTTGATTGGTCTGTGTAATGTACAATAAGTTCATGGCTCACATATTTGTTCTGTACACAACCACATATGACCTGACCAAATATATAAATGTCTTTTAATTGTGATTGTTTGTATAGGTATATGATTCCATGCCATTCGAAGGCAGCACACTTTGACATTGATTGGGGGAAGGAGGACGACTCCAGTCTCCTGATAGGAATCTACGAGTACGGTTACGGCAGCTGGGAGATGATTAAGATGGATCCGGACCTTAACCTCACACACAAGGTGAGCTCAGGCATAATATATGTCTCGATATTTCATATTTGTACTCTAATAATCCCATGTTTATCTGGGCATGTCGGCCAAACAATCCACAATCCCGAATACAAAATACAAATATATCTATATATATACACACACAATCAACAGACACATTTATACATATGCACACATTAAGACATAAATAAAAGCACAACAATCAATATATACAAAATAACAGTCACTTTAAAATCTGTGAAAAATGTACATTAGTGCAAGACTGTCCATAGCAGCGTAAAATGTGTGTGTGTTCCTGAAAGTGTTTTGTGTGTGTGTATTCCTGAAAGTGTTTTGTGTGTGTGTATTCCTGAAAGTGTTTTGTGTGTGTATTCCTGAAAGTGTTTTGTGTGTGTATTCCTGAAAGTGTTTTGTGTGTGTATTCCTGAAAGTGTTTTGTGTGTGTATTCCTGAAAGTGTTTTGTGTGTGTGTATTCCTGAAAGTGTTTGTGTGTGTATTCCTGAAAGTGTTTTGTGTGTATTCCTGAAAGTGTTTTGTGTGTGTCTATTCCTGAAAGTGTTTTCTGTGTGTGTGTAGCTATTCCTGAAAGTGTTTTGTGTGTGTGTGTGTGTGTGTGTGTAGCTATTCCTGAAAGTGTTTTCTGTGTGTGTAGCTATTCCTGAAAGTGTTTTGTGTGTGTGTGTGTGTATTCCTGAAAGTGTTTTCTGTGTGTGTAGCTATTCCTGAAAGTGTTTTCTGTGTGTGTGTCTATTCCTGAAAGTGTTTTCTGTGTGTGTGTGTAGCTATTCCTGAAAGTGTTTTCTGTGTGTGTGTGTAGCTATTCCTGAAAGTGTTTTCTGTGTGTGTAGCTATTCCTGAAAGTGTTTTCTGTGTGTGTAGCTATTCCTGAAAGTGTTTTCTGTGTGTGTGTAGCTATTCCTGAAAGTGTTTTCTGTGTGTGTAGCTATTCCTGAAAGTGTTTTGTGTGTGTGTGTCTATTCCTGAAAGTGTTTTGTGTGTGTGTATTCCTGAAAGTGTTTTGTGTGTGTGTGTATTCCTGAAAGTGTTTTGTGTGTGTGTGTATTCCTGAAAGTGTTTTGTGTGTGTGTATTCCTGAAAGTGTTTTGTGTGTGTGTATTCCTGAAAGTGTTTTGTGTGTGTATTCCTGAAAGTGTTTTGTGTGTATTCCTGAAAGTGTTTTGTGTGTATTCCTGAAAGTGTTTTGTGTGTATTCCTGAAAGTGTTTTGTGTGTATTCCTGAAAGTGTTTTGTGTGTGTGTATTCCTGAAAGTGTTTTGTGTGTGTATTCCTGAAAGTGTTTTGTGTGTGTCTATTCCTGAAAGTGTTTTGTGTGTGTCTATTCCTGAAAGTGTTTTGTGTGTGTGTGTCTATTCCTGAAAGTGTTTTGTGTGTCTCTATTCCTGAAAGTGTTTTGTGTGTGTCTATTCCTGAAAGTGTTTTGTGTGTGTGTGTCTATTCCTGAAAGTGTTTTCTGTGTGTGTGTGTCTATTCCTGAAAGTGTTTTCTGTGTGTGTGTCTATTCCTGAAAGTGTTTTCTGTGTGTGTGTCTATTCCTGAAAGGGTTTTCTGTGTGTGTGTGTGTGTGTGTCTATTCCTGAAAGTGTTTTCTGTGTGTGTGTGTGTGTGTGTGTGTGTGTGTGTGTGTGTCTATTCCTGAAAGGGTTTTCTGTGTGTGTAGTTATTCCTGAAAGTGTTTTCTGTGCGTGTGTGTGTCTATTCCTGAAAGTGTTTTCTGTGCGTGTGTGTGTCTATTCCTGAAAGTGTTTTCTGTGTGTGTGTCTATTCCTGAAAGGGTTTTCTGTGTGTGTGTAGCTATTCCTGAAAGTGTTTTCTGTGTGTGTCCCTGTGTGTGTGTGTGTGTGTGTGTGTGTGTGTGTATTCCTAAAAGTGTTTTCTGTGTGTGTAGCTATTCCTAAAAGTGTTTTCTGTGTGTGTGTCTATTCCTGAAAGTGTTTTCTGTGTGTGTGTAGCTATTCCTGAAAGTGTTTTCTGTGTCCATGCGTTCAGCTCCTACCTGACGACCCTGACAAGAAGCCACAAGCAAAGCAGCTGCAGACCAGAGCAGACTACCTCATCAAATTGCTCAGCAAGGACCTGGCCAAGAAAGAAGCACAGAAGCAAGCCGGGACAGTAAGTCCTCCTCTGTTCTTCTGATGGTTACTCATGTCCTTTTTTACATGCATATAACAAACATGGTTTAATTGAATGAATGGAAATGTAATGCTATTAAATATCCTTGAATTATAAACAGAAACTGAAGGGTAATAATGGATTATAACGGACAATAGCAGTCAAACACAACCACTGAATGTTGGAACTACAAATCTCCTCAATAGGCGCTTTCGCACCGGAGTACTTTTCCCTTTTAGTTCCGATAGTTCCTGGGATTTTGCGTTCACACCAAAAAGAGAACTTAGTTCATGAGAACTTTTCCCCCCTTTTTAGTCCCTGCTAGAGAGGTGGTACTTTCCTGGGGAGAAAAAAGTTCCAATTTCTGATTGGCTGGGCGAATTGCAAACCACGCCCCGTAAAACTCTGAAAAGTTTTTTGAAGCCGCCATTGTATTTGCTGGCATTAACATTATTAGCATTAGCCCCGCGCACCAACGGAGAGAGACTAACTTATGGCAACACAAAAAAAAACATGGGAGCGGTGGAGTGATGAGGAGGTTCTGGCGATTTACTCGGAAGGCTTCAGTAGAAGCTGCTGGGAGTCCCAGCAGCTTCTACTTCTACTGAAGCCAGTCCCCAACTCCGGGGACTTCCGGCCGGGGACTTCGGGTGGCAGTATACGCCGTGAAGTTGTTTGTGGCCTGCCAGTAAACCCAAAGCAGAAGAAGAAGAAGTGACGTCAGCGGCTTCATTTGCGTAATCTTCCCTCAGGGAACTTATTCCGGTGTGAACGCGATCTGTACTTAGTTCCATGGGGTACTAAGTGCTGGAAACTAAGTACGGCAAAGTACTTGGTGTGAAAGCGGCTAATGGCACACACGATAGATAGATAGATAGATAGATAGATACTTAGGTACTTTGGTACTTTATTGATCCCAAACTGGCAATTTATTTTGTCACAGCAGCAGTGTTGTCAAGCATTACAGTTAAAAATATTTCAAAGATTCAATAAGACATCTGTTAAATTGTTAGTCTAAACATCTGTATCTGCTGATTTATTTGACATCGTCTCATCCCTTATTCAAATGTATTTCTACTCTAATTCACCACGCTCATTTGTGTCGTTTAGGCCAATTCACGGAAGAGGAAACCGAGAAATAAGAAGAGCAAAACTCAGAAGCCAATTAAGACCGAAGAGGTGCTGAAGAGCACGTCCTCGGACCCCCCATCGGACAAGAGGTCGGACGACGAGGACGAGATCGAGGAGGAAAAGGTATTTAGTAGGGATGGGAATTTGAAAGCAAATTTATATTCGATCCCCAAAAAAAAACGGTTAACCGAATTTACATATACAAAAAAAGTTATATATATATATATATATAATAAATACAAATATTTAAAATGGCACTGTCGTATACATTCAATTAATCCATTTGATAATGTCCGGCAGTGGCTCAGTCAGTAGGGGCTTCGACTGTGAGCTGTAGGGTCGCCGGTTCAAGTCCCCGAACAGACCTAAAATATGGAGTGTGGACTGCTGCTTGGAGAGGTACCAGTTCACCTCCTGCCCTGCCGTGGTGCCCTTGAGCAAGGCACCGGACAACCCCCTCACTCCCATTGCGCTGTACAATAGCTGCCCACTGCTCCTAGTACTAGACTCCTGGTACTAGGATGGGTTAAATGCAGAGAACAAATGTCACTGTGTGCTGTGTGCTCTGCATGTGTGAGCATTAAAGAGGGGTTTCATCCCTCCCATTCTATGAAACCAACTTATAAAAAAAAACTCCCTTAAAAACAATATATTCATAACTCATATTCGAATACCTGAATCATTTAGAATATTCGATTTATCTTTCCAATCCCTAGTATTTAGAGACATCTTGCACTGCTTGCTGCAGCGTGAAATAACTGGGTGTTTCTCAATGTCGAGGAAGGCTGCTCCAGAGCCACTATTTCAAGGATGCTACGTCATAGAGTCCCGCCGAAGGACTGTTCCAATGTCCAGGATACTTGGACATTTCGAGGCTGCACATCAAGCCCCCAGGAAGTGCGCCGGACTCTGAGGAAAATATTCGTTGTGGCCAAACGGCGGTACTACACTTCCGTATCAGTCCCTGGGCCCGGAAACACTTTTTCCCATTGACTAACATTGGGAAAGAGACGTCTGTAAATCGTTGGATAATTTTTTTGAACTAAATAAACTACCCAGTATGAACATTTGTATAGCCCTTATTAAAAACAGTAGGTCCTCAAGTTGTAAAATGTGCTAATAACGTTATTCTGAGAGTTATGGCGCGTTTCCACTACAGCGCGCAGCCCGGTTTAAGAGGGCTGTGACGTCAGCGGCCCGTCTTTGGTTGCGTTTCCACTTGGCCTAGTACTGGCCGGCGGGTCCTAATTCACAGTCCTCTGAAGATCACGTCACGGCTCCGCCTACACTGCGTTACTATAGATACTGCCCCAGTTCCTAAACTGTAATGGAAATGCGCCATAAAGTGAGCCAGTCCTAACGAGGCCCAGCCATACCGAGCGGGGCCGAGCGAGGCCGTGTAGTGGAAACGCGCCATTATTGTCCTCGGCATTATGAACGCGGATCTAACCCACGGGACCGCGCCACCCGGCACGTTCATGTGACGTGTTCAGTACTACATGAGTTTTACCTTTACCCATGGATGCACAATAAGAACGGATTATATGAATACTTTCGTGACGTTTCGCTCTCTCAAAAGTTGGGCCATTTTGTCTTCATGCGCCAATGAGCAACTCTCATAGGAATGAACGCGGCCCCGCCTCCCACGCTATATCCAGTTCTTATTATACATCCATGGTCCTACCAAGGAAGCGTCCTTGACATTGAGAAACACCCACTGCTTCCTGTTTATAGTTTGGCTTCCACGTGTAACACTTTTGACCCCCTTCAGGAGGTGACACCGGTGAAAGCTCAGAGCAGACGGGGCCGAGCAGACCGGGTGGTGCCGAAGGAGGAGGAGGACGAGGAGGAGGACGAGGAGGATGAAGACGAGGAGCCTGAGCAGGAGGAAGTATCGTCGTCGGGGGAAATGGAGATCAAAAAAGAAAGCAAAAAGGAGAAGAAGGACGACAGTTGGGACATTAAAGAAACCAAGGAGCCAAAGGAGAAAAAGGAGACGAAGCCTCTGGAGGCGGTGTACAAAGAGGACAACCTGGACAAGGTGAACAAATAGTTTGTGATACTTTCCGTTACTATATTTGACCATAGTCTCTGTTTATTAAATCAAGATGAAGGCTTTGAGTTCAATGTTTTGTTTGGGGATTAACTCTCCAATCCCTTCTCACCAGAACGAGGTGAAGACTAAGAAACCCGGTGATGTGCCGGTCCACATAACAGCGGGAGGAGAAACCGTGCCGGTGTCGGAGGAGTCTGAGGAGCTGGACCAGAGGACCTTCAGTGTGGTGCGTGAGGAACACATTTAGTTTAAAAACAAAAACAAAGCCTGGAGTTTAGAGTTTGTTTGAGAGTTTTTTTGGTGGCATTGCACACCCTGCAGGAGCCACATGTCACTGCAAGCTAGCGTAGATGTCACTCACAATACAGATAATGGTGCTCAGGGTGTCCGCGGGGTCTTAAAAAGTATTAAACGGCATTTTCCAAGGTATTACATTTTGTAGCTTGTTTTCAATAAGTATATAAATTGTCCAAAGAGGTTGTATTCTACAGTGTGCCTGAATGTAATCATTGCGTAGGTGTGTAGTGTGATTCTGTGTAGTTTATTTATGGCATCCCGTTGGATTTGACGTCATCTGAACAGGACATCGCACGCTCACTGCTTGATAGCGCGCGAAGGCCCGTTTACGCCGGTTGTTAAACATCGTTATGGGGAAATGCAAGTCTGCGTCCAAATGGTTGGAAGATAAGGAGGAAGGACAATCAATACTGTATATAGTCAATGTGAGGTAAAGTGTGTCGCCAAGGTAACCGGTTAAAACTCAAAGTGGCGATGAGGTCTTAAAATGTATGGAAAGCGTCTTAAAAAAGGTCTTAAAAGGTCTTACATTTGACTTCAGGATTCCTGCATATACCCTGGTGCCATTAAACGTACAAAGGCCGAGTGAATTGCAAGTACTTCACTACTGCTTTATACTGTGGTCCAGAGTCAAAGCTAATCATTTGTCCTTCTAGTTGGAGCTGGAGTGGTACCCCGATAGTTTTCCTCCATCTTTTGCTACCGGCATCTGCTACTTGAAAGTCACTCACTTTCCGACTTTCCAACCAGTTTAGATTAGATTAGAAGCATTTATTGTCATTTATACAAGTACAACGAGAAGAGTAAAGCTACTCCTTTTTAAGGTGCCGTCAACACATTCAGAATAGACAACAAAGACACGCAGCATACATAAAATAATCCAATGAGTATAGTTCATATGTGACCCGCTCTATCGAAATCAGTTGGAAGTCGCAACGGCTCGTTTCAAAATAAACGTGGATTTGCATAAAAAAATTGTTTTTTGTTTGATTTTAAATAAACAAAGTGTTGGTTTTCAGAATATGAAACTTATTTCCAAAATCACACGATAAATACATGTTTGAAGCTTGTAAAGGGAAGAAGACGGGCAGCTCTCCCTGGCCACTCTGCTCTAACGCAGCGCCGCTCCCCCTCCCTCCCGCTGACATTATGAATGTAAGGCGTATAGTAATCATAGATACCACGACAGGGTCCGTTACAGTTTGTTTTCATCTGATTTCAATTAAACAAAGTCTTGGCTTTCAGAATATTAAACTTGTTTCGGCAAATTCAGATGATAAATACAACTATGAAGCTTGTGACGGCATAATTACAAGCGGAGAACGGAGTAACTTGACGTCACAGCAGGCATAACAACAGCCGGTGTTTCTCGTGAGTGTGACAAAATGATGACTCGGTGACAGTCATTATATAATGTGACATATTTTGCTTAATATTTGGAGTACAACAACAATCCTGATATCATTGGAAAGCTAGGAATCTCCTCTTTCCACCAGTGTATACAACTCAAAATGTGTCTTCGAGTCAATGCAACTGATTTCGATAGAGCAGGTCACATATGTTTGTTGTTGGGGAATCATTTGCCCTGCATGTCCTCCTTCGCCCTCTGACGCAGCTGACCAACCTTGAGCAGCCGTTATCTCCCGTAAGGAGGGGCTGCCCTAGCATATTGTTGTTGTTACCAGTTTGTGACCGGGCAGCTCTCGGTCAGAGATAGTTATTGTTGTGGGACACCTGGAACACATCCTTCTCGGGGTGTAGATGACCCCGAGCCATAAGCGACAACAAATGTGATTCAGTGTCCTCAGCTGTTTAGTCTACCTATTGAAGAATGTTGATTATTACACTCTGAACTAGTTAGAACCTGGAGCTACAGGAGGGGTCTTCAGGATTGATTGTGGCATCTCTACCGTGTGGTCAACTCGTCGCCCGTGACAATTCTCCGGCCGAAACTCCAAATAAACCGTCAGTGTTTGCCATCAAAGCTCCAGCTCTCCTCGTGTCTCTCCGAGTCCTTACTCCAATTGCTTCAGAAGTTTCCCCCACATATGTTGTAATAATAATACACTTTATTTGTATAGCACCTTTCATGCACAAAGCAGCCCAAAGTGCTTTACAGAAAACAAACAACAATATTAAAATAAATACAGAACAAGATAAAACATCAACAACGATCCCAATGAAATTCCCTTGAAGTAAAGCTGACAAGAAATTGAAATAGGTTAAAATAAAACAATTACAAAAATGTCAAATAAAAGCAAAACGGAAACAGAAAAAATACAGTAAAACATGGACAATGATACTAGTGAGAATTTAAAGTTAACCCAAAGTAAAAGCCATACTTGAGTGCCGAGAGCCAGCGCGGATGCAGTTGAAGCGCGAAAACAGTTTTGCAATCAGGCTCCAAACTGCTCTTGGAACCACCTGGTTGGAAAAGGGGGTCTTCGAGGATTAGGAACAGATGTTATCCTAATGTTTGTGAACGTAGCTGAGTTGACTGAAGTTTTTATGGTTGCAGTGTAAGGAGCGGATGCGGCCGGTGAAAGCGGCGCTGAAGCAGCTGGACCGACCGGAGAAAGGTCTGTCGGAGCGAGAGCAGCTGGAACACACCAGGCAGTGCCTCATCAAGATCGGAGACCACATCACCGAGTGTCTGAAGGAGTACTCCAACCCCGAGCAGATCAAACAGTGGAGAAAGTAAGCACGCACACGCACACACACGCGCGCGCACACACACACACACACACACGCACACAGCAGAGGTGGGAAGTAGCAGAGTACAAATACTTTAAGTACATTGTTCTGGTATCAGTTTTTTCTGACGACTTTTTACTTTGACTTCTTGCATTTTGAACCCAAATACCTGTACTTTCTACTTCTTACATTTTTAACCCAAATACCTGTACTTTCTACTTCTTACATTTCTAACACAAATACCTGTACTTTCTACTTCTTACATTTTTAACCCAAATACCTGTACTTTCTACTTCTTACATTTTTAACCCAAATACCTGTACTTTCTACTTCTTACATTTCTAACACAAATACCTGTACTTTCTACTTCTTACATTTCTAACACAAATACCTGTACTTTCTACTTCTTACATGTTGAACACAAATACCTGTACTTTCTACTTCTTACATGTTGAACACAAATACCTGTACTTTCTATTTCTTACATTTCTAACCCAAATACCTGTACTTTCTACTTCTTACATTTTGAACCCAAATACCTGTACTTTCTACTTCTTACATTTCTAACACAAATACCTGTACTTTCTACTTCTTACATTTCTAACACAAATACCTGTACTTTCTACTTCTTACATGTTGAACACAAATACCTGTACTTTCTACTTCTTACATTTTGAACACAAATACCTGTACTTTCTACTTCTCACATGTTGAACACAAATACCTGTACTTTCTACTTCTCACATTTTCCAAACAGGCTGGTTCCTTTAGTTTGAATGTGTGTTTGGTGGCGTGATCATTATTATTTAGAGTCATTGCGTGCCTATTGATTTGAACACGATCCGTGTATCCATCATTTCCTGGTCTTCTCTAAAGAAGAGGGACCAATGAAAACGTTGTCATGTTGCCGTTGTTCAGCATGGAAACATTCATTAGCTAACAATGACATTATTGTTCTATTAATATAAAGGGAGGTCAGGTACTCTTTAAAACAGCTGCTAGTTATGGGTACTTTTTACTGAAGTACATTTCAAAGCCCTCTTTACTTTTACTTGAGTAAAGAAGTTCAGTCAGTACTTCTACTTTTACCAGAGTATTTTTAAACAAGAGTATCTGTACTTCTACTTGAGGAAAGGATGTGTGTACTTTTACCCTCTCTGACACACAGTAAGGTTGTGTGACGGTTCCCTGGAGTAACCTTGATGTAGAAACAGAAATGTGGAAACAAGATATGAAGCAAACAGTATAATGTGTGATCAGTGAGTCACATGACATCAGAAACTAGTTTGGCCTTTTGAACGTGTTTAATAATCGTTACAGCCAGGATGTGAGAGCTACCTCAGAGAAGGGAAAGGCACAGTAACGTAAGATCTAACCTGGCTCACTCTCACTGTGTAAATGAAGACGGGGAGCAGTTTGATTATTTCATGGCGGTTAAATCCTAAAACACACACACACACCTGCAGGAGGGAGCAGGACTCTGTATGAGTGCAGCGAACGCTTCATCCTACTGTCACACACACACACACACACACTTAATAAAGAGACAGGAAAAACTATTCATATTCGGAAAACAAACAACTTCCTGGTTTGTAGTACAGCAGCTAAAGAAAACATTTGTAATACAATATGTAAATAGTCAGTGCAACACACACACACACACACACACACACACACAACAGACACACACACACACACACACACACACACACACACACACACACACACACACACACACACACACAGTACTGTAAGATCTAACCTGGCTCACTCTCACTGATTGAATTAAACTGATTGTTTACATGTTTGTCCTTCACAGAAACCTGTGGATATTTGTTTCCAAATTCACGGAGTTCGATGCCAGGAAACTTCATAAACTGTATAAACATGCAATCAAGAAAAGACAAGAGAACGCCCAGGTATGTAAAAGCACTGTTGTACTTCTGAATTTGTTATTAAAGTATGACGTCCTGTACCGACATTAAAAATGCATTATCTTTCTTTCCTCAGGCAATGGAGCAGAACACGAGAAATGCAAACACCCACGGATACAAACACACAGGTACAGTCAGCTTCCCTCTGTCGTTTGTTGCAATAAAAAGTATATGAACCCTTTGGAATAATCTGCATTTATGTATACAATTGTTATAAAGTTATGGTCTGATTTTCACCGTAGGTACAATAATCAACCAATACAATCTGTTTAAACTTGAAGCACAGACATTATTGTTTATGATATATTGAAAAACATCATTCAAACAGTCACAGTGTACGTTGGAAAAGTCTGTGGACCCCTAGACTTTAACAAAAGCTGTCGGATTTAGGAGTTAGCAAACCTTGTTTTAATCAAACAAGTTTTATAAGTTGCTATTACCAAAAAGCGTCTGCTAATGCCTCACAACAAATATCTCAGAAGACCTACGATCAATAATTCTTGATTTGCATTAGCCTGGAAACAGTAACAAAGTCATCTTCATAAGTTATATATCACTCCTTATTTAGACATATTTTCGAAGATAATCAATGAGGTAAAAACAGAACCGTTACGTTAGATCTGGTTAACATCATGCATGAAACCAGGACATTCGAAAGGGTTCACTGTACATAGACTTTAAAGGTCACCTATTGTGCAAAATCCACTTCTTCATGTCTCTTCTACATCAACATGTGTCCCCTCTTCTTCATGTCTCTTCTACATCAACATGTGTCCCCTCTTCTTCATGTCTCTTCTACATCAACATGTGTCCCCTCTTCTTCATGTCTCTTCTACATCAACATGTGTCCCCTCTTCTTCATGTCTCTTCTACATCAACATGTGTCCCCTCTTCTTCATGTCTCTTCTACATCAACATGTGTCCCCTCTTCTTCATGTCTCTTCTACATCAACATGTGTCCCCTCTTCTTCATGTCTCTTCTACATCAACATGTGTCCCCTCTTCTTCATGTCTCTTCTACATCAACATGTGTCCCCTCTTCTTCATGTCTCTTCTACATCACCATGTGTCCCCTCTTCTTCATGTCTCTTCTACATCAACATGTGTCCCCTCTTCTTCATCTCTCTTCTACATCAACATGTGTCCCCTCTTCTTCATGTCTCTTCTACATCAACGTGTGTCCCCTCTTCTTCATGTCTCTTCTACATCAACGCGTGTCCCCTCTTCTTCATGTCTCTTCTACATCAACATGTGTCCCCTCTTCTTCATGTCTCTTCTACATCAACATGTGTCCCCTCTTCTTCATGTCTCTTCTACATCAACATGTGTCCCCTCTTCTTCATGTCTCTTCTACATCAACATGTGTCCCCTCTTCTTCATGTCTCTTCTACATCACCATGTGTCCCCTCTTCTTCATGTCTCTTCTACATCAACATGTGTCCCCTCTTCTTCATGTCTCTTCTACATCAACATGTGGTCCCCTCTGTGTAAAGAGATTCTGAAAGTTTCAGGAACAAAGATTCTCTCTCTTTTGGTCCTGATCCATTTATATAAAAACCTGTCTGAAAATGAGCTGATCAGATTTTGGCCACGTTATGATGTCATAACGATGTTCTGGCTTGTGTAACCATTAGTCAATCAGCAACCAAGGTAACCCCCCCCCCCACGTTATCACCTGAATCTCCTCCTAGAGCACCATTGTGTTCTTTTTAACCAAATATCTCTCAGAGGGGCGTGGGGAGGGGCTCCTTATTTTCATCTAAAGTAACAGACAGAGAATCAGCACTTTGGAAACAGGCCTGAAACAGAGGGGATTATGGGATGCTGCAATGATCTGTTTGGTGTTTCAGCCAATCAGAGACAGGTTCTGTATATATCTGAGACCTATTATATATTGATGAAAAACAGTATAGTAGGGGACCTTTAAGATGGACATCGGCTTACTGATGAGCGTGTGGTGTTTGTCCTCAGATATCGAACGGCTGAAGGACAGCTCTCACCAGGATGAGAGCAGCAGGGACAGCTACAGCTCGGACAGACATCCTCCATCAGGACGGCACCACGAGAGCAGCAGCAAGGACCGACACAGCTCCGAGCCGCACAGGAAGTCCTCGGGAGGGGAGAGCAGGAAGAGACCGTATACCTCCTTCAGCAACGGCAAAGACCACAGAGACGGCAAAGACCACAGAGACGGCAAAGACCACAGAGACGGCAAAGACCACAGAGACGGCAAAGACCACAGAGACGGAAAAGACCACAGAGACGGCAAAGACCACAGAGACAGAGACCACTACAGACCAGACAGCAGGGACAGGGACAGGGACCGAGACAGAGACAGACCGGACAGGTGAGAACAACATTCAAGCATTTTAGGATGTTTTCACAAGGGCCTGATTCAGTAATGCTGTAATAAATACAACTTTAGGGGCCGGGTTTTGTAGTCCTGATCATCTGTGATTGGTCAGACACAGACACCTTGTGTACTACCCAAGCCCCCAGGAAGTGCGCCGGACTCTGAGGAAAATATTCGTTGTGTCCAAACGGCGGTACTGCAACTTCCGTATCAGTCCGTGATGTCCCTGGGCCCGCAAAGACTTTTCCCCATCGACTAACATTGGGAAAGAGACGTCTGTAAATAGTTGGATAATTTTCTTTTGAACTAAATAAACTACCCAGTATGAACATTTGTATAGCCCTTATCATTAGGTCCTCAAGTTGTAAAATGTGCTAATGACGAGTTATTTTCCTCGGCATTATGAACGCGCATCTGAGAGTGGGGGGGCGGGGCTTAAGGGGCAACGCAACTGCGCATGCTCTGAGCGCACAGCCAGGCATGACGGGTAATCTGTGACGTTTCGCTCTCTCAAAAGTTGGGCCAATTTGTCCTCATGCGCCAATGAGCCGCTCTCATAGGAAAGAACGAGACCCCGCCTCCCACGCTGTATCCAGTTCTTATTATACATCCATGGTAATAAAAGAGTGGAGATAAAAATGCAAAGAGCCCTGTGAGCACATGAAACCAGAGGACCGAGGGAGTGAAGATTAAATAATGGTATGCTACGTTCTAAAGTGGAAATAAATCCCCATCAAACACTCAGTAGATCTTCAGTGGAGACGGGTTCTCTAGAGTTGAGTCTCCATTCAATTCAGTCATTACATCAACCTTAAACATTATATTAAAAGAAAAAAACTGCATGACTGTTGTTAGCAGTGGTGACGTCATATGACCGTGCTGTTTATAGCCCAACATTAGCTTTCTACCTAAGGCGATTGTGTTTATGCTAAATCCTAAAGTTGTGTTAATATGTGGAGATTATTTCTGCACATTTTTCAAAATCCAAATCCTTTTTTAGAGGAGCCCTTGCGATGCTAATTTCTGGGTAGGCGCTCCAAAATAAATCATCACTGCTCCGCTCTACAGCTAAATGTTATATCAAATGAATATCTGCGTGCTTGATGTGGGTGCAGAACGTGTGTGTACACTGTGTTAAAGTGGCGTCTCACTCCTGATACTCTGTGTGTGCAGATACTACAACGACAGCAAGCACAGGAAGCTGGACGAGTTCCGCTCCAGAGACCGCCTGGACGTGAAGGACCACTCCCACTCGGACCACCGCTCCTCCTACCGATACCACTCGGACTGGCAGGCGGAGCAGCGCGCCTCGGCCAGCGTTCCCCCCCGATCCCCCCGGGACCAGCGCTCGCCCTACGACTCGCGCTCGCCCATGGGACACCGCTCGCCCTTCGACTACTCGTCAGACCACAAGAGCACACCGGAGCAGATCTGGAGCAGCCGCAAGACATAACAGCAGCTCCCAGGTCTGCTGGTAGCAGCCATAGACTCCGAAAAAAAACACAGCAAATGCCTTACAGGGACTGTGAACTCACTGCAGCTGCAGGAAGAAACACTGTGCATCCACTGCAGCTGCTTCATCTCGGGAACGCCAGGCAGCAGATTAAAAAAAACAAATCATATTTTTGTATTAAAGAGTTTAAAGCTGCAGCGAGACGGCACGCAGCGATTTTTGTTATTTTTATAAACTTTTCTTAACTCTGGAAACTGACACAATTGACCCTGAGAGCTGCCTCATATTCCCAACCAATGACACTGGATCCTGTTGTTCTCTGTTTCGTCTGTCCGTCTCCATCATGCTCAATGTGATTATCTACCTTATTTAAGTGTTAACTCGATGAGAAGTCACACAGAATCGCTTTACAAGTGGATGTTTAAAGGTGTCCGGCTCGGGCTCACCACCTGGCGTACCTCATGTTCAGCATTTCTCATTTTTCCCTCAGCAGGTTTCTTCGTTTTCCAACCAGGCGTGAATTATTTAATAACATATCTTAGCTGTAAAAAAATAACCTGGATTGTTTTTGTTTTTTTTGGGAGTGTGAGGTGTATCATGATTTTTTGCCTCTTCAGTAATACTGTTGTACATTTTTGTAAAATAGTAAATCGGTGGTCTTTTTTCCTCAGGCTTTTTGGATTTATTATGACTCTACTTTCCCCCCCATCAACTCAGGCTTTTTTGTCGTTCTACGAGTGAGTTTCTGTAAAATAGTTCTTTCATGATAATGCTTTCAGAATGTAACTTTTGGTAAAGGGAAAGAATCTTTAATGACTCAGTTTTATTCACTAATGCTTCGTTCTTCTGCTCGGTAAGTTGAGAAGAAACTGACTTTTTAAAATCATTGTTTGAGATAAAAGTCAGTTTTCTTCCACTCAGAAGCACCAGTTCTGTTAGATCTTAAATAAACTCGACTTTTTACACTTTTTATTTGATTTACCTTTCAGTTTCCTTTTTCTACGTAGGCAATAATGTCACTGTTTCTATGCAGCCAAGTATATTTGTGGTGAACCACCCAACTGAATGAAGTCACTGTTACGGTTCGCACTGTTGTACATAGATTTCCTCTATATTTCAAATTGAATTTACACTGAAAGTGCATGAATTTTTATGAACTGTTTTATAGTTGTTTATGAAGCCATTAAAATCAATCACTGTACTCACTCGTACCAGCTCTCTTTAACACCGTGTCGGCTTCTTTATTCTGCAAGGAGGCAGGAACCTTTGGAGGACAGGTGGGTGAGTTTCATGGCAAATATATCACTGCTAACTTTACACTATACTCCTAAAGGTGGGGAGCAGGGGCGGACTGGCCATCGGTACGTTCGGGACGAATCCCGATGGGCCGGTACTGAAGTGGGCCGGCGGTACCGAAGTGGGCCGGTCGAGAGTCCCGGGCTGATTTGTAGTCCCAGTCCGCCCCTGGTGGGGAGTAACTAAGTAGATTCACTTAAGTTCAATTGTGAGGTACTTGTACTTTGAGTATTTCAATTGTATGCTACTTTGTACTTCTACTCCACTACAGTTCAGAGGTAAATGGTGTACTTCTACTCCACTACATGTATGTAATACCTTTAGTTACTTTACAGATCTGGATGAATGATGTGAAATATAATCAAGTGTTAAATCAGACTTTAGTTCCACCTGGAGTAAATTCACAAGCTACCCTGCAGTATACAAAGTCATTCAAACTAGCTGCACCTTTACCAGCTTTGAGAACACTTTAATGATCAATCATTATAAAACATATCATAGATATTATTCTGAAATGGACCAATCTGCACAATGACTACTTTTACTCAAGTACAAGATCTGAGTACTAGGCCTACTTCTCCCTCCTCTGGATATTTCATAAATATGATAATCATGTTTCCTTGTGAAGCTGATTGAAGATGACACGTTGGCAAGATCTGAGTACTCCTACACTCTGGTACTTCTACTTTCACTTAAACACAATATCTGAGTACTTCTCCCACCTTCTTGTTTTAAGGACAAGAGGCCCACTAACCTGTGTTGGCACGTGCATTCTTTGGAACACCAGGGGCGGGGACATACTGGAAAACAACATTGAGGGCGGGACCAGACAGGCGAACAGGGAACCTCCTATTTGTCATAATCTTTTGACAGACAGCTTACCTGACCAATCATCAAACAGTAGGTGTTGACCGAGCATTTGAGCAGATTTCTAAACTCTCAACGACAGGGCGCGCGCCCAACCACCAGCCGTTTGTCCATTCCTATGCTGTGGGATCGAGGAGTTATTTGGCAACATTGCTGCGACATGACTATCATTGACGGGAAGTGGGTGGACCTTCCACAGATTCACTGGACACACAAATGACCACTCCAATTCTTGTTTTGACCATTAAAAGGTTTTATCGAGATTACAAGCACCAACATTGAAGCCAGTTGGGTAAGTTATACTATGAAGATTTTGATAGCGGAAACAATATGGCGTTAGCAGGGCGGCGGGCACTGAGCTAAATGTTAGCTTTTAAAAAGTGGACCTATCATGCTATATTTAAATTATATATTGTAGGGCCATACCTATATAAGGTATATTTATTAGGGCTGTCAGTCGATTAAAATATTTAATCGCGATTAATCGCATGATTGTCCATAGTGAATCGCGATTAATCGCAAATTAATCGCACATTTTTTATCTGTTCTAAATGTACCTTAGAGGGATATTTTTCAAGTTTTTAATACTCTTATCAACATATGAGTGGACAAATATGCTTTATATGTTTGTTTATCATTTGAACAATGACATATATGCTCATGAATATTAAACAACCTCTGAACATTACAAATATTCTCCTCAATTCAACCTGGAACCTCTCATACAGTGTGTGTGTGTGTGTGTGTGTGTGTGTGTGTGTGTGTGTGTGTGTGTGTGTGTGTGTGTGTGTGTGTGTGTGTGTGTGTGTGTGTGTGTGTGTGTGTGTGTGTGTGTGTGTGTGTGTGTGTGTGTGTTAAACGATGCGCTCTGAAACTACGGGGCAGCCGAGGACAAAAAATACACATGCGTTAATCGCGTTAAAATAATTAGTGTAGTGAGTGTACTGTGATATTACAATATAAATGAAATGGCATCGATTATTGTACACTATGATGAAATAAAAAGACTTGTTAAAAAAATAAAGACATTGGGAGTGGTTTGGAGAAGATACTCCGGTGTAACAGCAACTTCCTCTTTCATTGCGAGTGTCTCAAAATATACTGCGAGGGGTCCTTCATGTAATAAAAAGCTTTTAATAACTCTAAAAAATAAAAATAAATAATAATAATTAGTGGCAATTATTATATTATATAATTTTTGCATTAACGTGTTATTAACGCGTTAACTTGACAGCCCTAATATTTATACGTTTCTGTTTTCAAAATACCAAACAGGGTCATGATTTTAAGCCATGCCTCATTTCACCCTATTTGCTGTTCTCCAGCACTGTTTTTGCAGTGGGCTGATTCTGTGAGCTGCAGCTGACCACGCCCCCCTGCAGGAGAGGGGAGCGCGCTCTGATCAAGTCAGAAGAGGGGGAGAAAAATAGATCTCCGTCCTCCGTGTTTTATTATAGCCTATTATTATATAGAGTCGTTATTCATTTGTTTTAAAGCTCAATAAATAACAAAGAAGACCTTTGACCGGCACTTTTCTAATTTTGTCCGGAAGATTTAAACTTTAACGGACATCTTGACCAGCGAAAGTAACTGAAACTGAAACTCTGCTGCACGGTCCCCTCGTTCCTTGGAAGAGGCGGAGAGGTGGGTGTTTGTCATCTGCTGGTGGACTAACCGGAGAGAATTACAGTGCTTGCCTCGACGGGAAGGGATTGCATTGAATTAAAGCAGCAGAAGGAGCAAACGCCTCGGGGAGGGAGAAAAAAAGCCACAGCGGAGAATAAACAGAAGGGTAACCATGGTAACCATGCGCGGGAAGTCTTCTTCGCTGCTTTTGTGGCAGACTACAGCGCCACTTACAGGCCTGGCATATGTACTACAGCATCTCCAGCGCTTTCGAGCGGAGTGGCGAAGTCCCTCCCCTTCCGGTGGACCTTATTTCGGAAAAATTATGTATTGAAGTCAATGGAGAGAGAAAGATTATCTTTCGATCCCGTTTGAATTGTGCCACGAATTACACATATGATGTTTGTCAATTTAAAAGATAATTTTGCAAGTCAAAAAAAAAAAAATGTGTCGTAAAACTGTGAAGTAACACATTTGTTTGTGTGAAACGCTCAATGAACTACATCTCTGGTCAACAACACACGTCACCAAGATGGCCGTCACTACTGTCTTGTCAACACAACGATTGACTATCCTCACTATCACCACAATGAAACACGTCCTGAAGAATGTCATGCAAAGCTGCCTGCCTGCCTTCCTTTGATTCTCTCTGAACTGCCTGGTCGTTTTAATGTTTAATGTCAACCATTTGTGCAGATAGCATGAAGTAGAGAAGATCGCTAGCGTTAGCGTTAGCATTTCTCCCCCGGGCTTAAATGGTGTATTATAGAATGACCACACCGGTGACAGTACTCTTCAAAGGGTTCACGAAATATGACTATTACTCTTACTGTTTAACATTTTGGGTTACTTAATGTTACTTCATGTTAAGGCTAATACAAATGACAAGGCTGTAATGCTAACTAACGTGCTAGCTACTAGCTAGCTTGATCCACACACTCCTCTTTCATCAGACGGGAAGCGAAAGAACGAGCAAGACCCATTGCTGGTATAATAACAACCTGGTACTAAGCACACAGGCATCTTGTGAAAGTTATCTTATCTTAGCCAGCGCCATATAGATAGATTCTATCTATATGGCGCTGATCGTATATATATACGGTATTATACGTATATCGTAGTGTCTCAATTGTGACATCACTTACGCGACTCTGGGATTTGTAGTCTTTCTAGTTGCGTATTTTTCATAGTCTTATATTTCAACAGTTTTACGACAAACTGTGACTTTTTTGACATGGAAATTATTTTTTAAGATTGACAAACATATGTGTAATTCATGGCACAATTCAAACGGGATCGAAAGATACGTTTTCTCTCCCCATTGACTTCAATGCATAATTTTTCCGAAATAAGGTCCCATTACCCGGAAGTAAGTGGGCGTGACTTCGCCACTCTATGGCCGGCCGTGGCCCAACCCCACATTCCCCTGATAGGTGGAGAGTTGGCCCAATAGCCGTAGCGCCACTGTCCTGACGTCAGGACAAATCTGGATCAGTATCAGATCCGTTGCAGCCCCTTTTTTAGAGATTTGGGTATGGAGGAAAATAGAGAGGGTTGTGTTTTCTGACACTTGGTGAGTTCCCTGGAACACCGGGGACACATATTCATGTATAAAAGACGTACAAAAGTGCATTTTGCATGATAGGTCCGCTTTAAATAAATACGCAACACTGTGAGCTCTAACGATACGTTGTTAGCCACTAGGAAACATGCTTTTTAACGACATGTTAGCAACTACTAGCTTACACAGTAATACTTTCTTATCAAGCTAATACCAATAAAGCTATTCAAGCAAAACTGTTTACAGAATAGATGAACTGAACAACTGCCAAGCTTACCTAGGCGTTACGCCATGTCTGGTTTCTGAGAAGAAGTTTATAAAGTTTTACTCAGAACTGAAGCTACCTTTGAGTGTGCCTTTTTGTTCAAGTCTTGCATATGTTTATATTGCATTGTTGAAGATGTCACACATCTCCATTTAACATTACATCTCATAAAGGTTGAAAAAGAGGGTTTATAAAGAAAAAATACCACATCTAATATCACCTAGTATTGTTTTGTTTGGGGGCTCTACAACAACAATGTCACAGTTTATATTACAATTGTATATTTGTAAACTTATATATTGTGTAGCTATAATTTCGCAGTGTCAATGGTACAGTTAAATTACATTAGTTGTGCTTGTTAATGGAGAAAGTAAATGTCAATGATATCATATACTATACTACACTACACTGCAGTTGTGTTTATGATCTGACATTGAACTTTTTGAACCTTGAAAATATTGTGTTTTTGTCCACAGAGAGTCACCATGGTGTCTGCAGGAGAGCTGCTGCTGTTAGCCGGCCTAGTCTTGGCTGTACCTGCCAAAGGAGGTCAGTACCTGTTGTTTCTAACTCCTGACATTATAACCGCTTCTTTCTCATTAAAAAGGCCCGGGACCCCCACTGACACTTACCCTCAGCCCCTCCATACACTATGCATTACATTAATTAAAGAGTAAATTCACAAGCTACCCTGCAGTATACAAAGTCATTCAAACTAGCTGCACCTTTACCAGCTTTGAGAACACTTTAATGATCAATTATTATAAAACATATCATATATATTATTCTGAAATGGACCAATCTGCACAATGACTACTTTTACTTTTGCTACTTTAACTATATTTTGATGATAATACTTTTCTACTTTTACTCGAGTAACATTTTGAGTTCAGGTCTTTTACTGTAACAGAGTATTCCTACACTCTGGTACTTCTACTTTCACTCAAGTACAACATCTGAGTACTTCTTCTTTTACTCAAGTACAAGATCTGAGTACTTCTACTTTTACTCAAGTACAACATCTGAGTACTTCTACTTTTACTCAAGTACAACATCTGAGTACTTCTCCCTCCTGGATATTTCATAAATATGATGATCATGTATTCCTTGTGGAGCTGATTGGTGATGACCACTTACCCTCAGCCCCTCCATAGACACTATGCATTACGTTAATGCGCGCAGACACTGTACGACAGTTTCCATTTCATTTTAAGAAGTGCTGGAAGAAGTACTCAGATGTTATACTCAAGTAGCAAGTAGCAATAGCTCATTGTAAAATTACTCTGTTACATGCAAGTGCATTCAAAATCTAAGTAAAAGTATTGGAATCAGAATATACTCGACTATCACAAGTAAATGTGTAGCGGCCAAAATCATATAGAAATAAAACGGATAATTAACTTAAAATAACACTGCCGCTGAGGCACTAGTTAGCGAGTCTTACGCAGGGCAATGATCCACGTCCAGACAAGAATCTCCGTTTGTGCATTTTATTCCAATCTAATATCATTAACATAGAACAATGAACAGGTTTCATATGTTTCTTTCCTATGGCTTTCCTGCTGGTGGCTTGTAACACCCTGGTAAAAAACCATGTGCCTACTAGTGCTCTACTCACACCACCACCAATATATACAATTACCCAGTGCCCAAAACTGCCTTCAACATAAAAGCATAGAAACTACTTTAATAACAACAATAACTAAAAATACATTTACTATAAACAGCAAGAAAATACATGTTTAAGTATTAAATACTATAAGGCGATATATAGTTCCAACAGTATGCATTGTGCGTAATAGCCCATTTCTGACTCATATATAACAGTGTTATTATTATTGATGCATTAGCGTGTATTACAGATAGTAAAGGTGGAGCTTACTTTATTTCCTTTGCATGCTGCTGTTGGATGTTTTCACCTATAATTATATTTCAATGTTTATTTATTAGTTGATTTGTATTTTTCTTATTAGCTAATAATCTGAATCTGTAAAGTAACTACAGCTGACAGATACATAAAGTGGAGTAAAAGTAGTAAGTAGCATTACAAAAAAATCTCTGCGCTAAAGTACAAGTACCTCAAAATCATACTTAAGTACGGTACTTGAGTATATGTATTTTACTACATTCCAACACTGATTGAAGTCATTACCGTCAGTCCCGCACAACCCTCTTAATATTTGGCACATTGTACACAAAGCTACCTTTTTTTTTAAATATTTCTGCACGGCTTACCATTTTCCAAACCAATACTGCACATATTTGATTTGATTCAATTTCATTTTATCATATTATACTGTACTGTACGTAGTATTCTTGGTATATCTATATTTCATGTAAATATTTCTCTATATTTTAAAGTTATAAATGTCTTTTTTAAATGTTTTTTTATAATAGTTTTATCTTTTGGTCTTGTGCTGTTTGCTGAATTCCAATAAGATGCTTCACTTCTAAGGGACTGTTCTTATACTTTTGCTTTTCCTGCTATCACAAGTCAGTATGTTCGCATTGAAATGGGATTTGTCCTCTGTTTGCTTCTTTAACGCTCCTGTCGGGTTCATCGCTCCCCCCCTTTACTTTGGTGTTCCCAGTCTGTTTTAACTGCTCTTACATTAACACAAAATCAATTAGTCTCTACCAAATTTGATTTAACACCTTTTTACGCTGTCAACAAAGTCTCAGACGACTGGTGTACATGAATAACTGCGATGAATATACAAAGAATAGACACAGTTCGATTGGGTGTGTGTGCTATCTGATGGATGAACATCATCCAGGGTTACCCATTCATTTCCTATGGCGGTCATTTTTTACCGGGAACATCATAGGTGTTACAAAGCGGACTAAACCACTCAAAGTTAAATGAAAGTGGTGATCAGCAATATGTTCAGATGCCTACTGTGGAGGATATCATAAGGCCTTGAAGCAATCAAACGTAAAACACAATATGTATGATTGATGTAAGTAGCAAATCAGATCTATCCCGAACACGACAGGAGGGTTAAACATTTTTTTAAGAAAATGCTTTTTCTTACCAAGGCTCTCTGCCTGTATCTTTGTTTTGACTCTGTAGGGTTTTCCCAAACCAACCATTTGGTGACAGCCCCACAGACAACGCAATTTCTAGAGATCGGCTCTAACTTCAAGGCTACATGCATGATCATCAACACAACGGAAGTTACAGCTGATGACCTCTACTGGAAACTGTCTGAGACTACTGTATCCAAAGAGCTGTACACCAAGCTCAATGAATCGGCTATCAGTGTCACGATCCCCGTCACCAGTGGAAAATCTCAATGGTTATTTTGCAGGGCAAAAGAGGAAAAGTCCTCCTACGTTTACCTGAACCCAGGCAAATTTATGTACGGGGTCTTACTGAAGAAAGGCTGTAAGTTGTTATTGTTGGCACCTAAAACCAAAGCTGTTTTCTAACTACCTGTATTTAATGCTTATAGGTTAGGTCATTGCTAACTCATGGTATGCATTTACTATAGACAGTTTGAGGACAAATATTTAAAGGTCACCTATTATGCAAAATCCACCTTTTCATGTCTCTTCTACATCAACATGTGTCCCCTCTGTGTAAAGAGACTCTGGAAGTTTCAGGAAAAAAGATTCTCTCACTTTTTGTCCTGATCCATTTATATAAAAACCTGTCTGAAAATGAGCTGATCAAATGTTGGCCCCTTTATGATGTCATAACGATTTTTTGGCTTGTGTAACCATTAGCCAATCAGCAACCAAGGTAACCCAACCCCCCCCCCCCTAAACACACCTTATCACCTGAATCTCCTCCTAGAGCACCATTAGCCGCGTTCACACCGGAGTACTTTTCACCGTACTTTTCGCGTTTAGTTCCGTTAGTATCCCTTATGTCGCGTTCACACCAAAAAGATCACTTAATCTCGGGAACTTTTACCCCCATTTTTAGTGCCTGCTGAGAGATGGTACTTTCCTGGGGGAAAAAAGTGCCCCAGTTCTGGTTGGCTGGGTGAATTGCAAACCACGTCCCGTACAACTCTGAAATGTTTTGTAGAGCCGCCATTTTATTATCCTGGCATTAGCATTATTAGCATTAGCATTCGCCCAGTGCACAAACGCAGAGAGACTAACTTATGGCAACACAAAATAAAACATGGGAGCGGTGGAGATGAGGAGGTGTCGGCGTTCTGGCGATTTACTCTGAAGCCAGACCCCAACTCCGGGGACTTCCGGTCGGGGACTCCGGGTGGCAGTATACGCCGTGAAGTTGTTTGCGGCCTGCCAGTAAACCCAAAGCAGAAGAAGACGAAGTGACGTCAGCGGCTCATTTGCGTAATCTTCCCTCAGGGAATAGTACTCCGGTGTGAACGCGATCTGTACTAAATGCCCTGGGGTAATAAGTGCCGGGGCTCTGAGTGCCGGCACTAAATACGGCAAAGTACTTGGTGTGAACGCGCCTATTGTGTTCTTTTTAACCAAATATCTCTCAGAGGGGCGTGGGGAGTGGCTCCTTATTTTCATCTTAAGTAACAGAGAGAGAATCAGCCCTTTTGAAACAGGGCTGAAACAGAGGGGATTATGGGATGCGGCAATGAATTGTTTGGTGTTTGGAGCCAAACACTTCAGAGACAGGCTCTGTATATATCTGAGACCTATAATATATTGATGAAAAACAGTATAATGGGGGACCTTTAAGTCATCACCCGAAGCGTCTGCCATAATATTCACTAGTGATCGCAGTCATACAAACTTTTTGAAAACTGTCCCATTGTAGTTGTGGACACACCCCGGTTTACTGTGAAGTACTTTGTTCAGTTTCATTCTGACGTTCAGTGGCGGAGAAGTTATTTAGGCTTGATTAAAACACCCTAAGAATTAAATCGAGAAACCCTTGTAATTAAAGGTGTTTTCCACCCTCACTTTTATCTTGGGGATGTCTCTGTATGTTTAAATAAATGTCTGTGAAAAAAGGGCACACAAGCTTTTGAATGATGTCTGTGTGCTGTTTGTCTCCATGTCAGATCCACCAGGGAAGCCTGAGAATGTTTCCTGTGTGGCCGTTCAGGAGAAAACTACAATCTCCAGCACCTTCAGCTGTCAGTGGGCGACAGTCGGACGTCAAACCAGCGATGTCCCGACAGAATACACCCTGAATGTTGTAGTCATTCAGTGAGTATACCAAGCTTTTTTTATTTAATAGGCTTTATTGGCAGGAAATGTGACATTTGTTTCCATAGCACGATTACAAAAAATAATGATTTGAATAAACATAAATTATTAACAATACTTATTCATGCCTTGTCCTAGGTCAACAAATGTCTTTATAGCATGTAAGACAGGGCTGGAAACTTCAAATGAATGTCAAAAAATTAAAAGTGTTTCATTTTCAACTATGTTTGTGTAGCTTTTGAGTGCCTTTAAATGGTATTTCTTTTATTTACATGTTCAGCAGTCAGAACTACAGTGTGTCCACGGAGGGAACCCACGCCCAAGTGGACCTTGGTGACACTTACCCCCATTTTATGAACCTGGAGGTTTGGGTGGAAGCACACAATAAACTGGGAAAAATTGAGTCTGAGCATATAACTCAAGATGCTAACTCGTTTGGTAAGTTCAATTGTATTTAATTGTCACATTTCCACAGTGCTTCCAGCTTTATGTCTGCCTGTTCTGACCTGTACCAAAAAGCCAGTTCAACATGCATTGAATATCTTTGTGTTATCTGGTTTAATTATGCATCCAGCTAAATGGTCCAAAAACAACGGTAATCAATTCATTAAGTCCACCCAGGGTTTCTCAGTCTAAAGGCCCCTACACACCAATCTGACACCAAAGAACACGTCCCGATAGGCCCGACTGTTGTGTTGCCTCACGTCTCCTGCGTCTTGGCCAACAGTCGCACTGGAACACACCGCAAAGACTTCAGCCGACGGCCAAGTAGCACGTACGAACTGCGCATGCGTGAGTGGCAATAACTCTCCTTACCAGCAGGCGGCGGTAGTGTGTATTCGTCATTCAAAAGAGGCAACAACCGGAAGACAGACTGCGTGATACACCGAGAGAAGAAGAACAGACTGCGTGATATAAACAAACAACAAATAGCGTGTGCGTTCCATTTTCCCTCTACAGCGAGAAGCTCATGGGGCTTTCCCGAACCTGTGTCGAGAGCTGGAGTTAAATGAAATCTCAGATTTGCCTTCTTAATCGTTTGTTTGGGTCCCTCACTTCCGTTTCGCTTCTCATGCACTGATTCGCTAAGCTGAACAGCCAATCAGAGTGATTTCTTTAGCCGACAGCCTCCCAATTCAACATGTTGAATCGGCGGCGGAAGGTGTCGGCACGGCTGAAAAGACACGACGGGGCGGGACACACCAATCTGAGTAGGGCGACAGGACGCTCATCGACGGCCAGACATCTATCGACGGCCGGACCTTTAAGAGCGAGTTCACTTGGAAGGGGCGGAGTTAGTAGCATTCCACCAATCACAGACATGGACTTGTGTGCTGTCATAAGGGCGTTATCAATCACAAATGACGAGTAGACTATAATAAAGGTATACAAAAAAGGTTCAAACCTAAACAACACGAGTTAAACTGCTAATGCAGACTAAAAGCAACATAGTTAAAGCTGCCACATGCAGGAAGAACATCTGGACATTTTGAGATTTCGGCAACTAATTGCGTTGGTTAGATGCATTCTTTTGGAATAGAAATAGAAGATATAGGCTACTTTATTCATCTCCAATAATAAATATGTTTATTTGTTATATTTATCAGGCTCTGGTTTCAGACAGAGGGTGAAAAGAGGTGCTGCAATATGAGACAAATAAAGAGCTTTTTGAACATTTAACATTACATTACATTACGGCCCAATCCCAAACCACGCCCTCCTGGTTTGGGATTGGGCCGTAATGTTACTTGTTAGACGCTTTTATCCAAAGTGACTTACATACTCAATACAATCCCCACAGAAGCAATTTGGGGTGAAGTGTCTTGCCCAGGGACACAACGACATGCTGACTGCAGTGGGGTTTGAACCTGTGCTCCCCTGATCCGAACACCAACGCACTAACCCACTGCGCCACACGCCTCCTTTAAGCATGGAGACATGTCACAGTAGAGACACAAATCAAAAATATTAGCATGATATCTCCTCTTTAAACTTCTCTGTATTCGTGTAATATTATTTTACGAAGAGCACACCGAGCTCTGATTGTTCAGCAGGTGGTGCTTTACAGGCAGGTGTTGAGCATAAGTGAGCATGACGTTCTACCCATGGATGTATAATAAGAACTGGATACAGCGTGGGAGGCGGGGTCTCGTTCTTTCCTATGAGAGCTGCTCATTGGCGCATGATGACAAAATGGCCCAACTTTTGAGAGAGCGAAACGTCACAGATTACCCGTCATGCCTAGCTTTCAGAGCAGAAGAACCCGTATGTGCGCTCACAGAGCATGCGCCCCTTAAGCCCCGCCCCCCGAGCACTCTCTGCTCACTAGAATGAATGGAGACAGAAAATACATTTTGATTCGGCTTTTAGTGCATTTTACAACGTTAATGACCGAATGATTCTAATAAGGGATATCAAATAGTTCATGCTGAGTAGTTTATTTAGTTAAAAAAAATTATCCGCTGATTTACAGACGTATCTTTCCCAATGTTAGTCAATGGGGAAAAGTCTTTCTGGGCTCAATGACGTCACGGACTGATACGGAAATTGTAGTACCGCCGTTTGGACACAACGAATATTTTCATCAGAGTCCGGCGCACTTCCTGGGGGCTTGGTTCTACCCCAGAAGGAAATGAACCACCAGTGTAGAACTGAAAACTCAGTGTAAACCCCGAAGTTACCTCTCTTACTCCAAATCTTAGTCCGCAGTACAAGACATCTGTCACTCTGCTGGCTCTGCCGAAATGTGACAATGACTGACAGCTTGTTGTGTCTTTTGTTGCAGTCAAAACAAACCCTCCATCAGACATCAAAGTTATTTCAGAGAAGGATTTTCCCACCTCTCCTCTGATGAACTGGACTCAGCCTATTGATAAAACTTATGGGAAATTAAAATATGAAATAAGATTCTGCGCAATTGGATCTCCAAATTGGACTTATGTAAGTATGTTTTTTTTGTTTCGTTCTACCAATCAGAGCAACTTCTCATGTGCATTTTCATCATGGCATGAAAAGCAGTGAGGGAACTATTGCAATATTTCATTTCAGTGTCCCAGTGTTTTCAGTCAGTCAGCCAGCATGGCATTTAAACAGTGTTATTCTTTATTCCTTATGTCTTCTAGCCAGGTTACTTTTTTTTTACAGTTTTACTTTGTACTCTTGGGTAACCGACATGTCTGCTGTTTTTTATGTTTCTCATTACTAGTTGTCAAAATCAATAAAAGAGTTGTGTTTATTTCCTTCAGGTACCTAAAAGAGACATAGCCATGGACATCCAGAGCTTCAGACTCCAGAGCCTTCAGCCATACACAGAATATATCACTCAGGTGCGCTGCCAACTGGGCGACTGGAGCGACTGGAGCGACAACACAACCACGAAAACAGCAGAGGACCGTGAGTTCAGACAGCTTTCACTAACTAAAAGTACTCAAATACAACAAAGACAATTTAAGGACTTCAGAAAGATATCCAGTATAATGTACCTGAGTCCTTAGTCCTTTAGAGCTTCCTTTCAAGACTTACTGAACTAAGGAATCCGCCCACTTACATTTTTAGTTGTAGGCTACATTTGTAAGACATGGCGTAAACAAAAATATTTACTTACCTGTACCTGTTTTTTATTTTTGCATAGGACCAACAAGTAAACCAGATGTGTGGAGAACCATTGCTGAGGTTGACGGCAAAAATGAACGGCGAGTGCAGTTTGTCTCCATGTCAGATCCACCAGGGAAGCCTGAGAATGTTTCCTGTGTGGCCGTTCAGGAGAAAACTACAATCTCCAGCACCTTCAGCTGTCAGTGGGCGACAGTCGGACGTCAAACCAGCGATGTCCCGACAGAATACACCCTGAATGTTGTAGTCATTCAGTGAGTATACCAAGCTTTTTTTATTTAATAGGCTTTATTGGCAGGAAATGTGACATTTGTTTCCATAGCACGATTACAAAAAATAATGATTTGAATAAACATAAATTATTAACAATACTTATTCATGCCTTGTCCTAGGTCAACAAATGTCTTTATAGCATGTAAGACAGGGCTGGAAACTTCAAATGAATGTCAAAAAATTAAAAGTATTTCATTTTCAACTATGTTTGTGTAGCTTTTGAGTGCCTTTAAATGGTATTTCTTTTATTTACATGTTCAGCAGTCAGAACTACAGTGTGTCCACGGAGGGAACCCACGCCCAAGTGGACCTTGGTGACACTTACCCCCATTTTATGAACCTGGAGGTTTGGGTGGAAGCACACAATAAACTGGGAAAAATTGAGTCTGAGCATATAACTCAAGATGCTAACTCGTTTGGTAAGTTCAATTGTATTTAATTGTCACATTTCCACAGTGCTTCCAGCTTTATGTCTGCCTGTTCTGACCTGTACCAAAAAGCCAGTTCAACATGCATTGAATATCTTTGTGTTATCTGGTTTAATTATGCATCCAGCTAAATGGTCCAAAAACAACGGTAATCAATTCATTAAGTCCACCCAGGGTTTCTCAGTCTAAAGGCCCCTACACACCAATCTGACACCAAAGAACACGTCCCGATAGGCCCGACTGTTGTGTCGCCTCACGTCTCCTGCGTCTTGGCCAACAGTCGCACTGGAACACACCGCAAAGACTTCAGCCGACGGCCAAGTAGCACGTACGAACTGTGCATTCGTGAGTGGCAATAACTCTCCTTACCAGCAGGCGGCGGTAGTGTGTATTCGTCATTCAAAAGAGGCAACAACCGGAAGACAGACTGCGTGATACACCGAGAGAAGAAGAACAGACTGCGTGATATAAACAAACAACAAATAGCGTGTGCGTTCCATTTTCCCTCTACAGCGAGAAGCTCATGGGGCTTTCCCGAACCTGTGTCGAGAGCTGGAGTTAAATGAAATCTCAGATTTGTCTTCTTAATCGTTTGTTTGGGTCCCTCACTTCCGTTTCGCTTCTCATGCACTGATTCGCTAAGCTGAACAGCCAATCAGAGTGATTTCTTTAGCCGACGGCCTTTAGCCGACAGCCTCCCAATTCAACATGTTGAATCGGCGGCGGAAGGTGTCGGCACGGCTGAAAAGACACGACGGGGCGGGACACACCAATCTGAGTAGGGCGACAGGACGCTCATCGACGGCCAGACATCTATCGACGGCCGGACCTTTAAGAGCGAGTTCACTTGGAAGGGGCGGAGTTAGTAGCATTCCACCAATCACAGACATGGACTTGTGTGCTGTCATAAGGGCGTTATCAATCACAAATGACGAGTAGACTATAATAAAGGTATACAAAAAAGGTTCAAACCTAAACAACACGAGTTAAACTGCTAATGCAGACTAAAAGCAACATAGTTAAAGCTGCCACATGCAGGAAGAACATCTGGACATTTTGAGATTTAGGCAACTAATTGCGTTGGTTAGATGCATTCTTTTGGAATAGAAATAGAAGATATAGGCTACTTTATTCATCTCCAATAATAAATATGTTTATTTGTTATATTTATCAGGCTCTGGTTTCAGACAGAGGGTGAAAGAGGTGCTGCAGTATGAGACAAATAAAGAGCTTTTTGAACATTTAACATTACATTACATTACGGCCCAATCCCAAACCACGCCCTCCTGGTTTGGGATTGGGCCGTAATGTTACTTGTTAGACGCTTTTATCCAAAGCGACTTACATACTCAATACTGTCGGCAATCCCCACAGAAGCAATTTGGGGTGAAGTGTCTTGCCCAGGGACACAACGACATGCTGACTGCAGTGGGGTTTGAACCTGTGCTCCCCTGATCCGAACACCAACGCACTAACCCACTGCGCCACACGCCTCCTTTAAGCATGGAGACATGTCACAGTAGAGACACAAATCAAAAATATTAGCATGATATCTCCTCTTTAAACTTCTCTGTATTCGTGTAATATTATTTTACGAAGAGCACACCGAGCTCTGATTGTTCAGCAGGTGGTGCTTTACAGGCAGGTGTTGAGCATAAGTGAGCATGGCGTTCTACCCATGGATGTATAATAAGAACTGGATACAGCGCGGGAAGCGGGGTCTCGTTCTTTCCTATGAGAGCTGCTCATTGGCGCATGATGACAAAATGGCCCAACTTTTGAGAGAGCGAAACTTCACAGATTACCCATCATGCCTAGCTTTCAGAGCAGAATAACCCGTATGGGCGCTCACAGAGCATGCGCCCCTTAAGCCCCGCCCCCGAGCACTCTCTGCTCACTAGAATGAATGGAGACAGAAAATACATTTTGATTCGGCTTTTAGTGCATTTTACAACATTAATGACCGAATGATTCTAATAAGGGATATCAAATAGTTCATGCTGGGTATTTTATTTAGTTTAAAAAAAATTATCCGCTGATTTACAGACGTATCTTTCCCAATGTTAGTCAATGGGGAAAAGTCTTTCTGGGCCCAGTGACGTCACGGACTGATACGGAAATTGTAGTACCGCCGTTTGGACACAACGAATATTTTCATCAGAGTCCGGCGCACTTCCTGGGGGCTTGGTTCTACCCCAGAAGGAAATGAACCACCAGTGTAGAACTGAAAACTCAGCATAAACCCCGAAGTTACCTCTCTTACTCCATATCTTAGTCCGCAGTACAAGACATCTGTCACTCTGCTGGCTCTGCCGAAATGTGACAATGACTGACAGCTTGTTGTGTCTTTTGTTGCAGTCAAAACAAACCCTCCATCAGACATCAAAGTTATTTCAGAGAAGGATTTTCCCACCTCTCCTCTGATGAACTGGACTCAGCCTATTGATAAAACTTATGGGAAATTAAAATATGAAATAAGATTCTGCGCAATTGGATCTCCAAATTGGACTTATGTAAGTATGTTTTTTTTGTTTCGTTCTACCAATCAGAGCAACTTCTCATGTGCATTTTCATCATGGCATGAAAAGCAGTGAGGGAACTATTGCAATATTTCATTTCAGTGTCCCAGTGTTTTCAGTCAGTCAGCCAGCATGGCATTTAAACAGTGTTATTCTTTATTCCTTATGTCTTCTAGCCAGGTTACTTTTTTTTTACAGTTTTACTTTGTACTCTTGGGTAACAGACATGTCTGCTGTTTTTTATGTTTCTCATTACTAGTTGTCAAAATCAATAAAAGAGTTGTGTTTATTTCCTTCAGGTACCTAAAAGCGACATAGCCATGGACATCCAGAGCTTCAGACTCCAGAGCCTTCAGCCATACACAGAATATATCACTCAGGTGCGCTGCCAACTGGGCGACTGGAGCGACTGGAGCGACAACACAACCACGAAAACAGCAGAGGACCGTGAGTTCAGACAGCTTTCACTAACTAAAAGTACTCAAATACAACAAAGACAATTGAAGGACTTCAGAAAGATATCCAGTATAATGTACCTGAGTCCTCAGTCCTTTAGAGCTTCCTTTCAAGACTTACTGAACCAAGGAATCCGCCTACTTACATTTTTAGTTGTAGGCTACATTTGTAAGACATGGCGTAAACAAAAATATTTACTTACCTGTACCTGTGTTTTTTATTTTTACACAGGAACGTTTGCGTGTATGCACAGTATGCGTTTTCAAAAAAGTCTTCCGTTCACATGCATTCGTTTCATTTAACGTGTCTGTTCACACGAGACCGCTGGAAACGCTGTAGTACATATGCCGGGACTGTAAGTGGCGCTGTAACTTCCGCCACAAAATACACCAAAAGCAGCGAAGAAGACCCCGGAGCAGCCCGGAGCAATGTTGCCATGGCTACCCTTCTGATTATGCCCCGCAGTGGATTTAGCAACATGTAGTAGTTCATGTAATTCTCCATGTCCACTTGTTGCTGATGGTTGTGGTAGAGGAGCTGTAGATTTTGCACTAACATCTGTAGCATGGTCAGTAGCAGTACTGGCCATGCTACAGCAGTGAGCAGCAGAGGCGGGGAGAGGTGGGGCTATCGTTATTTTTTCAGGAAATTATCGTATAGAGGCGATTACACGGAGCCGTTTGACCCCCCAGAGCGTTTCGTTTGCAAATCTATCCACCTTGGGACCCGTTATCGTTTGTGGGGTCCGTTTGTTACGGCCTCGTGTAAATAATAGGGCTATACGCAAGAGAAACTATGCAGATACAAGCCGTTTTGTTCTCGTGTAAAGGGGGTCTAAGGCTGCTTTGATCAGTCTGTCAGTTCAAACATTCAAAGAGGTTTAAAGGCTTTATTGTCACAACATTGCTGCAGCTTAGTTTTTTCAAATCTCAGGCTCCTCAAAAACATACAATGCAATATACTTAAGACGTAAAAATAAATAAAAAAGTGCAAGAGAATGTTGCAAGGGACACAAGGTGCAAGCAAAATGCAGAAATAAGTGAACTTTATGCAAGTGAAATAAGATAAATCAGAATGTACAATTAAAAACTGAACATTGGAATAAAATAGTGGGCAAACTGACTTGATTGATTTGGATTTAAATATGTACACATCTGCATATTGCAAGTGGATAAATACCTCATACAACTTTTCTGTTCCCTGTCCCTTCACCTCATGCTGTTTCCTGTGTGTGTGTGTGTGTGTGTGTGTGTGTGTGTGTGTGTGTGTGTGTGTGTGTGTGTGTGTGTGTGTGTGTGTGTGTGTGTGTGTGTGTGTGTGTGTGTGTGTGTGTGTGTGTGTGTGTGTGTGTGTGTGTGTGTGTGTGTGTTGCACTAGTCTTTGTACAGAGAGTTAAGTTATTGCTCACCCAATCACTGCTGAGTTAATGTCTTCTCTTTATTCTGTCTCCATGTTTCCCCTGCCCCTCTGTAATAAATCTATTAAAGCTCTCTTGACTTTTCTGTCTTCTTCCAGTCTGTTCTTCTTTCGCCTTTGTTTACTTCTTATATTTGAAGATGCCCTATTCTGCTTTTTGTGGTTTCCCCTTTTCCTGTAGTGTGTTATACAGTATAGGTTTTAGTGCATGTAAATGGTCTGCAAAGGTCTGAGTAAAATGATGACATCACTATGTAACACTCACGCTTCTATTGGCTAGCTAGCGCTCAAACACATTGTACGTGATAGGCAAGGCAAGGCAAGGCAAGTTTATTTATATAGCACCTTTCAACACAAGGCAATTCAAAGTGCTTTACAAAAATGGAAGACATTAAGAAAATGGCATTTAAAATCAGTCATTAAAAAGATAATAAAATAAACATTAAAAGAAAAAATACATGGATAAAAGTTACAGTGCAGTTTAAGATATGAATAGTTCAATTAAAGCAGCGGCAAAAAGAAAAGTCTTCAGCCTGGATTTAAAAGTAGTAAGAGTTGCAGCGGACCTGCAGGTTTCTGGGAGTTTGTTCCAGATATTTGGAGCATAATAACTGAATGCTGCTTTACCATGTTTAGTTCTGACTCTGGGGACAGAAAGCTGACCAGTCCCTGAAGACCTGAGAGTTCTGGATGGTTCATAATTTAGCAGTAGATCAGACATGTATTTTGGGCCTAAACCATTCAAAGCTTTATAAACCAGCAACAATATTTTGAAATCTATTCTTTGACACACTAGGTGTGTAGGCGAAAGGGCGGGACATCTCTGAGCAGTTGACCGATCACAACAGAGCCGGCCAGCTAACCAATCAGAGCAGACTGGGCTCTGGTTTCAGACAGAGGGTGAAAAGAGGTGCTGTACCACAGGCAGTATGAGAAAAATAAAGAGCTTTTTGAACATTAAAGCATGGAGACACGTCACAGGAGTGACGCTTCGAGAATTATCATTTGTTGAAGAAAAACTCACTAAGCTTCTCAATTACAGAAATAGCCTTTACTTGAAGTTACTAGAGTTTCTGAGCGATTATAAGACAGTATGAATGTAATGATGATCCCTCTTAATGACCTGCAGAAAAGACCATCAGTGTGACGATTGGATGTTTTTATAAAGTTATTCAAATCACTTTCAGGTACAGTTCCCTGCAACATCAGACCAACCATCTACGCAGGATGAGGAGGGTTACTTTGAATATATATTCTGTTATAATTACTAGTTGCCTGTAAATCAGTGTAATGAGTAACCTAATCTAAGTATCACAATATCAAACAAAGTAATGTTACCGGATTACTTGCCATTTTATAAAACAAAAACAAATATCAATAAGATGTTTTTTACTGAAGTGTATTTTGTAAGACGGAACAATGTGACCTTAGAAAAGAAGAAACCCAGTTATTTAGGATCATAACATGATTTTATTTGTAGGAAAACCTGCCTTTCATGAAGCATATTCAGCCTATGCACCAGGGGTGTCAAACTCAATTTCATCCCGGGCCACATCAGCATTATGGTTGCACTCATAGGGCCGGTTGTGACTTTAAGACTATAGTATATATAATATATAATATATATAAAATAATATATTATAATACATAATTTCCTGTGCATTGGATTATTATCGGATAGGGTAATAACTTCATAATTAACTACGTCTGAAAGCAGAAGTCTAGGGCAAATAATTGCAAGTCTCTTCAGTGCACATGTCACAAAACAAGATGCATTGTGGGACATGTAGTTTATGGGCAACGTGCCTCTGTAAAGCGGCATGTAACCGTATAATAAACGTATTATATTCTTAAATGAAGTTGCGGGCCGGATTTGGCCCCCGGGCCTTGAGTTTGACACCCCTGCTATGCACCAACAATGAAACACACGAGCACATACTCCAGCTTAAAAAAGCAGAAATAAAACCTGAGCTGACAGGAAATGCTCCGTTTTAGTTTAATACACACAGTTAAGCTCACACACTATTTTATGAACATATACGTTCACTTACTGAATTAAAAAGTGACTGAATGTTTGTTTCCATTGAAATGTATTAAAGGGATTCTTCTGGAAATCTACATAATGTAACTATAGATAATGTCAACAAGGACTAAAAACTATTGTCTCTATTTTACATTTTGCCCATTTTGGTAAGTGACTAAACTTTTAAACAATGTTTGATGTCTTCTTTTCTTTTCTTTGTTATGTCATATTGTGTTTTGGATCCTTACTGAAAGACTAAGCTCTATGCAACTTTTTGCCATTGATACATTTACTATTATTATTGTATGTATAGACTTACTGGTTAAATTATCAATTGTAATGTTATCAATAATGAGAATGATCATTGCATGCAACCCCAGTATAATAAATGCTAAATGACACCGTTTTTTTCAGCAAACTAGCTGTGAATTCATCAGAAAATCATAACAATGTCAATTTTGTAGAATAAAGCGTAGTAGTAAAATCAAAGCAGGTTTAGGGTGCTCTCGAAATGTCATCTCCTCTTAAGATTCTCTATTACCAGCAGATTGAGCTTCTTGTGTTTTTGGCAAACCCTTGTACAGTAAACAATGCACTGACAGTGCAAAAACACTGTGTTGGTTTAGAAGACGCATCTCCAGGTCCAGACAGGAAACTCACGTGTGGCTTTGTTCCCTCCTCCAGAGAAACTGGCCCAGGCCAAAGAGGAGAACCTGGACATGCACCAGGTGTTGGACCAAACCCTCCTGGAGCTCAACAATCTATAGAGCCCTCCTCCGAGCTCCCAGCACACCACATCAGATGTGACGATTGGTTCAGAACTAGATCTATGGAGCCCCCTACCAAGTGTCTTTATGCAAACTAAGAGCTATTTGGTGTGCATTAGAAACTGTTGGAGGTCATCAGAAGGATCCTGTCATCAATAAAAAAGGTCTTGTGTGCACGTGGAAGTCATAGAAAACAATAACATCAAGAGAAGTTGTTGCTTAAAAAAAAAGTTTGACCAAAACATGACACAGCAGTTCTAAGTAAGTAATGATAAAAACATGATAGTTACTACTGCACACAAAATACATTTCTCCTTTACCCAACAGTTTCTGATGTGCACTTGAAAACGTATTTGTTGTCTTTCTATTGGTTGATAAAGTGTGTTACAGATATGTCCCAGATATGTTATAGACGTACACTAACTCATCTGATCTACCGTACCAATTTTGGGGCAATACAATTGTATTATGTTAAAAAAACACACATTTAGGCAGTTATTTAGGTCCTTTTTAGGCAGGTTTATTATGCATTTTAGATTATGCATTAGAGTTATTTTCCAAATACAAAAACAAAATAGAGGAAATGTGTGTGAGACTGTTTTTACATGTTAAAAGCTGAATTGAATAAAGAGTTGGGAGCTGTAATACTGACTGATCTAACTGAATAAAAGTTGTATATCTTTTAAAAATGAGTGAATTCCTGAAATGCGAAGGTTTCATAATCTTATCATCAGATTGCACATGTTGTGACTTTCACTCTGAGGTCATTTAAATGTCATACAACTTCATGTCTGCTAACCTCTCTGCCAGAAGGTTATAATACAGTTGTCAAGTACAAGCAAATCTGACGCTAAACTGCTATGCTGAAATGTAATGTGTAAGAAGAAAGTGAAGAATTTAGATTGAAATGATACATGAACACTGGGGGCTTGAATGTGTGATGAGTGAAGAAAAGAAAGTAAAAAGGCTTGGAAAAGCAGCAGAATATTTGAACTGCAAACTTTTGAACTAAGTTGATGGAGATTGATCTGTCGCCATGGCAACGGCATTTGATGACACCCCATAATACGCTTAGATGCGTTGATGGCTGCATCGTTACCAAACCTGTGAAGTTTTGGGCCATTTGGAACATTTTCACTGAAGTTATGAGAAAACCGTGTTTCATGGCGAGCATTGTGTTGCCATGGCAACGGCATTTGAAGAAACCCCATAATTGACGTAGAGCTGTTGAGGGCTGGACCGGTGATATACAAGCGAAGTTTGGGGGACGATCGGACCGTTTCCATTGGACTTACAGCGACACCGTGTTTCATGGCGAGCATTGTGTTGCCATGGCAACGGCATTTGAAGAAATCTCAAAACTGTCTCGTAGATGTCTTCACGACTGGACTGTTAGCACACATGTGAATTTTGAGCACTTTTTGAACATTTTCATAGGAGTTAAAGGGACATCGTGTTTTATGGCGAGGGATGCGTTTCCATGGAAACGGCATATGGTGAGATTTCAGATTTGTCGTAGAGCTGTTGAGGCATGGTGATATACAAGTGAAGATTGGGGGACGATTGGACCGTGTCCATTGGACTTACAGCGACATCGTGTTTCATGGCGAGTGGTCTGTCGCCATGGCAACAGCATTTGATGACACCCCATACTACGCTTAGATGTGTTGATGGCTGCATCGTTACCAAACCTGTGAAGTTTTGGGCCGTTTGGAACATTGTGTGTGAGAGAGAGAGAGAGAGAGAGAGAGAGAGTGTGTGTGTGTCTGTGTGTGTCAGAGAGAGAGAGAGAGAGATATTGAGGAAGAGGAAGATAGAGGAAGATATTGAGTAAGAGGAAGATAGAGGAAGATATTGAGGAAGAGGAAGATAGAGGAAGATATTGAGGAAGAGGAAGATAGAGAGAGAGAGAGAGAATGAAATGAACAGTTAGAACTGACTCTTGATCGCCCTCTCTCTCTTCTCTTGAACGGCATATGATGACATAAGATATTCATTGCTATCGGGATGTTAAGAGCATTCCATGGAATATAACAAGTGTATCTCGAGCCGGTTTCTCAAATTGACCTACCCCACCTTTAAGATAAATGTAACACCACGACAAATATATACTGACTAGAACAAAAACAAAAAAGATAAATAAAACAAACCTTACTCAAAGTGTTTCTTGGTGCAAACTATAAAGTAGAACAAATTATATTTTTAGAAAGTAGTGGGTTGTACTTTTACTCCACTACATGTATTTAACCCCGTTAGTTACTTTACAGATGTGGATGAATGATGTGAAATATAATCAAGTGTTAAATCAGACTTTAGTTCCACCTGGAGTAAATTCACAAGCTACCCTGCAGTATACAAAGTCATTCAAACTAGCTGCACCTTTACCAGCTTTGAGAACACTTTCATGATCAATCATTATAAAACATATCATATATATTATTCTGAAATGGACCAATCTGCACAATGACTACTTTTACTGTCGCTACTTTCACTATATTTTGATGATAATACTTTTCTACTTTCACTTGAGGAACATTTTGAATGCAGGACTTTTACTGTAACAGAGTATTCCTACACTCTGGTAGGCCTACTTCTACTCAAGTACCAGATCTGAGTACTTCTCCCACCTCTGGTCATGAGCTATGTTTGACTGTTTGGCCTCAGTAGTGACACCTACTGGGTCAAATAGGAACTGCAGACTTGCTCATTAGCATTTGTGGATCAAAACATATCATGTGTGTCTGCTCTATATCCAGGAAAAAGAGCAGTGAGCCAGTGGTGGAGTGTGACTTAAGTATATTTACTCAAGTGTTGAACTTGAGAGCAAATGTAAAGGTATTTGTTGTTTATTCTTGCGTGGTTAAAACATACACAAACGAACCGTTGCCAGGCAGAAAACCCACTGGGCTTTTCTGATGTTAAAATTGACAGTAATAGAGAATACAAGAGACATTAACTAACATCTTATAGCCTTAGTTACATTACAGTGACATATTTAACATTTAAACTCATTTTTTATTACATTTGATGTTTAGTTTTTAATTAAACTAACCAACAGTTTACAGGAGAAAAGCTTCTTTAAGGATCAAGTGGAAAAGGTTTTGGGTGTTATTTTAAGAGATTTCTCTGCATTGGATACTTTTACATTTAATACTGAGACTCGGTTTACTAACTATACCTTTTCAATGCAGTACATGTACACACAACAGTGAAATGAATAAAACCAGGACCACTTGAGCGGGTTTTATTTGGGTCATAAAGCACATCAGGGCGTGTGTAAAGGTCTCACAGCCCCGCAGAAGGCAGAGTTAAATAAGTAAATGGCTTTCCATGAAACATGTGACATAAAGATTCAGATTTAAGAACAGTTCTTAAGAACAAACAAGGCAACATTTCTCCTGTCAGAGTCCGACCCCCCCCTCTTTACTCGGTCTTCTTCTCCTCGAACATGATGTTGGCCGTGGCTCTCTTGGCTGTGGACACAAACACACACACACACACACATCAGATGTCTTATTTTGTAATTCTGATAGCTACTAGCAACTGAACAGAGGTGTAAAGTAACTAAGTACATTTACTCAAGTGCTGTACCTAAGTACAATTTTGAGATACTTGTACATAGTTACTTGAGTATCTCCATGTTTCTGCTACTTTGTACTTATACTCCACTACAATTCAGAGGTAAATGGTGTACTTGTAAGTCATCCAAACTAGCTGCACCTTTACCAGCTTTGAGAACACTTTCATGATCAATCATTATAAAACATATCATATATATTATTCTGAAATGGACCAATCTGCACAATGACTACTTTTACTGTCGCTACTTTAACTATATTTTGATGATAATACTTTTCTACTTTTACTTGAGGAACATTTTGAATGCAGGACTTTTACTGTAACAGAGTATTCCTACACTCTGGTACTTCTACTTTTACTCAAGTACAAGATCTGAGTACTTCTACTTTTACTCAAGTACAAGATCTGAGTACTTCTACTTTTACTCAAGTACAAGATCTGAGTACTTCTACTTTTACTCAAGTACAAGATCTGAGTACTTCTACTTTTACTCAAGTACAAGATCTGAGTACTTTTACTCAAGTACAAGATCTGAGTACTTCTACTCAAGTACAAGATCTGAGTACTTCTACTTTTACTCAAGTACAAGATCTGAGTACTTCTACCTTTACTCAAGTACAAGATCTGAGTACTTCTACTTTTACTCAAGTACAAGATCTGAGTACTTCTACTTTTACTCAAGTACAAGATCTGAGTACTTCTACCTTTACTCAAGTACAAGACCTGAGTACTTCTACTTTTACTCAAGTACAAGATCTGAGTACTTCTACTTTTACTCAAGTACAAGATCTGAGTACTTTTACTCAAGTACAAGATCTGAGTACTTCTACTCAAGTACAAGATCTGAGTACTTCTACTTTTACTCAAGTACAAGATCTGAGTACTTCTACCTTTACTCAAGTACAAGATCTGAGTACTTCTACTTTTACTCAAGTACAAGATCTGAGTACTTCTACTTTTACTCAAGTACAAGATCTGAGTACTTCTACCTTTACTCAAGTACAAGACCTGAGTACTTCTACTTTTACTCAAGTACAAGATCTGAGTACTTCTACTTTTACTCAAGTACAAGATCTGAGTACTTCTACTTTTACTCAAGTACAAGATCTGAGTACTTCTACTTTTACTCAAGTACAAGATCTGAGTACTTCTACTTTTACTCAAGTACAAGATCTGAGTACTTCTACTTTTACTCAAGTACAAGATCTGAGTACTTCTACTTTTACTCAAGTACAAGACATGAGTACTTCTACCTTTACTCAAGTACAAGATCTGAGTACTTCTACCTTTACTCAAGTACAAGACCTGAGTACTCCCACCTCTTTGGAAAGTAAGGCCTATTAAAATCTGACCATTTCATCACGAGTGTGTTTCCAGTAAATTCTCTCACCCTCGTCTTTGAACTTGTCAGCAGCTTCTGACGCCTTGTCCTTCACAATCTTCATCGCATCGTCGATCTTGCCTTCGTTCTTCAGGAAGACTGGTCGAATGATGCGAGTATAAATGAGGATGGATCCATTAGAGGCGGTGGGGGCCATGCAATAAACCAGGAAGGCACCCTGGAGAGAGAGGAGGGGGGAGACATAAACACAATTTATCATTTTAGTATAATTTAAAGGTCCCCTATTATACTGTTTTTCATCAATATATTATAGGTCTCTGATATATACAGAACATGTCTCTGATTGGCTGAAACACCAAACAGATCCTTGCAGCATTACCCATAATCCCCCCTGTTTCCAAAGTGCTGATTCTCTGTCTGTTACTTCAGATGAAAATAAGGAGCCCCTCCCCACGCCCCTCTGAGAGATATTTGGTTAAAAAGAACACAATGGTGCTCTAGGAGGAGATTCAGGTGATAAGGTGGGGGGGGGGGGGGGGGGGGGGGGGGGGTTACCTTGGTTGCTGATTGGCTAATGGTTACACAAGCCAAGAAATCGTTATGACATCATGAAGTGGCCAAAATCTGATCAGCTCATTTTCAGACAGGTTTTTATAGAAATGGATCAGGACAAAAAGAGAGAGAATCTTTGTTCCTGAAACTTTCAGAGTCTCTTTCCACAGAGGGGACACATGCTGATGTAGAAGAGACATGAAGAAGAGGGGACACATGTTGATGTAGAAGAGACATGAAGAAGAGGGGACACATGCTGATGTAGAAGAGACATGAAGAAGAGGGGACACATGTTGATGTAGAAGAGACATGAAGAAGAGGGGACACATGTTGATGTAGAAGAGACATGAAGAAGAGGGGACACATGTTGATGTAGAAGAGACATGAAGAAGAGGGGACGCATGTTGATGTAGCAGAGATGTGAAGAAGGGGATTTTGCATACTAGGTCCCCTTTAATATATATGGCATACTCATATTTATTCTTAGAATTAAAAAAAGTTCCAAAATGTCCATAATATATTTCTATTTATTCTATATTGTGTCTTATTTATACCATATCTATAGTGTATTCATTTGTTCTGTTTGTAATGTGTATACTGCCTTAAACTGTTTTACTAAATTATATATATAATACTTATACAATACTTAACATCACTCTGCACTTTAGTGCTGTTTTAGACCTTTGGTTGGATGTAAACCGCATTTCCGCTGTGTGCAATGACTATAAAGTTGGATCTAATCAGAGATGGCAAAAGTAAACACATCCTTTACTCAAGTAGAAGTACAGATACTCGTGTTTAAAAATACTCTGGTGAAAGTAGAAGTACTGACTAAACTTCTTTACTCAAGTAAAAGTAAAGAGGGCTTTGAAATGTACTTCAGTAAAAAGTACCCATAACTAGCAGCTGTTTTAAAGAGTACCTGACCTCCCTTTATATTAATAGAACAATAATGTCATTGTTAGCTAATGAATGTTTCCATGCTGAACAACGGCAACATGACAACGTTTTCATTGGTCCCTCTTCTTTAGAGAAGACCAGGAAATGATGGATACACGGATCGTGTTCAAATCAATAGACACGCAATGACTCTAAATAATAATGATCACGCCACCAAACACACATTCAAACTAAAGGAACCAGCCTGTTTGGAAAATGTGAGAAGTAGAAAGTACAGGTATTTGAGTTCAACATGTAAGAAGTAGAAAGTACAGGTATTTGTGTTCAACATGTAAGAAGTAGAAAGTACAGGTATTTGTGTTCAACATGTAAGAAGTAGAAAGTACAGGTATTTGTGTTCAAAATGTAAGAAGTAGAAAGTTCAGGTATTTGTGTTCAACATGTAAGAAGTAGAAAGTACAGGTATTTGTGTTCAAAATGTAAGAAGTAGAAAGTTCAGGTATTTGAGTTAAAAATGTAAGAAGTCAAAGTAAAAAGTCGTCAGAGAAATAAGTAGTGGAGTAAAGTACTGATACCAGAACAATGTACTTAAGTACAGTAACAAAGTATTTGTTCTCCACTGCTTCCCACCTCTGGATCTAATCTATCATTACACTGTATTATATTTCCAGCCCAACACCTTGACAGAAGCTGGATTACCTTTCCGATATAGTAGAAGGGGAACCAGGAGAGGAAGATGTCGGCGAAGAACTCGGCCACGCTGAAGAGCCCGTACACCACCCAGTAGGTGAGCCACTTGGTGTCGTCGTCTTTTGTGGCACTTTCAATGGCCTTAATGCTGGGGAGGAAACAAATATGGGAGATAAATAGTTTATATACAAGTCAACATGTTTCTCCCTTCTGAAAAAAATTATTTGGTCCAACATCTTTTGTTTGCTTTAAATCCCTCCCTTATCTTCCCCTGCCTTCTTCAATACGTTTCATAAAAGACATTTCCCCATATTTTGCTTAAGAAATAATAAAAAAATGTCCACCCTCTCAATAAAAGTCTAGTAGTGTGTTTGTTCTAGATAGACTGTTTACATACAGGTTCCAACACGAGTGTGAAATTCTCTTCATGAAAAGATAAAAGTACTGTAATTAGAAACAGGTTTGAGTTACTTCTACTTGAGTTCTTCAATTGTATGCTACTTTATACTTCTACTTTACCACATTTTAGAAGCCAATATTGTACTTTTTACTCCACTTCATTGATCTGACAGCTGTAGTTGCATTACAGAATCAGATTATTAGTTCATACTTAATATGAATCAACTTTTAAAGCACACATCAGGAGGATACGTCCCCCCCTGACCCAGAAAGCGACGCAGCTTCTGGCCCAGGCTCTCGTCATCTCACGCCTAGACTACTGCAACTCCCTCCTGGCTGGTCTACCTGCATGTGTCATCCGACCTCTGCAGCTCATCCAGAAAGCAGCGGCTCGTCTGGTCTTCAACCTTCCTAAATGTTCCCACACCACGCCGCTCCTCCGCTCCCTTCACTGGCTTCCAGTAACTGCTAGAATCCACTTCAAGACACTGGTACTTGCGTACCATGCTGTGAATGGATCTGGCCCTTCCTACATCCAGGACATGGTTAAACCATACACCCCAGCACGTGCACTCCGCTCTGCATCAGCCAAACGGCTCGCTGCACCCGCACTGCGAGGGGGACCCAAGTTCCCATCAGCAGAAACACGTTGGTTTGCTATCCTGGCTCCAAAATGGTGGAATGAGCTCCCCATTGACATCAGGACAGCAGAAAGCTTACACATCTTCCGGCGCAGACTGAAAACTCATCTCTTTCGACTCCACTTCGAGCGATAGAATTGCTAACAAAGCACTTAATAAAGGACTGGCTTATCTAAAGCCAGTTGAGTAGCACTTGAAATGTTTTGGCTCTATGAAACCTGATGTACTTATATGATTCTGTTTTCTTCAAGTTTGTATCTTCTTGGTCGAATGCACTTATTGTAAGTTGCTTTGGATAAAAGCGTCAGCTAAATGCAATGTAATGTAATGTAACATATTGACAAGTAAATATACGTTACATACAGCAGCAGCAGTGTATAAAGAAATAAACAATAAATACAACATGTTTTGCTAGCTATGATGGACATGTTAATGCGTCAATATGATAATCCAGTAACTAAATATATACGATTCTGAAACGATTACACATACATATAGTACTTTTACTTTTGATACCTAAGGATGTTTTGATGCCAATACTTTTACTACAGATTTTGAATGCAGGACTTTTACTTGAGTGTAAAATCTAACCCTCTTCATCCACCTCTGGATTAGAGATGGGAACGATTAATTGAATATTCGAAACTATTCAGGTATTCGAATATGAGTTATGAATATTTGTATTGTAATTGTAAAATTTGTGAGAGGTGCCTAAGTTGATTACATATGATCAAATGGAATAATTCAATGTATACGACAGTGCCATAGCTAAGTGTGTTAGGTCTAAAGGTGTGTTTTGCTCCGCTCACCGGTCCCTCACAGCGGGCAGAGCTGCAGGTGCTGATCTCTCTCTCTCGTCCGGTTATACTTCACTCGCGTTTATGTCCAAATCCATCAGATCTAGCTAGTTCTAGCTAATGATATGGCTGCTGCCCCTCCCTACTCGCAGATCACGCAGACTCAAACCTCATCTTATGCCCAAATTCCAGCTAAGAGGGTCTTCTTTACAGCTGGCCTGATTGTGAATCGCCTCCGCACCCGCCTCTCCCCTGAGCATGTAGACATGCTCATATTCTTAAACAAGAATGAGTATTGAATAGCTGCATTCTGTGCATAGGCCCTGTTACAGGTTGATCTCTGTTGTGATAGGGTTACGTTACCCTAACCCGTTATGTTGTTCATGTATGATCCCTCTTTCATTTAAAAACCAAGCTATGTTTTAAGCATGAAAGCTGTAGGCCTATAGCTGTAAACTGTTCAAACTGTGATCACCAGTTCAATACATTTGACAAAGTCGACTTGGTTTCTATACTTATTTGAACATGTATTTATTTATTTTTCAAAATAATTTTTTTTTTTATATGATATGTACATTTCGGTTAATCGGTTAACCGTTTTTTTGGGGGTCCAATTTTCGAATATACATTTGCTTTCAAATTCCCATCCCTACTCTGGATATACAGTAACTAAAGGACTCTTTGATAAGAGACTCGTGGACCCCTCCCATCTAAAAGGTCTGAACACCGTCAGTCTGCTGATAGAGACACACCTTCTCTGAAATGCTGATAGGACGTTCATTTATCAGTAGCTTTTAAAACTTTCTTTGTGTTACGTTCACTATGTGTATGTTCACTTTAGATAATGAACAACTGTCAAACAGACTGTGATGCCCTTGTGGGTTCATCTGGAGAGGCGGTGCTGCATCCAGCCGGCTTGATTGCAGTAACTCAGGGCACCTGGGTCTGGTGCCCTGCAGCTATTTAAAGCCTCTCTGCTTCTCTCTCTCTGCTTCTCTCTCTCTGCTTCTCTCTCTCTGCTTCTCTCTCTCTGCTTCTCTCTCTCTCTCTGCTTCTCTCTCTCTCTCTGCTTCTCTCTCTCTCTCTCTGCTTCTCTCTGCTTTTTCCTACAGGCACCCGGTTCGGTTGAGTATGTTATTAGTTACTTCAGTTGCTTTACTTTGTGCACCTCAACACCCTCACACATACAAGTCCATGCAACCCTCACCCTGCATTTACACTACTGATACCACAGACGTCCACACCTCATGCTTTACTTACTTTGCACTTAAATTAATTTGGTTAATTTTAATTATTAGCTTAAAGTGGACCTATCATGCTATATTTTAATAATATAGTGTAGGACCATACCTATATAAGGCATATTTATACTTTTTTTTTCTTCAAAATAACAAACAGATCATGCATTTTAGCCATGCCTCATTTTGCTCAATTTGACATTTTATAGCTCTGTTTTTGCAAGGGCTGATTCAGTGAGAACAGCACCATCTACTGGCCTGGCATATGTACTACAGCGTCTCCAGCGCTTTCGAACGGCAATGGCCGTGGCTGTCTCCTCCTGATTGGTGGAGTTGGCCCAATAGCCGTAGCGCCACCGTCCTGACGTCAGGACAGTGTTCAAATCTGGATCAGTTTTTATCAGATCCGTTGCAGCCCCTTTTTTAGAGATTTGGGTATGGAGGAAAATAGAGAGGGTTGTGTTTTCTGACACTTGGTGAGTTCCCTGGAACACCGGGGACACATATTCATGTAGAAAAGACGTACAAAAGTGCATTTTGCATGATAGGTCCCCTTTAAATAAACATATTTTGTTAACCGTTGATATGGTGTGTCTCCTCTTTGTTGTGGCCTTTTGAGCCGGGTCATAACACAGACAGTGACATGTCCGTTGACTCCTTTAAAAGCAAATTCAAAAGCCATCTCATCACATCTGTCTTTCTTGTCAACTCATTTCCATCACTGAGTTTCCATCTACATTAGCATCACTTCTGTCACATGCTTGCATCACATGGCAATACTTCTGTTGTTGTATAATTTTCTCATGCTCTGACGTTTGTATTTAGATTTTGTCTTTGCTTTTGTTTGCTTTGTACAGCCCTTTGAGGCATCTTTTGTGATTTGGGGCTATAATACATTTTGATTTCATTTGATTTGTAAAGTGTGTGAAGTTAATTATGTCGTATCACAAACAAACTCGTCTATGATGCTCTGAATTATAGCTAATATCACTATGTTAAATCTACTTCTGTAATACATCTGTACCTAACTGTGCAGTATATACTTCCACAACAGTGTTCATCTCTCTACGTCGGTACATACCATGTGTATATCTCCTGGCTTTCATTGTTCCTGAGCATGCTTTAAACGTCCTGTAATGTCAGCTGTACACTGTCACTCACACTATAGAGAGGTGCAGGGATGAGTCCTCACACTTAGAAAGTAGTTTTTACCACTTCCTGTTCCCTCACCTCAAAAACAGATGTGCTTTCGTTAGAAGCCTGAAATGAGATCTGTGGTCAACACATGGTGAAGATTGCTTTTATGCCATTAAATACCCCACTTCTATGTGTCTTCAAAACAGCAGCTGCTAACAAGTGACTAAATAAACGACTTAACGTCATCACGCCTAACATTAGCCGCCTTTAGCTTAGCGGTGGTGACGTGCAACCATGATGTAGCTTATAGCCTAACATTAGCTTTGTACTTCTGGAGATTGTAGTAACGATTCATTTAGTGTAAACATGTGGAGATTATCCTGCTGAACAAAATGTGTAAGTTTCATATAAGTGTGTCTGCAATATTCCAAAAATCTAATAGCAAAATCCCATTAGCTTTTTGTCGAGTGAAGCCCCTTGTGATGCTCACTTCCTGGTTAGCCTATTAAATAGGTCACTACACCGCTCTATTACTGTACCTCAAACTATCCCCCCCCCCCCCCCTTAAACTCTCCCCATGGTTACTACATGTTACTCTGCCCACTGACAGGCAACATGATCCCCTCCCCCTCTGTGTACGTCTGTGATATAAATAGAGAATACACTTTTCCATGGGTGTGTAAACACAGCAATGCATGCATGCTTACAGTAAACAAAAACCAACCAATGGCTGCTCTCAGGTCAGTGAGAACATTCAGATGTAACCCCCGGATCAGTCCTAAAAACTACGAACTGCAGGCATTAGCACATAATGCAACCAAGCAAATAACATGACACTGCTGGCTAAATACATGTGTACCAAAAATAAACCCCAGCAGCCACTAATATTAGACATGGCAGACATTTGGAATATTTATGTATATCAAGTAAGGAAATAGAATAGTTGATGCAATGTCGTTTCTTCAAGCAACTTTTCTCATTTTCCTCTATGTGGAAAACGTAATTATTATTAGTTATTAGGAGATAATAAGTACTGTAAAGCAGTCAGAGCCTTTCCCTTCTCTGAGGTAGCTCTCACATCCGTCATGTGACTCACTGATCACACATTATACCGTTTGCTTCATATCTTGTTTCCACATTTCTGTTTCACATCAAGGTTACTCCAGGGAACCATCACACAACCTTACTGTGTGTGTGTGTGTGTGTGTGTGTGTGTGTGTGTGTGTGTGTGTGTGTGTGTGTGTGTGTGTTAACAGAGGGCAGGGCTGTTCAAAGGAAACTGAGATTATAACAGAGACTAGATCCAGGCTGAGATTTTATTTTATGTCGTAGAACAAAATGTCCTCAGCTTGCATTCACCACAGACCGTATATATATCCAAACACACATTCAGAAAAACCACTGACTTCCAGATGAGGGAACAGGAAGTTGTGAAATGCCGACTCATTTCTGGGTTTTACGACTCATTACTGCTCCCCTCTTTAAGAAATATGTAACTTTTTTCATGAAATGTCTGTTTTGTTCTGTACTCGTGGATGTGTTGACATGTGAGCAGCCTTGTGATTTCCTCCACAGACCCTCAGGCAGTAAGCTCTGAAAACAGACTCCAAAGTGCATCTTGGAACGGCCAACATAAATAAACAGCAAACTAATTTGGGTTGCCAAGCTGTCAATCAAGTCTTGATGGACAATACCCACAAAGATCAGAAAATGTAAATTGCTAAACTCTTATTATGTTGTAATGAGAGATGGTGGAGCGTTCAGATGCAGCGACTCGCCTCTCTCTCTTAATATAAATAATAATTGAACTTTAACACCTAAAATAAATCTGTAAATGTAGTTCCTTTACCTGTACATCTTGTAAGTTTAATTAACTAGTGCTTTCTATTTTCGTATTCTCTTCTGTTTTTAATTACAGTTTCATTCATCGCTGTTTTCATGTATTTGTATATATTTAAACTGCATAGAGAGAAGCCTGTGAGATCAAATTGTGCACGAGTATAATAACAATAAAGCTCTTATGATAACTTGGTATTGATATATGTATGGTCTGTATGAATGTAACTACACAACTAGATTCTACTCTAATCAGTGGCGATTCTAGAGTCTGTGGGGGCCCTAGGCAAACATTCAGTGGGGGCCCCTCGAACCAGCCCCCCCCCCCGGAGCGGTGCGGAGAAACGAAACTTAACTTATGAAGCAGCTTTTGACGGCGCGCTATGCATGGGGCACCCTAGAGGGGGTTTCCAGACATGTCATTGCAGTAAATTAAAGGGGGTTTCAGGTTGTCGTTGCTGTGGACCTTTTCAAATCGACCTTCTTTGGGGGGCCCCCCTTCTGGTCCGGGTGCCCCAAGCAGTTGCCTGCCTTGCCTGTCCGCAAGCGGCGCCCCAGACTCTAATGTATTGTTTATGTTGTCAGAAGTATTGTTCGAGCCAGTAGCGTGACGTCTGTAGTCAAGTATGTATTAAGGACTACAATTCCCAGGGTGCCAGACTCTGAAGAGACAGAGATGGGCAAGCTGTCGGAAAGACTACCTTAGTCATTCATTATTTAATTGGAGTTCTGCCTCTTTTGTTTGATTTGTTTTGACTATTGTAAAGAACTGTTTTCTTTGTTGAATGTGTGAAAAGTGTGTTATCTTATTTGCAGTAAACGCAAAACACAGTATCAACACACCACCGGAGGCCAAGCGAGTCCTTTAATCTGTGAGTAAAACAAACACGTCGGAAATGTCTGTAAAAGGACATTGAGACTGGGGTGTTTGCTTTGGTTGCCTGGGAGACAATCTGTCAGTCAAGTGTTTTATAGTGCATGCCCACAATGAAGATGTCATTACTACACTCTTTTAACTTTATTTATAACTTGGTATGCATTTAACTCAACTCCACAACTTCATTCATTGGACACTAATGTATTTCTATAGTCAGACATATTTAATATATCTATAATTCATGTAAGAGTGTCTGATACTGAACCAGTACAAATGGGGAAGGAAGCAGAGTTCCTGTGGTTAGTGACTCATCTGTCTTTCATTGTGACTTATTTTCTGCAGACAAGAAAGCTCGTATCACCATGTTTAACTCCTAAAATACCAAATGTTTTATTTCTGTGATCACATAATGAGTGTCGTAAACAGCGCATAATCCGGCTCGGTCTATATCCGGCTCCTCGTGGACTCCTGACACAAAGAGGCGTCCGAGAGGAAAAAGGAGTCTGACTCTCAACATGTGATACTCTGTTGACCACACAGAGACACACTGACTGAGATAAAACATCCTCGTAACCGATTTATAAATGACCCACTTATACGTTACGGAGGAGCTTTGTCCAATTCTGATAATATGTGGCTTCAAGGGACAAAGAAAGCATCCAAAAGTCAGAAGCTTTCACTAGGAAAATATCAGCTAAAATGTCAAGTAGAGCTCAGTCGAAATATTAGACCCCCCTGCATTTCGCTGAAATATAGGGCCTAAAGGCAAGAACACGGTACTATACATACATGTAGTACAACATTACTGCTACTACTACCTATAATAAGCATTGTATATTATGTAAAAGCTAGAATTATGTGGCTTTAATTCAATCTGTGTGTTCAGGAGTGATACAGGATGAGGTAAACAGGAAGAAGGTAACTGTGTTCCCATACAGTTACATACAAAATAATAGTAAAGAGATTACTAATACATATTTTTGGGGATTACTAGCAGGATTACAGTGTTACTAAAACCCTAAAAATAGCATATAGTGTCTGTTTTAAAAGGATCAGATTGTATTACTTCTTTGTTGTACTGTACTGTAGCTGTACTGTTCTCAAGTACTGTACTTAAGTACAATTCTGAGGTACTTTTACTTCACTACCTGTTTTAGGCATTGTTTACTCCACTACATTCATTTTACAAAACGAGTTACTTGCTACTTTGCAGCTATGGATTTATAATACAGAATATAAAATCAACCAGTAATTAATTATGTATATTGTTTTAATGTTTTACTACGTTTACGACGTACTCTGTTACAGTAAAAGTCCTGCATTCAAAATGTTACTCAAGTAATAGTAGAAAAGTATTATCATCAAAATATAGTTAAAGTAGCGACAGTAAAAGTAGTTATTGTGCAGATTGGTCCATTTCAGAATAATATATATGATATGTTTTATAATGATTGATCATTAAAGTGTTCTCAAAGCTGGTAAAGGTGCAGCTAGTTTGAATGACTTTGTATACTGCAGGGTAGCTTGTGAATTTACTCCAGGTGGAACTAAAGTCTGATTTAACACCTGATTATATTTCACATCATTCATCCACATCTGTAAAGTAACTAAAGGTATTAAATACATGTAGTGGAGTAAAAGTACAATATTGACCTCTGAATTGTAGTGGAGGAGAAGTACAAGGTAATATAAAATGGAAATACTCAAGTAAAGAACAAGTACCTCAAAATTGTACTTAGTTACTTATTTACATCACTGAGTAATTGTAACGGAACGGTGTGTGGGTGTGGTGGTTATGGGTGTGTGTGTGTGTGTGTGTGTGTGTGTGTGCGTGTGTGTGTGTGTTGGGTGGGGTGCTGCAGGCCCCTCCTTGATACTCACGATATGTATGCAGGATAGAGGAAGCCGATGAGGTTGCACAGCAGGGAGGCTCCGTACCCGATCACCAGGTACACGGCGATGATCCCGATCACAGCTGGAGGAACACACACCACATGTTACACACACTAATACACACTGACAGAGAAACAAAGGTGGAGGAAGCTGGGTGTGATGCGTTTTTCCCACTCACCCACAGCGATGTAGGTCCGGCTGACTCCAGTCTTCGCCTCTATCTTCGCCAGAGTGTCTGTCATGAAGTTCTTCTCATGGAGGAACTTCTCGAACCTGTCTTTGAGCCCCTGCGCCATGGCTGCTGTTCTTTATTATCAGCGATGCTGTTTGTGAGGAGAAGAGGATCAAACTGCGACAGCCTGCAGACACACTGTGTAAAGAGGCGTCACCGCACACCGGAAGTACTGCCTCCAGCTGCAGCCTTCAAAATAAAAGCCTCACAGTCTTTGTCTTTGTTCCACACCTAGAGATGGGAGAAGTACTCAGATCTGGTACTTGAGTAAAGGTAGAAGTACTCAGATCTGGTACTTGAGTAAAAGTAGAAGTACTCAGATCTTGTATTTGAGTAAAAGTAGAAGTACTCAGATCTTGTACTTGAGTAAAAGTAGAAGTACTCAGATCTTGTACTTGAGTAAAAGTAGAAGTACTCAGATCTTGTACTTGAGTAAAAGTACAAGTACTCAGATCTTGTACTTGAGTAAAAGTACAAGTACTCAGATCTTGTCCTTAAGTAAAAGTAGAAGTACAGAAGCACTCAGATCGTGTACTTGAGTAAAAGTAGAAGTACCAGAGTGTAGGAATACTCTGTTACAGTAAAAGACCTGCATTCAAAATGTTACTCAAGTAAAAATAGAAAAGTATTCTCATCAAAATATAGTGAAAGTAGCGACAGTAAAAGTAGTCATTGTGCAGATTGGTCCATTTCAGAATAATATATATGATATGTTTTATAATGATTGATCATTAAAGTGTTCTCAAAGCTGGTAAAGGTGCAGCTAGTTTGAAGGACTTTGTATACTGCAGGGTAGCTTGTGAATTTACTCCAGGTGGAACTAAAGTCTGATTTAACACTTGATTATATTTCACATCATTCATCCAGATCTGTAAAGTAACTACAGGTATTACATACATGTAGTGGAGTAAAAGTACACCATTTACCTCTGAACTGTAGTGGAGTAGAAGTACAAAATAGCAAAACATTTAAATACTCAAGTAAAGGACCTCAACTTGAGTAAATGTACTTAGTTACTTTCCACCACTGCACCTATTTTGTTAGCTTAGTCAAAGTTTCCTGACCCAGACATGTCGAGCTGGACAGATTTATTTGCATAACTTTTAGATAATTTTCACTTTATGCAAATACAGAACCCCTCTAACGCACTAAAAACACCAACGACTGCTTCTCCTGCTCTCCAGAGGAAATAAACGGAACGAGTTGAGACCACCTCCATCACCGGATCTGCTCAACATGGTCCTTTACTTCCTTTTTCCTGATATTCTGATCACATATTGAATTCTTCCTCAGCAGATGAGGTTTGTCCAGTTCTTCTAAGACACATGTGTCAAACTCAAGGCCCGGGGGCCAAATCAGGCCCTTGCTGGATTTAATTTCGGCCCGCAGGATAATTTCTAATTACTATTAGATCTGGCCCGCCGGTATATTGCACGCACACCTTCACTCAATCCTGAGGGTTTCCTCAGCTCAGAGCCTGACCCCAAACATTGATGAACTTGCACCCAAGATGAGATGCCAAGTATCTGGCTTGAACTAGCATCACAGAGCACACTGAGGGTGTTTCTCAATCGCGAGTAAAGCTGCTTCAGAGCCACTATTTCAAGCATACTACGTCATCGAGTGCCGCCGAAGTACTGTTCCAATCTCCAGCATACTTGGAAATCTACCGAGCCCGGCGTACTCCGTTTGGAGAAATATCGAGGCTGCACTTAAGTAGACTCCGCGGTCTTAAAATCCCCACAATGCTTTGCGCACGGACCAATTTCCCCAAATCTGTGGCGGAAGATGTAAGGCGGGCCTCTCATATGACGCACACCTGCACACTTGCTAGCCTGTTCCACTCTTCGTTTTCCGAATGCCAGGAAGTATTCTTGACTCGCTTCTGAAGCAAGATGCTCGGCAGACATGTGCTACCAAGCAAGCGTACTCGCGATTGAGAAACACCCTGAGTTTACATGGATGTTTCCTTCTGCACTTTTTTCTTGAGACAACAGGGCATGTTTGTTTTTTTCTTTGAGGGGAATAGTTTTTTTGAAGCTGTTGTTGGCCTGTGGAAAAATGTAATCATAAGAAATGACTCTGGAAAAGCTGCAGATAGAGCCATAAGAAATGAATGCAACTGATTATTTAATGTTTAATCTTGTTTTTATAGGCAATCATTGAAGCTTTGTTAGTTCCAGGTTTAATATGTGCAATAAGTTCATTTCAATACGTTTTGCAATAAACATTGAACCAGTCCGGCCCTCGACTAGTACCCATTTTCTTTATTTTGGTCCACTGTGTATTTGAGTTGGACACCCCTGCTCTAAGACGACTGAACAAACCTGGCTTGGGAACCAGACAATAAAGGTGACGATACATTGTCGCTAAAAGAATAATAAGATGCACTGAAAGCTATTCATGAGAAGAAAGATGTTTGCTGTACTATATCAAAACCTTCCAAGTCAGAAACAGCAGCTCATCCCTGCACATGGGGGTCTTCTTACATATTTCCATCAATCATTTGTTATTTTTTCTCACCCTCTTTGTGCCAACTACAACCCTTATGTCCTATTCATCTAATATCATTCAATTTCCTTGTATATAGACTCTTCTTGCACTATTTCCATTTCTTACTTTCACGTGTCAAACATTCTCTTGCACTATATATCCATATATGTCCTATATATGTGTTGCACTGTTGGAGGAGCCTGTGACCTAAGTGTTTCATTACCATATCTACACTGTAGCTAATGTGCACATGACAATAAAGCCTTGAAACTTGAAACTGTGGCCGTTTCTCAATGTCGAGTCTACCTGCTGCAGAGCCACTATTTCAAGTATACTACATCATCGAGTGGCGCCGAAGGACTGTTTAAATGCATGTTAAATGCCCAGCATTCGGCGCCACTCGATGACGTAGTATACGTGAAATAGTGGCTCTGCAGAAGGTATACTCGACATTGAGAAACGGCCTCTATCTGCTGCTACTGTGCTGCTTTCTTTTGCCACAGCTGAAAACTCTATGTAATCATGTATGGTCGTTAAGCTTCACCTTTAGACACAATTTATGTGGCTGCGAATTGGTCAACGAGACACACCTTGTATACCAACCCTTGCAGCCGTATGAAGGTTACAAAACACACTGACTCAAATACACCACAGAAGACACCTTTAAACAATCAAACCCATAAGATGTATTACTAGATAAAGACCTCGGCCAAGAGGCAGCAGGAGCAGAAGAGGCCTCTCCCTTCTGCTGCTGCTTTAAAGCACTTCCTTACCATTGTTTCAGAAGTAAAACACACCTGTACATACATGAAAATGTTTTTTAAAGAGACTGTTATGATATAAATGTTACAGGCTGCATTACATGCTTACATTTGCTGTGCTCTCACATTGTGATAGAGCCTGTAATGGTCTTTTCAAAAACAAATCCCCTTTCTCTTTTGTTATGGAAACAGTATCCTCAATAATATCCAAAAATGCAAAAATGTGCAGCCATGTCGCAGCTGATATTTACCTAAAATGTTCCAGATCTTCAACAGCAGCCTGCATGAGGGGGGATCTCCTGTTAATTTAAATTCATAACTGTTGAACCACTGAAATAATGTTTTTCATAGTAAAACCTCTAATTCCTCAATTGACCCTTAAAACTTCCTCATTCTGGAAATCCCCCCCACCATGAGAGTGTGTGTGTGTGGTGTGTGTGTGTGTGTGTGTGTGTGTGTGTGTGTGTGTGTGTGTGTGTGTGTGTGTGTGTGTGTGTGTGTGTGTGTGTGTGTGTGTGTGTTTACTGTGAAGGCAGGTGGAAGTAAATGTGTTCCTCACATCAATAACAGAGGCTAGCTTGATGCAGCTCGAGCGCAGCAATTATAGACAGTGAGAGGAAGTATCCCCTGACTCATGTCTTACAGGCGATGCATTCTCTTTTACACACACTGTGTTGCTCACTCCTGTATTAAAATCCATCAGGTACTAGGTTATCAGACAACATTATATTCAGGTGAGGGATTGTCAGATTTACTGAACAACTCACCGCCTGCTTTAAAGGAATATCTCCTGGGAGGCTAAACTAAGGGCACACATAATGTACAGTAAGGCTGAGGTTCTGCAGCCGCACCCTTCCTCGCTTTGATGACATTGCATAATGCAACGGCTGGCATACAATGCAATCATTGCCAACATCCTGCAGTGAGTAGCAGCTGCTGTAAGCCATGTGCCACACTGAGAAACACTGAGAAACACCTTCTTATCACAGTTTGGGTGGTGTATTAATGTCAATTTCTTAATCCATGCTGTTTATTTAGTATGTCTTGTGTTTCTTGTGCTTTTGTTTCCTCAATAACTATTACTGATGTATGGTGTATCTTATCTTTTTCTATGTGCAGTGTAACTTGATGATGTGTGGGTTTGACTCCATCATATACATTCAGTATCATTTGGGATCTATGAAGGTATATTAGGGACTCATATTTTTCCCAGTCAACAAAAGCTCTTCAGTCTGTATTTTGGAAGCATCACACTTAAGGATTAGTTATACTAGCTTTGGTAAATAATGGCCTGTTTCCACACAGAAAGCATTTTAAATGTATAAAAGGTATCATTGTAAACACACATGTTTAAAAGGTGGCCTTCCTCCCCGGATCAACAAGGGAGCGAGCTGGTGTGAATGAAGACAGGGAGCGGTTTAATTATATCATGGCGGTTGAATCCTAAAGCATAAATAAACACACCCAGACACACACACACACACACACACACACACACACACACACACACACACACACCTGCAGGAGGGAGCAGGACTCTGTATGAGTGCAGCGAACGCTTCATCCTACTGTCACACACACACACACACACACACACACACACACACACACACACACACACACACACACACACACACACACACACTTAATAAAGAGACAGGAACAACTATTCATATTCGGTAAACAAACAACTTCCTGGTTTGTAGTACAGCAGCTAAAGAAAACATTTGTAATAAAATATGTAAATAGTCAGTGCAACACACACACACACACGCACACACACAAACAATACACGCACACACACACAAACACACACACACACACACACACACACACACACACACACACACACAGCTACAGCTCCATTAGACGCTGCCACCCTCTTTGTATATTTCTGTGTGGGGGATTCATCCATGGAGTCCTTCTCTTGTGAATTCTCAAGTGTAATTGAAGCTGCTAATGAGGCATCAGAGTAAACAAATCTGTCCTTTTAAGAAATCCCCCTTTGTGCTTCCAGTGTGGTCTGAACTGCAGCACAAAGCACAGACCGTTTGGTTTATTGCTATAGGATTACAGTCAGTTGCATGAGAAATACCACAGTACAGTTACTGTATGAAAAACTACATTCGTTTTTAACCACAAAATAAATAGTGGGATGCTTAAACAGTAGGAGTGGGTTTACCTTTTTTTTTAGCACATTTATTCCAGCAAAATTACAGCTTTCAAGTTATTGGCATAGAAGTCTTTCATTAACAAGTGCAGGTTTGTTCTGCCTTTACCTGAAGCCTTTAAAAAATGGCTTTACATACAACACATTTGTAAAGAAACATATCATCCTAATATTGAATTAGCACGTGGAGTGATGAGGTTCTAAAATACCTTATGTTCACAATCTGAACAAGAAAATAGCATCCACATCAGTAAAGTGCAGGTAAGGCTATTTTGTGTATGACATGATACAGAACAGAAGTTGTGTGAAGCTTTTTATTTGACATTTAGAACAATACAAAAGTATAAAATACCTATAATTTAATACAATTGCATTTCATGGGATCCAAGAATGCGTTGCAAATACTAAACTGTTAATACCTGCTGATTAATAATTGGATCATTATTTTTGGAAAAGCAAACAACCAGCTATATAGTGACACAAGAAAATTAGAAGACTACAAATTCTAAAAAGGCACATGTTACTGTGTGTGTGTTAGGTTCTTTGAATTGGTATTAACAAAATAAGCGAATTAGTGTTTTTTAAATCTGCTACTGCAAGACAATTTGGGGGCCTCTCGTAGCCTGAAGATCACTGAACATTTTGGGATGTGGGGTCCGGACAGTGGGGGGGACATGGTGTCTGTGTATATATTAACTTGCTGGCTCCGGTAGAGATGAGCCTGACGCTGGCACAGCCCCATCCGGCTCAGCAGCATCAGGATGTCTCTGTGGAATGCCTTCGTCAGGATGGCATAAAAAAAAGGGTGCGCACAAGAGTTGAGAGGGTAGAAAAGCACCAGCAGCACCTGTGGAGATAAAGATCGATCAGACTTTACTTTAAAGGTCCCCTATTATACTGTTTTTCATCAATATATTCCAGGTCTCAGATATATACAGAACATGTCTCTGATTGGCTGAAACACCAAACAGATCCCATAATCCCCTCTGTTTCAGCCCTGTTTCAAAAGTGCTGATTCTCTGTCTGTTACTTCAGATGAAAATAAGGAGCCCCTCCCCACGCCCCTCTGAGAGAGATTTGGTTAAAAAGAACTCAATGGTGCTCTAGGAGGAGATTCAGGTGATAAGGTGGGGGGGGGGGGGGGGTTACCTTGGTTGGTGATTGGCTAATGGTTACACAAGCCAAAACATCGTTATGACATCATAAAGTGGCCAAAATCTGATCAGCTCATTTTCAGACAGGTTTTTATATAAATGGATCAGGACAAAAAGAGAGAGAATCTTTGTTCCTGAAACTTTCAGAATCTCTTTACACAGAGGGGAGTAGGGATGGGTAACGAGCCCCGGTATTAAAGGGGCCCCGGGCTGAATTATTAAAGACCGTGGTACCGTTAAGCTCCAACGTTATCGGTCTTTTTATCGGTACTGGAGACATTTAAAAAATATGTCATATGTATTATTGCTACATAAACATTATATATTGCAGCTTTAGTTTCGACAACAAGGGGGCGGGGCAGTTTACACACTGTAAACTGGCTGCTACATGCATGCAACACACACACACGGCGGAGATGGCGGAGAGAACTAAGCGCTCCAAGGTGTGGTTAAACTTTACCCATCTCGATGTGGACAATGCTCGTTGGCAAAAGGGCAATAAGAGTTTAGCAAGTAAGGGCGGTAACACGAGCGATTTGTCAGCAATTTGTCTAAACATTGATCAAAAGTGCACCACATTCAGACGGAGAAATGCACCGTTTTCGACTGTCTTTCTGGTAGCTCTGTAGCCCCATCCACGAGTAACGTTTCCACGTCAGGTACGTTATGTATACCTCAATCTTCCTCCAGAAGAACCGTTAGGCCTTTTGCAGCATACCTGTCTGCCCCACCTGTGTTGCTCTGTACCACTGTATTTTTGCAGTAAGAGTAAATACTTGTGTTTTTTTTTTTTTTTTTTCAGTTCTGTAAGTTCACATTATTTACAATTCACCATGAACCGATAAGAGTACCGTTAAAGGACCGGATCGATAAGCGGTATTGATAAAAGTAGTAGTACCGTTAAAACCTTAACGATACCCATCCCTAGAGGGGACACATGTTTATGTATACAAGATGTGAAAAAGTGGATTTTGCATAATAGGTGACCTTTAAAAATAAAATACAAATCTCAAGAGGAAGTCCCACCTTGGAGTCTGTGATGGTCATCAATGGTTGGTGGAGCGCTGCAAACAAGCCATAGAAACAGATGGGAGCCAGACACAGGAAGTTGGTGAAAATCAGAACCGCCATGCGTTTAGCCATGGTCGTATCGCATCTGCTGGACTGGTGCTGGGGATTGTGCACCATGCAGTAGATGTGGAGGTAACATAGACACACCACCATGAAAGCAACGACATTAACCATGAGCAACGACACCACGTAGGTCCGAGCAGCGGTGGTTTCAGTGTCCATGGGCAAGCAGATGCTCACTTTCTGGAAACTGCTCACTCCCACTACTGGCAGCAGAGCTAGGATCAAACACAGCAACCAGCCGATTAGCATTAGCACAGCTGCATGGCGTAACCTCATCTTCCTGTCTGGCCTCATTGCGTAAAAGATTGCATGCCAACGTTGCAAGCTGATTAGCGTTAATGTGTACACTGATAGCTCGCTGGCAAACACTGATAACGTTCCTGCTAGATTGCAGCCACTTCCTGTTTGCCAGGCGATAGCATAGTGGTAGTAATGGGAGCGTGTGTAGAGGTCCACAGATGCTATGAACAGTAAGTATATCCCCATGCAAAAGTCTGCGAACGCCAGGTGACCCATGAGGAAACGGGTGACGGACAACTTCTGCCGGCTGGTCAGCAGGATGAACATCACCAGGAAGTTAGCGGAGATAGCTAACAGACTGACCACCCAGACTAACACCCGAAGGAAGCCTTGACTCATCACATCCTCACAGGGGTTCAAAGCATCAGGAAGAGGGGTACAAAGGAGTCTGTGAGTATCCGTACGAAGTTCATCACACAGAGCAAAGTCAAACCCTTCACTGAGATGCTCTGTAGGCAACTCCACGTAAAACAAACCCTCATTCTGAGCCTGTTCAGTCGGGCACGTGGGGCTGTCGTACAAGTGGTTGTGATTTCCGCTCCCATCAGCTGGAGGAGCAGAGCTTTCTTTGAGATGTTGGTACACTTCGTTAACTGGATATTTCTGAGAGGAGTCCTGCAGCTTTTTCAACGCAGTCCGTGTCAGGTTGCAAAAAACGGCCTCAGAGTGTCTTGAAAACAGAGATAGGGATTATTAATCAGAGAATGAACAACCACATTTCTTAAAATGCATGCAAGAGGTACATTCTTTTATTCTACACAGTTCTTCTACACCAGAAAGTCTTGACAGGGGGAAAGAAAAGCAAAAATGCCCTTTGTCCTTAACTTCGTTTGCACATATCGGGCATTTACACTACCTAATCTGTCAGAATAATTACCTATACATGTAACAACGTCAAAGGATAAACCTAATCATGATTAAATAATTGTAAATTATTGTTTAAAAGCACATCTATAAAAAGACTTGTGTTTTAGTACACTCATAAACGAGCCAATATGGCCAGAAAAGTAGGAAAAATAACGACCTAAAATTACAATAATCCCCAAATTCACAGATCAGCATTCACAAAGAAATATCTAAACAGTATTTGTGTTATAAGTGTGGTATGGTGGCCTGGAGGTTTTTCTGGGATATGCTAATGCTCAGGGTGAAAGAGGACCTTGCAATTGTCAAGTGACTCACAGTGCAAAGGTTTTCTTTTCACAGAACCATGTTTAAATGTAAAATCATTACAATGCTGACAGAAAAATACTTGAACTCAATTCATTGAATCCTCAGCGTACTCCAAAACAAACAGAGCCTGAGGAGAGTTTGGTATGTGAAGGACAATAACTTGAAAATACTTCACAGTGGGAACATATTTCCCAACACTTTAAATTCTCCTACTTACCCTCTCCATCTCTTCAACATTTTGAGACCACAACAATGGCTGGGGAAGGTCAATGCAGCGCTCTGTAAGTGGAGGAAGGCTCTAAAGGGGGGAGGAACTTTGAGGGCCCAAGTGTTTTTAATCTGGAGCTTTTCAATGGTCTCCATACCCATTGAAGGCAGAGAGCTAACTTTGGTTTCTGAAAGGTCTCTAGAAGATAAAGAGTTCAGATTATTCTTTAGGGTACGCTTGTTCCTGTATATTTATCAGTATGTGACACATAAAGATAGTGTTTGATGGGGAAAAAAAAGGTTATTTTCTTAGCAAATTCTGTACATTCACTCACAGATGCGTTGGGCCGTGAATCACGCCATAAAAAGCGAATTCGTCTATTCGTTCCAAATCCACGTTCCTGTGAAGATACCTGAAGAACGGAGGATAGGGAAACATAAGAGGCGATTCAAAGATCTGCTGATCTGGTGGTATCATTCATGAAAATTAAGATTGTACATATATGCACACCTCAGGGCTTTGGTAGATGATTAGGACTACTAGAACACAATAAATAGGTTGGTCACAAAAAAACATATGGATCTGAACACAACATCCCACTTAACTACATTATTATTAAAACTAAATACTTTAACACAATAGTAATTAAACCTGCCAGCCAGCCATGAGTCCCACTGTTATAATTTAAAATGGCTTACACTTCCTCCAAAAAAAAAGAATTGATAACAAAAAGGAGGGGGCTGAGCTCATGCGGGACCCGGCAGCTACTGTCTAAACTAAATACTGCCGTGATGAAACGCCATATCATGGATTATCAAGGATTATTTCTGAAACAGTATGGAGCTCAAAGGCTTTCTCTCTTGCCGGTTATACCACAAGGTGAGTTCCTTTTTATTTCCTGCTTCTTCACACACATGCTCTCCAGTACAGGTTAGCTCTGAGTGTTAGCGATGCTAATGTAAATATGCACCGACCATATTACGTCCAAAACAGTCGGGCATTGTTTCCGATAGCAACGTTTCTGATAGGACCGTGGGTCCACATTTCAGATATTACGTCATATCGGACGCAAATCTGGATCAGCTCCGTTGTAGCCCCGTTTTTAGAGATTTGGGTACGGAGGAAAAGAGAGAGGGTTTTATTTTCTGACACTGCGTGAGTTCCCCGACACACCGGGGACACATAGTCAGGTATAAAAGACATCAAAAAGTGCATTTTGCACGATAGGTCCCCTTTAAATAATGTATATCTGTGTATATATGTCGCTCTGTGAGGGCTAGAAAACAATCAATAGGTTGGTCACAAAAACAAAATGGAGGATAGATCAGGGACAATGTACCACAGCCACATTTTGATCTGTACACAACATCCATTATTACTAAAACTAAATATTTGTTCACACAATAGTAATTCTCTTCAGTTTAAGATTATGTTTTTGTTCCACTGTTAAAATTCAAAATGGCTTACACTTCCTCCAATCTGCTCCCATTGAAGGCATAGCGCTGGATCTCTTTCACGCCATTGCTATTCAGCATGCTTTAAAAGAGAAGAGGGGAGAAAAGGAGAAATTTCCTGAGAACCGTCCATTCATCAATCATTACAAAAGGCGCTTTCACACCGGAGTACTTTTACCCGTACTTTTCCCGTTTAGTTCCTCAGTGCCTGGAATTTTGCGTTCACACCAAAAAGAGAACTTAGTTCATGAGAACTTTTACCCCCATTAGGCGCTTTCACACCGCAGTACTTTTCCCACAAAGGTTCATCAGAACTTAGTTCATGAGAACTCTTTAGTTCTGATGAACTAAGTACAGATCACGTTCACACCGGAATAAGTCCCTGGGGGAGGATTAGGCAAATGAGCCGCTGACGTCACTTCTTCTTCTTCTGCTTTGGGTTTACTGGCAGGCCGCAAACAACTTCACGGCTGCTGGGACTCCCAGCAGCTTCTACATTTCCGATATTACGTCATATCGGACGCAAATCTGGATCAGCTCCGTTGTAGCCCCGCTTTTAGAGATTTGGGTACGGAGGAAAAGAGAGAGGGTTTTATTTTCTGACGCTGCGTGAGTTCCCTGACACATATTTATGTATAAAAGACATCAAAAAATGCATTTTGCATGATAGGTCCCATTTAAGTAAAAGTCTATGTTGTTACCCTCCTATCGCATAACGGCTACATTTGACCCAGTTATGCCATGAAATTGTCGTAAATTAGTTTAAAAAATGTTAAAAATGAATAACAAATGCAAGAGATTTGATTGGTGTAAAGCTGTAAAAACAAATTAACCCTACACATTGTCATTTCAATGCACGTGAGTTATTAACAATTCAACTATCAGTCGTACTCACATGGTCAGAGTATTCTCAGATATTCCAGTGAAGGAGTTAGCGGGTATCACCTGAATGAAGACATTCTCCACTATCTCCCTGTCAGAGAGCCATGAACACAAACCAGTTATAACCTCCGTAACTTTGACCAAACAAAAGACAATAGAGTTTATTTCACATACAAAATAAAATCATCCTGGCTGGACTGAATATATTGAAGCCCAGGGAAGGAAGTGAGCCCTGTGTTGCTGATTCCTCTGTGAAGAGACACACAGATGAAAATATAGAACATTTACTTTGTTTTCTTGAGAAAATATGACGTGCTTATGTTATGATACATGAGAATACAAATGAGCAAAGAAACGTTTACTTACAGGTACTTTAAATTAGGCAGGTCTTTAAACGCCTCTTGGTCGATGTGTGACAGGGTTTTGATACCAGTCAGCTGTCTATTGGACACACAAGATACAAAAAAACACACTTTACTATCTCATACTCTTGAAGTATTTTTATTTTTACGTCTGAACACACTATCTATCTATCTATCTATCCATCTATCCATCTATCCATCTATCCATCCATCCATCCATCCATCCATCCATCCATCCATCCATCCATCCATCCATCCATCCATCCATCCATCCATCCATCCATCCATCCATCCATCCATCCATCTATCCATCTATCCATCTATCCATCTATCCATCTATCCATCTATCCATCTATCTATCTATCTATCTATCTATCTATCTATCTACCTATGGTTTGGTCACTAAATATAACATCCTTAGCCCTTATCTACTCTAATGGCGCGTTTCCACTACACGGCCTCGCTCGGCCCCGCTCGGTATGGCTGGGCCTCGTTAGGACTGGCTCACTTTATGGCGCATTTCCATTACAGTTTAGGAACTGGGGCAGTATCTATAGTAACGCAGTGTAGGCGGAGCCGTGACGTGATCTTCAGAGGACCCCAGAAAAACAACACAGCCGTTAGCTGTTAGCACTCAGAGCTCACAGCTCCTCATATATGTTCAGAAACTAGACAAAAGTTAAACAAGTACAAACCACAGACTGCCTGTGTCATGGTGAATACAGTCGCTGCTTATTTATGTCTGTATAGGCCGTTGTTGTGAGTGTGGACGGTCGGAGCATATACTGCGTTAGCTTAGCCAATCTCCATTTAGAAAACAAGCATTTTAAAAGGTTTTTCCCCTGCCGTCTGTCTGCAGACTTGACAAAGCATTAATTCATGGTTTTTACTAACCGGTATCAGTATGTTGTTACTTCGGCATCATTTTGAAACGTGTATTACAATTAAATCACGGTCAAATATGTCCATCTTGTTGTAGTTGTTGCCCCCTTGCCAGCGACGCTCTCTCTAGTTTAGCATACTCAGCCCGACTCAGCCTCGTTGTCTCTGGCCCTGGACCCACGATTTTATGAGGCCAGAAAAACTGTGAATTAGGACCCGCCGGCCGGTACTAGGCCAAGTGGAAACGCAACCAAAGACGGGCCGCTGACGTCACAGCCCTCTTAAACCGGGCTGCGGGCTGTAGTGGAAACGCGCCATAACATGTCCATAGTTTCTGTGTTGACCTCTATATGTATCGAGCCGGGATAGTAACAGTACATTTTTGGCACTAAAATGTGGCTTTAAAAACAAGATCTGAAGGGAAAATGGTAAATGATAAATACACTGGCATTAAAAATATTATATGAATAACATAAGACTTCTTCGACTCACAAGAGATCGGGGAACATTGCATTAATTGAACCTTCATAAATAAGAAGTAGTAGTAGTATAATAATACTAACATTTAAGGTAATATACATTTTAATTGGCGTATAATTAGCCACTTTTAATGAAAAGTAGCCTCAATGAAAACAGTGAAATGTACATTAATAGGTGCTAATAGCCAAATATTAGTGTTGTATTATATAATTGCAATTGAATGATTCAAATGGAAGAATTACACTCAGCTGCAGAACCTTTTTTGGGTGTAATTTCATCTGATAAATCGGTAATTGAAACAGAACAAATAGCACTTGGTCGCTCCTTTGTGAATTCATGAGAGGTTTATTTTAATCAAAATGGAGCTGCGCTGCTCGAAGGTTACATACATGTGGCTGACCCTGGACAGGTTGTGGAAAGAATGCTTCTCCAGATACTTTAAAGTATCATCATCTGAGATGTATCTGAAAAAAACACACAAAAAACACAATAAATACTTAATCTAGAGACTAATACTACTCCAATGTTGCTCCTAAGGGGATTTAAAAGAGCTTGGCACCAATTTCTGTCATATTTTCTGACTCGTCGTGAACAAAGTTTACCAATGATCCAGGCCTGCAATACATGTCGAATACAGAGTCTCCCTTTCTCTACAGTCTGACTGAATAATGATAGGGCTTTATCATCATCAATACGGAGTTCATCATGTCTACATTTTTGGTACTAAGGATTAAACAAGATCTAATCTCACAATTAATGGGGGTATACATCAATTTGTCAACACGTTTTTACAGTTTGTACCTGAATCCAACTCGTTTGAGCAAACCTTAAAGGGGACCTATCATGCAAAATGCACTTTAGTACGTCTTTTATACATGAATATGTGTCCCCGGTGTTCCAGGGAACTCACCAAGTGTCAGAAAACACAACCCTCTCTATTTTCCTCCATACCCAAATCTCTAAAAAAGGGGCTGCAACGGATCTGATAAAAACTGATCCAGATTTGAACACTGTCCTGACGTCAGGACAGTGGCGCTACGGCTATTGGGCCAACTCCACCAATCAGGAGGAGACAGCCACGGCATTGCCGTTCGAAAGCGCTGGAGACGCTGTAGTACATATGCCAGGCCTGTAGATGGTGCTGTTGCTCACAGAATCAACCCTTGCTAAAACAGATCTAAAAAATGTCAAATTGAGCAAAATGAGGCAT